GGACCTGACCAGAGACCAGAGAAGCATTAATTATAGAGAGCACGCTGGGACCGATGGACTGAAAAGCACTTTTAAACAAAGATTAGGGTAAGATGTGGAGGGGGCATGCAGAGGTCTTCATAGAGTCAACTAGTTTGGTTAACTCAGGCAAAGAAACAGGAGCAAAGCTATCTAGGATGATGGGCCTGGTTGGAGTCGGGAGAGGCAGCGATAAGGCTGAAGGAGAGATGCTAGATCTAACCTTATTGACTTTGTCCACAAAGAAAGACAGAAAGTTCTCACAGTCTGTAACAGAGTGGATGGAGGCTGTAGGAGAGACAGGAGACACGATGCTGCTGATGGTGTTAAACAGCACCTTGGGGTTCCCTTTGCTCTGGGACACCTGGCTGGAAAAATAGGGTGTGACGCTGTGGTTCTGTCCCTGAGAACTGACAGCTGCTGTCCTTTAAAGCCATAAACTCTCATCAGCTGATGGCTTGCAGCCGGGGTGCGGAAGGCAGGCAGAGTTGGAAAGCCAGCCTGACTGGGGACCTGTCCAAGGTCCTGAATCGAGAAGGGAGCAGAGCTTGGCCTTTCAGGAAGCAGGAGCCCAGAATTCATAACACGCGTCTGAGGAGCTCCATGGAGAATGTCCTACATTTAATCAGATCAGAAAATGTGAAATAAAAGGATTAAGTTGTGCTTGTAGTAGAAGTAGATTTCATGTGCAGAAAACAGGGGGTCACGTCAGTTTTTATTATTTATTGTCTGTGTAATTGTTAGCCTAGTGAACTAGACCAAATTCTTGCTTTGCAAAGTTTGGTCTAGGCATGCACCATTGGAACCTCTGCAGCTCCTACCAGGACTCTGGCTAGCCAATCACAGCTCTCTAGAGGGGTTTCAAACACATAAAGAGCTGTGATTGGTTCATAATGGTGGGCCAATCATAGTGCTCTATCTGCTTAGTGAACAAATCACAGAGCTTTATCCGCTTTGCGGGCCAATCAGGGCACTCTATACGCCTGGTGGGTGGGATGATGCAACAGAGTGAAACAAGAGGATGTCACATTCATTGTCCAGTGGAATGCGGAGATCATTTCAAAGACAACGGTAGAACCCGCCCCACAACCGAGAGCCGTCAATGGAGCGTGGCCAGACTAAATAATACATTTATTTAGTCTGGCTTGTCAGGCTATGTAATTGTAGGAAAGATTATAGGAACACAGATTATTGGAACACATATTACAGGAACAAAGATTATAGACTATAAACATGAAAACTGTGTCATATACTTTTGGGATAGCAAATATCAGACATTATCACGTCATTTCAGCAGGACAACAGCCCAAGAGGTGAATAATATTCAAGTGGCAGATTGTGATGAGAGTATGGATATTAGAAGTCATTAGCATAGAGTTTAATAAAAGAAAATAGTTTGTACATAAATGTATAATATCTAAATGATCATGGACATTTGAAGACTATTTTATATTTTTTTTACCTATTTTATTTTGTTATAGTAGTGGCCCCACAAGTGCAGGGCTTCCACTGACAGCAGAGGGCAGGACTAGGGTTGGGAATAGAAAACCGGTTCTTGTTGAGAACCGGTTCCCATTGGGTCAATTCCTAGGAATTGTTTGCCACTTTTGCAAACGATTCCCTTCGTCAAATCCGGTCGGTGCGAATGATGTCACCGTGCACGTTGCGTAGCTTACGGAAGCAGGAAACATGGCATCTAAGCAGCACACACGCGTGTAACAGACGCCGACTGTTACGGCCACTAGATGGCCTCAGAAAGCGGCCTGCTCAACCCGCTCCGCGAGTCACAGCTTTGAAACCTGAGAGGTATTAGATTGACTATTAGACACATCGTAGTTTTGTTTAGAATACTTGAATTGCCCTCATTAGGAGAGACTCTGCTCACCCTTTTGGTGGAGCTTGTTGTGTTTGTTATTTAGCTTTTCCCCAGCCTTAAGGGCCGGCGCTTTGTGTTTACTAGAGATCGTTTTAGTTATTTGTTAATTATACCCAAATTTTGGATGACCATTTTGTTTCCTATTTATTCCTTTTCCTCATTTCACCCTGGAGAGCTGCGTTTCCCTTAATAAACTCCCCTTTAAGAGATTTAACTTGTTTGTTTCCTTTCACAGTTACCTTTCTTTATTTCCTCATTAACAACATACTTCTAGTCGAGCTGAGGGACATAAAAACGCGTTCGGTTATATTTTACAAGAAAGCATGACAATAGGGAACTTGCAATGATTGTAAAGTAGATATTTCATCAAAGGAAGAAGCATTCCGAATATAGAAAAGCCTTTGGGCACAAAATACGCTAACACTTGAAGTTGTTGACGTGTTCTGACCCGCTCCGGACGAGTGAACATCAGGCTCAGCCTGAGGAAGTTTGCAGCCACAAACGAAACGTAGCGGGAAAACAGGTAACAAAACTGTTCTGTGTTTAAAAAAAAGAACTACAGCATGGAATGTCCTTAGATGTTTTCTCTGTTCGATGCCAATGATCTGACCCTCCTCACACAGACTAACATCTTTTCCACGACCACCAGATGTGTCTTTCCACCATGCTGTTTAAGAAATGAGCAGTAATTGCCCAACAAGAGGATGTACCTGTAGGGTATTACTACATACTAGAATCACACTGTTTGCTATCAGTTGTAGATTCTGAGAATGACCAAGCAGATTAATATATGAAGCTTTTATCATGTATAAATATCCAAGATACTTATACGATCTATTTAAGTTCACACACCAACCTGTTTGGTCTATATTTAATCCAAAGATGAATGTTTAATTTAAGATAATTAAATGTAATAGCAAAAGTTTATTTTTTAATCAGACGTTAGGAATCTTTGCTTTTTTTTAATAACCAGAAATATTCATACCTTTCTGTGTTTCATTTCAAAGAATGAGGCAAGTTTAAAAATGAAGAATTTATTACTAACAATTTTAAACTTGACAATTTGAAACGACAATTTAAATGACAATTAAAATTGGCAATTCATGGATGACAATTTACCAGCTTTGATATTACAGTTTTTTTCGATTGCTAAAACACATTTTTCAGAACTGCACACACAAAACCCCAAACATAACACACAAATTGCTAAACCGTGGCTTCCCTTTGCAACAAAACCCTGCCACCACATATCGTAACATGTTACCAAAATGGAACACATGTTTTCATTTGGTAAACACAGCCACATTTTCACATGACACACACATACAAGGGCGTCAGTTTGTTTTCAGAATTGCTGGGGACAATAACCATACACTTGAGTGGGGTTTAAAAATTGCTGGGGACAATAAAGTAGGCTAAGATCTGAGCTGGTAAAACAAAAATCCTCATCAGCAGGCTTTTTTGAAAGTGGGGGGGACACAGCTGCCAATCACAAATTTTGCCGGGGACATGTCCCCGGCGTCCCCGGTTAAAATGACGCCTATGCACACATACCATTCATTGCTTGAACACAAGTAGCCTTTGGGTGAACACTACCAAGCATGGAAAGAACACTGAAGAGCAAAACTGAAAACACAATTGTCTAAATGGAACACAATGAATTACACACTGAATGTATGACAGAGCCCACTTTTCTCTGAGACAAACATTAGACATCACACAAATGTTGAGACAAAACATTTTATTTTTACAGTACCCCCCCCCCCCCCCCCCCCCCGGCCACCCCACCCCACAAATTTTGAGACAAAACATTTTATTTTTACAGTTACAGTAACCACCTCCACCCCCTCTCCCATTCAAGCATAATCATGGGGCATCATGCCTCTGGTCTCTGTCTGGCCAGAGGGCCTCATCAACATCACAGGCGATGTCCTCCTGGTCCAAACAACGCTGGAAGTACCGCCTCGAGTGCCTCATGAAGCCCTGACAGGCCTCAAAGGCCACATCTCTACATGCCTCCTCCATGGCTTGAAGCAGTGGGACCGGGCTCTGGGGATTCCCTTCGTACACCTTCCACCTCCAGGCTGAGAAAAACTCCTCAGTGGGATTGAGGAAGGGGGAATAAGGTGGAAGGTATAAAATGGAGACCCGTGGGTGGTCCTGAAACCACTCACACACCTGGGCAGCCTTGTGGAAACTTACTTTTATGCTGCAGTCCCTGATTGCAAAATGCTCGCCAGACCCGAAAGTTTAGAGATTTGAATATTTGTGTGTTGTTGATTGAAGCTTTGAGAATTTATGTGGAAAATGTGTGTAAACCTGAAAATTGTGTGCTGTGTTCTGACAGCAAGGTCATGTGAACTTGACATCAGAGTATAAAGGAGGAAAATCAGAGTTCTAATATGATAAGGAAATCTTAAGTGGTGATAAATTGAGTAAAGCGATTGGGAACAGAAGTAGAGGTTGTGAAAATTGTGCCTCATTTTTGCTTTTTGAGTTTTAGCAATCGAAAAAACTGTAAAACTTGTTTAAAAGCTTTACCTGTGTCGGGATGGAAAGCTAAAATTAAATGAGAGTTTTGGGTGCGTGGATGTTCTCAGAAGGTTCCTTTCAGAGAGAGAAGCGCGTTCTGGGTTGGAAATGATGGTTTTGCAGCTAACTGAGTCATTTACTTAGAGAGAAACACATCAAACACAATCTGTCAGAATGTCTACCTCACCCAGTATAGAAGACCCCTTTTGGATTCGAAGTGTCAGGTGGAGATGGTTTCCTCCAGGCACGAGGTTGGTAGATGGACCTCTGGTGCGACCAAATCGGTCCTGAGATGTCTCCTTGAGTCACTCGACTGGTGGAACTATTTGCGTCTCAAAGTCAATAACTCTGAAGGAGTTTTTGCGTCAGCTGGTTACAGGTGCATTTATTCGTAGCTATTCTTGTCGGCGTGACCGAACAGCAGGTGGAGGTTAGGGACGGCCGTTCCCGTATCCTCAGTGATGGTGGTTGGTTCACAAACTGGTGTTTTTCGTCTGGAAAGTTAGTTTTAACAAACTCCTCAGAGCACGCCCACTCTCAGAGCAAGAAAGCTTTGGTCATGAGTCAAGACACATGATGGCAGTTAACCTTTAATCTGAATAAACTCTGTGTTAGATGGATAAGGTGGAAGTTGACCTTCTGGTTACTGAACACCATAACCGATTGTCTATCCATTATCCTAATTATACCCAAAGCATAATAATTCATTTCAGTAATTAAAAATACATTTATACTGAACCAAGTGATTATTTATGATGATTATAATAAACCTTAATAAAGTCAAAGAGTTTATTAAAATTATTATTTTGAACTTGAAGTGTCCTTCTTCTGGGACGGAACAGCAGCAGATAAAGGATGATATTCTTCAGACATCAGGGCACCTGGGTTAATCTGTGGAACTAAAAGTAACAGTCTGACCTAGCTTGACCCAGCTGGGAAAATGTGACCTTTGTCACAAATTGGAGGCCCTTCATGACGCTTTCTTTGCTTAGTTAAATCCAGGTGGAGACGATTTTTTAGCAGGGCAGTGTATTTTTCTTCTTACTGTGAATGACTCATCTTGATTGTCATCTAGAATATTCTGGTGATTATCTGTCGATGGCAAAAGCCATGAAACAGAGTGAGAGTGACAAAGTCATCGTGTTTAAAAAGGGACTGCGGTACCCACATTTGACCACTGGGTGTCCCTCTTACTTTAGTCCTGCATTGTGCACCTTTAATGTTTGAACAATATTGTATCCTGATAACTGTGTTTAAACGAGACAAATAACTAAACATCAGAAGTCATAATAAAACGAAACAAGACATATTTAATAATTAATGTAAACAACCAAAACTTTGGAGGCTTTTGTTCTCTGGATAAGGATTTCTCGTATTCCCTTCTTTTCAGACCATCTAAAGGATAAAAAAGAAACAAAACAACAATCAATCACTTGTTTATTTCCGTCATCCTTACATTACATTTAACAGTTTGTTTAAATTTAAATTGGTTTAATAAAACTGATGCTTTAAAATAAAAAGTAGCTTAATGGCTGAGAACTCACCTTTAAAAAAAGGGAATAGTTGATTTTATATTGTGTTGTCATAAATATCTGAGATGTCCTCATAAATGTGTTCAACTGAAAAACAAGGCAACATTTTAAAAAGTGAAAGATTAAAATGATTTTATTGCAACTATTAGTGTATAAAATATTTATTGACAGAACATTTACCAACATCGAATTTAACAACAAAATATCCAAGGTAATGTGATTGTAAAATGTAACGTAAATAACAGAACCTTTAATCATTTTATTTAGTTTTATTTAGCTGTATCTGTTCATTTACCTTTAGGTCTCCCAGCAGCTGTGACACCAGGAGAGGAGGAGGTCACACGGCTGATGACCAAATCTGTTTTTGTTCAGAAAGATCAAATCAGACATCCATCCATTGTCATCCGCTTATCCGGAGTCGGGTCGCGGGGGCAGTAGCCTAAGGCGAGAGGCCCAGACGTCCCTCTCCCCAGCCACTTGGGCCAGCTCCTCAGGGGGAATCCCAGGGCGTTCCCTGGCCAGGTGAGAGACATAGTCCCTCCAGCGTGTCCTGGGTCTACCTTTAGGTCTCCTCCCAGTTGGACGTGCCCGGAAAACCTCACCAGGGAGGCGTCCAGGAGGCATCCTGACCAGATGCCCGAGCCACCTCAACTTGCTCCTCTTGATGTGGAGGAGCAGCGGGTCTACTCCGAGCCCCTCCCGAATAACCAAGCTTCTCACCCTATCTCTAAGGGAGAGCCCAGCCACTCTTCAGAGAAAACTCATTTCGGCCGCTTGTATCCACAATCTCGTTCTTTCGGTCACTACCCAAAGCTCATGACCATAGGTGAGGGTAGGAACGTAGATCGACCGGTAAATTGAGCGCTTTGCCTTCTGACTTGGCTCTCTCTTCACCACGACAGACCGGTACAACGCTCCAGTTTTCCCTCATTCGTGAACAAGACTCCGAGATACTTAAACTCCTCCACTTGGGGCAGGACCTCATCCCTGACCCGGAGAAGGCATTCTACCCTTTTCCGAATCAAGACCATGGTCTCAGATTTAGAGGAGCTGATTCTCATCCCAGCTGCTTCACACTCGGCTGCGAACTGCTCCAGCGAAAGCTGAAGATCACGTTCTGATAAAGCAAACAGGACCACATCATCTGCAAAAAGCAGAGACCTGATCCTCAGGCCACCAAAACGGATGCCCTCCACACCTTGGCTGTGCCTAGAAATTCTGTCCATAAAGGTTATGAACAGAATCGGTGACAAAGGTCAGCCTTGGCGGAGTCCAACTCTCACTGGGAACGAGCCCAACTTACTGCCGGCAATGCGGACCAAGCTCTGACACCGGTCATACAGGGACCTAACAGCCTGTATCAGAGGGCCTGGTAACCCATACTCCCGGAGTACCCCCACAGGGTCCCGGTCAAATGCCTTCTCCAAATCCACAAAACACATGAACCCTCCAGGATCCCCCTAAGGGTATAGAGCTGGTCCAGTGTTCCACGGCCAGGACGAAAAACACATTGCTCCTCCTGAATCTGAGGTTCAACAATCCGACGGACCCTCCTCTCCAGAACCCCTGAATAGACCTTACCAGGAAGGCTCAGGAGTGTGGTCCCCTGTAGTTGGAACACACCCTGCGGTCCCCCTTTTTAAATAAGGGGACCACCACCCCGGTCTGCCAGTCCAGTGGGACTGCCCCCGATGTCCATGTGATATTGCAGAGCCGCGTCAGCCAACACAGCCCCACAAAATCCAGATCCTTAAGGATCTCCGGGTGGATCTCATCCACCTCTGGAGCCTTTCCACAGAGGAGCTTTTTAACCACCTCAGTGACCTCAGCACCAGAGATTTGAGAGGCCAACCCAAAGTCCCCAGACTCTGCTTCCTCACTGGAAGACGTGTTGGCGGGATTGAGGAGCTCTTCGAAGTATTCTGTCCACCGATCCACAACGTCCTGAGTAGAGGTCAGCAGCACACTGTCCCCACTATAGATAGTGTTGGTAGCGCACTGCTCCCCCCCCCCCCCCCCCCCCCCCCCCAATGTACAGGCACCAAGATGGGGGGGCAACTAGTATGCCCACCCCTGCTCGGCACCTCTCAGTGGGAGCAACTCCAGAGTGGTAGAAAGTCCAACCCCTCTCAACGAAACTGGTTCCAGAGCCAGAGCCATGCGTTGAGGTGAGTCTGACTATATCTAGTCGGAACCTCTTAACCTCACACACCAACTCAGGCTCCTTCCCCTCCAGAGAGGTGGCATTCCATGTGCCAAGAGCCAGCTTCTGTAGCCGAGGATCAGACCGCCAAGGTCCCCGCCCCCGACTACCACTCGTCACACACTGCACCCGACCCCTTTGGCCCCTCCCACAAGTGGTGAGACCATGGGAACATGGGATGTCAAATCAGACATGTTATTAAAGAAATAATTGCATGTAGAATCTTCATAATCTGTTCAAAGTGCATCAGAATTCACTCTAAAGTATGAATTTCTTGATTAAACAAGTTATATGAACAGTTATGCCAGATTTTTCACATTAATGAAGAAATAATAAACCTCAGAATGTCATCACACCCTTTTCAAAATGACACAACATACTTTATAATGTAATATTTTTATATGAAGTAACTGAAAGAATTATTAAGTAAAATATGTCCTGTAGGACATGTCCCAGATACATTTTATTAAAGGATAAGCATTTCTTTTGTATGTGAGGACCTAAAGGTTATCTGAGGGCTTTATGTTGACCCCATTACAATAAAACAAATTGTAATACCAGATTAATTATTAGACTGAGGTTAATTTTTACTGAATAATTCTTTCATCTTTGCTCATCCTCACTAGGGTGATGGGAGCTGGTGCTCATCTGCAGAAGGACAGCCTGGATGGGTCACCAGTTCATCACGGGGCCACACGTCGAGACTAACGAGCACCTAGCATGCATGTTTTGGACAGTGGGAGTAAAACTGGAGCACCAGAGGAAAACCCACAGATGGGTGTGGAGGACATTTAACTTTATGCAGGAAGGCTGCAGCTGGGAATTGAACCTGCAACCTTCTTGCTGCAAGACAACCTCATTACTAAATTTGCCATCAGGTAGCCAAAATGGGATATAAGGGTCAGTGCTGTTCAATCTGTCACACGATGATGAATAATCACACCTACCTGTTCTAGCTGACGTTGGTTTAGCTCCGCCCTTCTTTCTAAATATTGGAGGGAAAACTGTTATAACATGACCAACAAACAAACAGGAGCATAAAAAAGATTAAATGCATGAAGAAATTGTTTTTTACTAAAACTTAAAACACACTTACATTCTCTTCTGAAGAAAATATCCCCCAACAGCTCCTGCAGCCGTCACTATTAAACATGAGATCACTATTCCAGCAATGGCTCCACCTGACAGACCTCCAGGTTCTTCAGGATCAAAAACCAACCAGAAAAACAGAAATAAGCACTAGATCATATGCTGCAGTAGCTCTCGCTTCTCCTGAAACGTAAACTCACCAATCACAGAAAGAGCTAAAGGCTGAGAGGTTTGATATCTCAGGGTTTTGCTGTTGAAGGTCTGACAGATGTAGTTTCCACTCTGATTTGTCTGAACGTTCATCAGCCTGAGCTCTGGTCCAGAATCAGGCAGCGGGTCTCCACTGAAAAACCACACGACCTGGGCAGACGGTCTAGATTCAGATGAGCAGATCAGGTTGAGGTCTGATCCTTTCACATAGTGTGTTTTTGATGGAGACGCCTTCAGCTCTACATTAGCTGGACCATCTGAGGGAAAGAAAGCAGCAAATTAAAATATCATTTGGACCCACATGGAAGAATCAACTGTTGTTAGCGTACTTTACTCTAATATTTCCACCATATTACATTAAAATACCAGAGTAAAATATATTTGGTTCTCAAATAGTACGTCCCAGGTCTCCTACCCTACTGCACTCTCTCTTATGCTCGCACTTACTCTGCATTTTAGATATTTTTCCAGCAACCCCTTTGCAGGATGCTTTTATGACCATTAGCCCATGCATTCACTATAATAACTACCTCACCAGCTACAGGCCAATGTCCACATTACTTGAAGAATACTGTTGTTAATCCCGTGCTGCTAAAGTCCAACCTAGACACTTCACTCCTAAACAATCACAGACCTATTAACATTTCTCAAGAAACTTCTGGAGAATCTGTGGCAAAACAAGTAAAATCTGCTTTAGACAAGCTTTTATTATCAAACAGCTTTAGTTTAGTCTTCGTGGAGACGGCTCTTTTACATTCTGACTTGAAAGTTACTTAAAGAGCAAGTCACTCCCAAATGAACTTGTTTTTTCTGATAAACTATATAAATGTGTGTCTAATGGTGCTGCAGACACATTTAGTCAATAGTTTAGCACTTTAGTGCATTTTAGTTCAAATTTTTATTTTCTGCCTAAAACTGTCAGTGTTGTGCCGTCGTCAGGCAAAAACTCTGCACTGCATTTGAATTTAAATCTGCCATCGCCATTGGCTAAGAGGTACCCTAGAACGTTAGCTGGTACCATATGATGTCACAATGTCGTTGTGAGCCTCTGTGTGTGTGTCTGTTTGTGTGTGTGTGTGTGTGTGTGTGTGTGTGTGTGTGTGTGTGTGTGTGTGTGTGTGTGTGTGTGTGTGTGTGTGTTTCTTAGCTGCTCCGCCCTCTCGGTCTGCTAGGCAACAGCTTTTGTTGCATTTTTTAAACAGGAAGTGGGAGTTGAGTAAGAATCTGGTAGGGGGTGACTTGCTCTTTAAGATAAAAGCATCTGCCAAATAAATAATGTAAGCAAGTGATTTATGTGAGTGACTCACAGCTGACTGAGATGAGTACTGCTTCACTGGTGACAGAACTGACTAAATTAGACACGTGACAGCTGTATGATCCCTGGTCATATCGAGTCACGGTGACTAGAGTCAGAGTGGATCCTCCGTCAGAGCTGCTGATCTGAACTCTGTCACTGGCTGTAACCTCAGAGCTGCTGTTCATCCAGAGGAAGGAGAGAGAGGATCCAGAGGAGGAGCAGGACAGACGCACAGAACTGTTGAACTCAACTAGATCTGAGTTCTGGGAAGTTATTGTTACGTTGGAAACAAGTTCTGTGGATAGAAAACAAGACAGATTTACTTAGTGCTCACAGAACAAAGACCATTTCTTCTTTCTAACATTGACCTTGTATGACGATAACTGCAGATTCTGAGGTTTGATATCTCCGGGTCCTGTTGTTAAAAGTCAGACAGCTGTAGTTTCCCGTCTGACTGGTCTGAGCATTCTTCAGTCTGAATTCTGGTCCAGAAGCCAACAGCTTATCATTATTCAGGAACCATTGAAACGCAGCAACCGGTCTGGAGTCTGCTGAGCAGTTCAGGCTGATGTTTGAACCTTTTACAAAAGAGTCTTTGAATGGAAAATATTCCACTTTTGTATTTTCTGGCCCATCTGTGTGGGTGAAGTGGAAAGGAAGACAGGTTAGTATACGTAAAAATATACGCACATCCATAAATTATAAAGGAATATGACTTTGTAGATAGGTGTTGCACTGAATAAAGTTTTAAATTTGTCCAAACTGTGTTGGAATAAAACAAAACTCATCAAGATGTGTATGAAGATTGTTGTTTGCAAACAGATATAACAAGTTACCATAATGAAATAAGTTAAAGGGATACTAAGCAGTTTTATTTGCTTTTAGCACCCCCTAGTGGCCGTTAGTAATCATCTGTGGTCAAAGCAGAAGTGAAACTTATCTCCCTGCTAAAGAGACAGTGTGTAGTTTTAACCATTAATCTTTGGAAATATCCATTGAAATGCTGTTGAAAATGAATGAAATGATGCCCAGATGTTGAAAAACGCCGGCAGCTTCGTACGTACTCTGTATGTGTTCAGTACCTGATTTACACATATATCTGTGTCCCTTACAGGATGCTGCGTAGTTCTAGAACTATTTGTGTGTTTTAGTGGTCAAAGGTTACAATACTAGCTTACTGGCAAGGCAACTTTATTTGTGTAGCACCTTACAACGGCATAAAACCGACCAAAGCGCTTCACAGAGATTAAGAACATTAAAAACAATACACAGCATAAAAATACATGAAAACTAAAGCTTAAGAACTAACACTGATAAAACACTAACAAGACTCTTGTGCTGAGTTAAAAGTTAAATCATAAAAAGAGATTTAAACCAGACTGATAAGAGGCCGACCTAATGCTCAAAGGCAGAGCCTTCCAGAGCCCAGGGGCTGTTACAGCCTTTGTGTACCTTTGTTATTATTTTTATTCAAATTATTCTCTCTGTGGTGTCAATGAAGTCTTTTCAATTCTAAAAGTTGTTTCTAAAACACATGGGAGCAGGTCTAAGGCCCAATCCCAATGCCCGCATTTCCACCCTTAAGCCCTTCAATCCCGACCAGGAGTGGTTCATCACTAAATTAAACAAATAAGCTGTGTTCACCAACTAAAATATGTGGGGAACATGCTGGAAGTAGACTGCAGCGCCAGGTATGTAAGCACAGTTTTTCTGAGTCCACAGGGGGCGGCTTGGCACTCTGAAGTTGCAAATGCGGTATACAGGATACAAGAGGTAGTGAGGGTCTGAGAGACATTTCATTAACCCTGTAAAGGGTAACTTTAGCACATTCTGGCTCAATAAAATGATTTTAAAATATGAAAAATTTGCACAGTATCCTTTTAACTACTTTGTACATATCGTGTAAGCAAGTACTTTATGTTAGTGACTCAGAGAAAAGTATACATGGAAACGTTGGTAGATCTAACAGGGTTGACTACGTGATTGTGTCATTCCTGTCACTCTGAGTCATTGGTACTATTGTAATAGTACATATGTGTAGTCTGTAGCCGATATGCAATTAAAAATGTCAGGTAATTGTGGCGGCCATGGCTGAAGGGGGTGAGCGGTTTTCCTATGATGCGACGGCTAAATCGATCCCCGGCAGGCCACAGGCCGAAGCGTCCTGGGGCAAGATGCTGAACCCAGAAGTTGCCCCCTGAGTGGCCCACAGACGCCAGGATGAGTCAAATGCAGTAAAAAAAAAATATCCCAGGTGGGATAAAAAGAATATAAGAAAAAAAATTGGTAACACTTTAGTTTAGGGAACACAAATTAACCATTAATTAGCTGCCAATTAATATGCAAATTAGTGGACTACTAAGTCTGAACTAGTCATTATTAACCATTTATTTACTGCTTATTACTAATGCTATAATTCTAACATTAACAGGCCATAAATTAAGAGTTTTATCATAATAAGCCATTCATAATGGTTTGTTAACTGAAAAGTAAATGATTTGTTGTTGATTAACGTGCATACTAATTAGCTCTGGCTTTAGAACGGGGAACATATTCTTGCCTTTAAGTGATTAATTGATTGTTGTTTAGGCTCTATTAACATGTGGAGTTTGGTGTTTATGTACACATTACCAGAACATAATATTTTTGGCTGTTAATGCAGATTAATTATTCCCCTTGAATTATTTCTGTAAAAGCCACATATTGATTTGAGCTAATTAGTGGGCGTTAATCAGCAACAAACCATTATGAATGGCTCATTTTGATACATCTCTTAATTTATGGCCTGTTAGTGTTAGAATTACATCATTGGTATCAACCCTTTGATGCATGAATTATGAAATCTTCAACCATGATTTTTTTAAACAATTTTTTTCATTCATCTTTAGGTGTGAATGAAACAAATTTCAACGAATATTTTTTGTAACATTTTGTTAATTTACAAATAATTTATTACATGTCCACCTCAGTGGACAGCGTGCATTCTGAACATGAAATATGCTGGCTTGAATTACTGAAGTCCAAATGGAGGGGCTCACATGCAATAAAGTCTTCAACAGCTGTGCTTAATAGCAAAAACAAATAAATAACAATTTTGAGTATCTGTCCACTGTAGTGACCATTATGCATCAAAGGGTTAAGCACCTAATAATAGCTTAATAATGACTAATTCAGACTTAGTAGTCTACTAATATGCTTATTAACTGGCAGCTAATTAATGGTTAATTTGTGTTCCCTGTTACAGACGCTCCCCTCTTAAGCCACCAGATGCCCTCAGCAGCTCCCTCCTCACCTGGGTTACTCACCCAGCCGGTTCCACTCAGTAATCATCCGGGCTACAGATAAAGGCTCTCCTCAGCATTCAGTCAGGGAGGAGGTCCTGGATAGTATTGACTCGGAGGAGTTGGTACTATTCTCTTCTCTTGGTGTGTTGGCGGTTAAACTTAGAATCTCTCTCGTGTAACTTTGGTATTCGACGTGTTTTGGATTTAGGATTAGGATCAGACCTTTTGGTAATTTGACTTCGGACCGGTTTTGGACATTGTATTTGGATCCCCCTTGAACTTTCCTGCTTATCAGGACTGCTCTTCTTATTAGTATGTTTCTGTCGGTTAATCCCCAATCCCTTCTGGGTCGGCGTTTTCCGTTCTCCCTTTTTTGTAGATAGCTCCCTTAGTTTTGTATATAGATATTATTATTATTGTTGTAAATACCCTTTTGTAATAATAACTTGTGGACAATGAAGTTCCAGGACTTGGTTAAATACAAAACAGCACAAATAATGTATGAAGTAAGAAATAAATTAATGCCTGATAAAATACAGAAACTGTTCACAGAGAGAGAAGGAGGATATAACCTGAGAGGGACACTAAACTTAAAGATCCATAAGTTTAGAACAACATTAAAACAGATGTGTATCACAATAATAGGGGTTAAATTATGGAACAATTTAGAAGAAGAAATCAAAGTAAGTACAAATATAAATGTGTTTAAAATGAATTATAAAAAACATATTCTGAACAAGTATATAGTGGAAAATCGATGATTTATGTGGGTGTCCTTTATTCTAATTAAAAGTAAATTGTATCAATTGTAAAAAGATGTCCATGCTTTCGTTCTTTTTTAAACACAGAAACAGTTTTGTTTACCTGTTTGTAGCTACAGTTTCGCCGACAGCTGCCGACTTCTTCAGGCTGACGCTGATGGTGGCGCGTCACTTCCTTCTCCGTTTATCTGCGGGCAGCAGAGGACGTTGTCGCCCTCTGCTGCCCGCTCTCCCCTCTCCGACGATGCAGTCCCATGCGTGGTCCAGCGTGTAAACTCCGTCGTCCCTGTTCATGGTCCCACATCCACGTCTCCTTATCTCGATTGCTTCCTTGATCCATCTTTTGTATTTTTGTTGTTCGGTGGCAAATCGTAAACACACAAGAGCAGCAAAAGAAGAAGCAGAAAGTACAATAAAAAAGTCAGCCGTAACAGAACATTGCTTAAGAGAAAACCATATAATGGACTGGGACAGCACACGGATCATAACCACCGAACAACAAAAATACAAAAGATGGATCAAGGAAGCAATCGAGATAAGGAGACGTGGATGTGGGACCATGAACAGGGACGACGGAGTTTACACGCTGGACCACGCATGGGACTGCATCGTCGGAGAGGGGAGAGCGGGCAGTAGAGGGCGACAACGTCCTCTGCTGCCCGCAGATAAACGGAGAAGGAAGTGACGCGCCACCATCAGCGTCAGCCTGAAGAAGCCGGCAGCCGTCGGCGAAACTGTAGCTACAAACAGGTAAACAAAACTGTTTCTGTGTTTAAAAAAGAACGAAAGCATGGATTTACAAAGACACAGCAAGAACACACCTAAGATGTAAAAAGATGTGTTTTTTTCTTTTTTCTTATTTTTTTCCATATGGTTTGGTGTTTTTTTTTTTTTGTGACTTGTACCATTTTGTTTGTTTTAATGTAGGTTTTGTGTTAGATTTAGTAAACAAGTAAAACTTACTTGTATAAAGGGGTAGGGACATAGAAGTTCCCACGTCAGCCTACTCCTTTTCAAACAGAGAAGAAGGGATGATGATATGTATTTTTTCTGTTTGTGGTATTTTAAAAAAATATGTATGATTTCTTTGTTTGAAATAAACTAAACTTTAATAAAATCCCTTGTTTAGCGACACAGCACTTTGTTATTTTTCACCCACTGTAGGAGCCATATGTGTCACTTCTTTTTTTTTCACTTGAGAGGATTGGCATTGGCGCTACATTTCACCCACTCTCCAATTTTATTACTCCCCTATCTTATCACTCCTAAAGAGGCGGGGACGTAATATTCCCCAAACTAAAGTGTTACCAAAAATACTTACAGCTGACTGAGATGTTAACTTGTGGTATTCTACTGGCGCTTGGACACAGCGGGAGGCATCTATATAACCCCTGGTCATATCGGGTCACGCTGACAATAGTGAGAGTAGAGCTCCGATTAGAGCTGCTGATCTGAAATCTGTCGCTGGCTGAAACCTCAAAGCTGCCGTTCATCCAGAGGAAGGACGGAGAAGATCCAGAGGAGGAGCAGGACAGACTGACAGAATCATTGAACTCAACCAAGTTGGCATCTGGAGATAATGTCACAGAAACGCTCCCTGTAGATGAGAAACACAAATGCCATGAATTAAGTTGTGCATGTGTTGTGATTTGAAGTTGTATATTTATACACTGTAATTAGATAATTTAATTATCTGATTTGTATATTTATACAATCTAAGTAATCAATCAGAAGTGGTTGTTTTTATCATCAGGGAGTTTACTTAAACACTTTGTATTGACTGAGAGACAAGAGAGAGAGAGAGTTGGGATCGTTTAAGAATCTTTAATTTCTATAATTATAAATTCTTACAATCTACCAGGACTATCTCAATGATGAATGCATATGGATTTAGATGTTTCGTGTTGGTGTGTGTGTGTGTGTGTTGTTCAGAATCTCTAGGCTGACGTAGCGAATCTGGTTTGTTATGACTAGGCTACCACGAGGCTTCAGAAGCTGATGACATGATCCGCCATTTTGCCACGTACTGTAGATGGAGTCTCCCGTGTAGATCAGGAATTGCCAGGTCCTAAGACCTCGGTTGTACTGGAGCTGGTTGAAACAGCGGTCACAGCACACAACGCCCGTCTGAGGATAACTCCGGTAGTAGTTGGCAGGCGTCAGCAAGTTCACTCTTATTTTGAAGGACAGTTGTCTCGTTGGTACAAACGACGGAAATCTCCAGCTTGACAGTTCTCAGCTTAAAACAGGAAATACAGCTGGCCAGCCTGTATTCCTCTTTGCGGTGATGGATTGAGAGCTGGTTGAAAACAATGTTGAGAGTATGATGTAACTCCTTGGAGCTCGGATCGAACAGAGCTGATGTCAACGTGGAACTTAACGTGGAACTGAACTTAAAATGGCGTTGCCTTCTTTTTATATCTCCCAGTTGTTTATGAATCTTAGTAAACCGGATTGGACTCATTAAGTAAACATCCCAGATTCTCTCTACGACAGACGAAAGTTCTGATTGGTTGAAAACAATGTGTCATGCGTTTCCATGGTAATGCATATCAGTCTGTCTGGTGCAGCCCTGTTTATTCATTTAAACACATAACTCATGACATCTTTATTTCACAGATCATTCACCTGATTATTAATGATCAACAAATGCTTTGATTAGCTTATCACAAATAAAGTACTTTGATTAATCAATGAAAAGCGTTCTTCTTCTGTTCTTCTGTCTCTTCTCCTGGAATGTAAACATACTGAACCAAGCGTCCGACCTTGGCGATGTTACTGTGTGAAGGGGCAGCTGTTAAGGGCAGACCATTATAAACTCCCTAACGCTACACATGAAAACAATTCTTCCACTGATGTTCACCTGTCCCTCAGCTGCTCGTCAGCCTTGAACAAACCTGTATCGTGTTTGCAACCAGTTGTGGAAAATATGGCTTTGCACTGCAACAAATGCAACAAACATGTCAAAATCCCATATTTAAGAGTCTTGAGCCTAATTTAGTGACTATTTTTCTTTTCCCTATAAATGCACCCGTGTGAATCAGCAGTGATCAGTGTTGAATCTGCAACAGCAAAACAAAGATTATGTGATCGAGACTTTAGATTTAAAAATGTTTAGAATGGAGTCATAAAGTGTCTTTCCCAATGATTGTTTTTCTGCTGAACTGACTGAGTTTATGTAATGAGAATCAAACTGCAACGAGTTAGTGAAAATGCGTTGGGCAGCTTCTTCTCTAACCATGCAGACGTCTCGTCTCATAAAATCTTGAAAACTTTTAACTGCTAATCGTTGACTGTTTTCTCCATAGACACGTTAGAGACGGTTGCTGATCTCCAGCTGCCTCCTGCAATGCTGTCATCGGAGCATTCTGATTGGTCTAGGCACCCGAGGCATTACAGATGTTATGTGGCCAGTTCAAACATGAGGTGAGGCTGTTTTCTAATATTTCAGAATGTTTTCTGGTGTTTTATATGTGTTGATTTGTTCATTTATGATACTTTTCCGATCAATTCTGTCAGTTAATCAAATTTTGTTGAGCAGAGTGAATAATCCAACCTTATGACAGAAAACGTTTTTTCTGTATTTTACAAAAAAAAAATCCTGTTGGTTTTGATCTTCAAATTATTCCAACAGATCATAGGCCGGTATCCAGCAGGTTTTAGTTTTAATCCTGCTTCAGCACACCTGATTTAAATCAGCAGGTGATTAGCAGGCTTCTGCAGAGCCTGATTGGCTGCTGCACAGATGACTCAACCACTGAATCAAGTGTGTTGGAGCAGAGAAACCAAAAAAAAATATATATATATATATATATATATATATATATATATATATATATATATATATATTGCACATTGACGTTAGATGCCACTCGCCATTAAACAAGAAGAAGAAGAAGAAGAAGAAGAAGAAGAAGAAGAAGAAGAAGAAGAAGAAGAAGAAGAAGACACGTGTCCCTGATCGTCGTCTCCTGACGCGCTGGGGTGTCCCAAATCGTCATATATTGAGGCTTGGTCACACGCGTCATATTTTGACGCCTTGGGTGTGAGAATGTGTTGCATAGCTGACTTCATATTGAGAGGCGGACCGCATGGTATTGCAGTTGGTAGCACTATTGCCTCAAAGTGAGTAGGTTGCAGATTTGGATTTGTGGCAGCAAAAGCGAGGAGTGTGTTGTCCAGTAATCTGAAGGCTACAGGATTGAGCCAAGCTCCCACCAGAGGATGCTGCTGTAGTGTCCCTGAGCAAGACACTCAATCCTCCCTCCCAGCTGGTGGTGATCGGTGGCGCCTGTGCTCGGCTGTCTCGCCTTTGTAAGCGTGCCCCAGGGTTGCTGTGGCAACAATGTAGCTCATCACCATCAGGGACTGAATGTGTGTGTGACTGTATGAATGACACACTGTAGTGTAAAGCACTTTGGAGTCCTCAGATTCTGAAAGGCGCTAAACCAGTCTGTGTCATTTATCATTACTATATCCCATCTGTGGCTTTTCTGCATGGAGTTAGCATGTTCTCCCCGTGCATGTTCTCCCCATGCATGTTCTCCCCATGCATGTTCTCCCCATGCATGTTCTCCCCGTGCATGTTCTCCCCATGCATATGTGGGTTTTCTCTGGGAACTCGGTTTTCCTCCCACACACCAAAAACATGCATGTCAGATTAACTGGAGACTCTAAATTGCCCCTACGTGGAAGAGAGTGTGTGAATGTACGTTTGTCTCTGTGTGGTGCTGCGATGGACTGGTGACCTGTCCAAGATGTCCGCCTGCCTCTCACTGCTGGAGCACCAGCTCCCTGAAACCTGCCCAGAGACTTGTCTACTTTAGAAATGTGACTGATTGATCCCCGTTTGTACTCATATAACTACTTATATCTTATAATTATGAGGAAAAAAGTACCTTTCAGTTATAAGAAGGGAGGTCAAGAGAAAAGTCTACCTTTCCATTCTTGTTTTGTGTGTGTACAAATAAACAGTCTAGATGATTTGCTTGTATGTCCTTGCTCACCATAGACGTTTAGTGCGGTGCTTCCTCTCCGTTCGTCACCATCAGCTGGTAAAATACTAACTCTGTACTCTCCTGAGTCACTGAGTTTCAGATTCCTGAGCTCCAGAGATCCAGTAGACAAGAAGAGGGTGGTCCTGCCTTCATACCCTGGTGCAGTTATGTTCATAGAAGGCAGATGCATGACTATAGGTGTGTCAGCACCTAAACTCCAGCCCACTGACAGAAATGGTCCTTGTGTCTGATTATTAGTTTTGAACGTCACTGCTCCACCTGAACATCCGTTCACAAGATCTTCTGGTAACACACCAGCTCCATCAGATAAACCTGGTAGAAGAGTTTAAACCCAGAAAAACATTATGTTTTGAATTAATACATGCATGACTTTGGTGTTTTTTTCAAAACAATCTTCAGTCGGTCTCACCTTTTAAAAAAGACCAAAACACAACATAAAAGCACACCACTAAACCAGCTTCAGTGAGTTCAGCTGCAGAGGTTTAAAATGTTGAAGTTTGGTTCAATAGTTTTCATTAATAGTTTTAAAGTGGCTATTTTAGTCTGTCTGGAGTATTTTCTGTTACACTTTACACCATTTGTGACCATAAAGTTGTAACAAGTGGTTTAAAATAGCTGATCAAAACTAACCAGAAATGGCTCCAATGATGATGGTGAAGAAAATCATGGATGTTTCCATTTTCTCTCAAGTTCTTCAGAAAATAACAGAAAACTTTCCGGTAGTTCACTCCTTCACAGAAGGATTTTATGAGTGATGATTTTATATCAGGTACTGTAAGGAAGTAGGATAAGCGAATGCTGGGAGACGTGTTATCCTGTTCTTGTAGATAATTAACAAACACGACCAATCAGGATCCTCAACAAAGAGTTCATTTAATATAATATTAACCTCATTTTAGTCTTAATGATATAATATTTAATATAAAAATTCAACATGCATTACCAAAATTGCTTATACTTTCAAAACGCATCATTATTGCACTAATTTTCTAGTTTTGAGTCTGTTTTGGCTCAGTTTTCTGCAGTCTGAAGAGTCAGAAATATCAATAAAATGTTAAAATACAGTCAAACAGGTTAGAAACACAAATAACTTTTCGTTAATTTAGGCAAACACAAAAAATGATCCATTATCCAGTTTTTTCTTTTGCTTTAAAGTCATCCAAAGCATCACTTAAAAAATCTGTTTTTGTATTTAGTCTGCTGGACCATAGTTTGGCCTCTAGAGGGAGACGTTCAGCAGCTTTTGCAGCCTGAGCTGCTCTAGTTTAATCAGGTGTTGCAACATTTCACACAGAGGTTAGAGGTTTAAACAAAAAAATCAGTTAATGTTGGACTTTTTTATAGAGCAAGTCACTCCTAATCAACATTTTTTTTGCTGATTAACTATATAAATCAGTGTCTGATCGTGCTGCAGACACGTGTAGTCAATAATTCGGCACTTTAGTGCATCTTAGTTAAAATTTAAATATTCTGCCTAAAACTGTCAGTGTTGCTCCGTCATCAGGTAAAAACTCAGCACTGCATTTGAATTTAAATCTGCCGTCGCTATTGGCTAAGAGGTACACTATGATGTTAGATGGTCCATTATGATGTCACAATGTCGTGAGTGTGTGTATTTGTTAGCGGCTCCACCCTCTCGGTCTGCTAGGCAACAGCATTTGTAGCATTTTTCCAAACAGGAAGTGGGAGTTGAGTAAGAATCTGGTAGGGGGTGACTTGCTCTTTAAAACCATATCTCAAGGCTAGGCCAACTCCAATATAAATGTATTTCAAGGGAAGCAAAATAGAAACTAGAATTAAACAGAAGTTATAATAGAACAGAAATGCACATCTTAAATGAATAAGTATCACATTGGAGGCTTTTGTTCTCTGACTGGTTCAGGACTTTGCTTGTTTCCTACTTCTCAGTCCAAACAACGAAAGCAACGATCAGCTGTTTCCAAAGGGGTTCAAATGTAGGCAACTGGACTTTGGTTTCTGGAAGACGTTTCACTTCTCATCCAAGGAGCAATTCTAACCGGAATATGAGGGTCAAGCTTATAAACTGTGGCTGTCTATTGTTGTGTAACGAGCAGAAACTACCTATGAATACCCCTCCTCCCTACCCTCAGAAAAATCGTTAGCCTCTATGGGAGTTGTTGTTTTGATTAGATGCAGGAGGGTGTGACCTAGACTGAAACTGTTTGGGATTTAGGTTCAGAGCTGCATTATTGGTGCTGGAAAGGTGAAACCTGAGACCTCCCCATCTATTTCATGTTTAGACCTTTCCAGCACCTAATGTGCTCATTATTTAAAATTAAAAGTGTTTAAATGCTGAATAATATGGTTACAGGTAAACTAATGGAGTTTTCTGTAGGGATGTGAAAAATTGATTCAATCTAGCTTTGCCTTGAAGCCCTATACTAGAAAAATAAACCTTTTTGAAAACAGGCATCTGAGTCCTTTAGCAAATAATTCATTCAGATTGCTCCTGTGGGTTTTCTGCGCTCCTTAAAGACGGAGTCGGAGACAGGATCACCATCTGACAGCGTGGGTCTTTAATTAGCCTGCTCACAGCTCATACAGGACAGCCTCTTAGACCAGAAGACCAACGACCAAGCGCGGAGTGCTTTCTTATAGTCCTCCTTCCACGAGCATGCGCTGTGCGTCACGTACAACAGTGTTGGCCCAAACAGGAAAGCATCTGTGTTCCCTTGCTGGAAGCCTTGGCCGGAACACAGGAACATTCCGGTCCACATCAGTTCACGAGCACCAGAGCTTACTGGGAGTACATCTCAGCGTTGACCAACACAGGAAAGTCCTTGGAGCTGATGGTGAAACAGCACACCAACTATGACTAGAAGCACATCTCAGTAGGCTGTAACCTAAGGACTCACAATTCAGCTCAACACATTTTGTAGATGACCTCTTGACCTTTTCGGCCACTGCACTCCCGTGGGTCGCGTTCATATATTTAATATTTGAGTTATTCTCATAAATGAATACAAATATGTCTGGTTGCTGAGATGTGTCTGATGCTGGCAGGTCATAGTCACGGCTCCTCTCTTCATTTGACTGCAACCTTTGGACTTTGCTGTCAGTTGTTTGCAATAAAATATTATCAGATTTAAAACAAAAAATAATTAAAGCATCTAAACTACATCATGGCATCAGGGCAGAAGTCTGAGAAGAGCCACAGAGAACTTCCTATGTGATGCTCATCAGATCAGGAAAAGCAGCAATAAACGAACTAGTCAGAAGAAGTCTCTGACAGTATTTTGTTTTATTGATCTTTGTTAGATTTAATGTGTCATTTTTACTTGTATCTGAAGCACTTTGGTGGTATGTTTGTGTAAAGTGTTATACGAATGAAGTTCCAGCTGAGTGGAGTCTTGTGTTCGTAGTAGAAGTAAGTCTGAATTTGGTGAAGACTGTCATATCACACACCTGAGCTAACCCAGCTAGTTAACTCTACGAAGACCTCTGTGGCCCCCACACTCTGGAACTTTCTCCCTCTGATCCTGGGATCACTGGACTCAGTGGTCTCCTTTAAAAGCAGCTAAAGATTCATCTGTTCAGGTTTTGGTGAGACCTCCTGTTCATCCTTGCTTGCTTCTTTTCATGCTGCTGTCATCAATTCTGACTTTTTCTGGTTAATTTATTTAATTTTCAATTTATAATCTTAATTTCTTCTATTTTTTCTTCCATTTTACCATGATCTATCTAATCATTCTTTTTCTTCTTCTGTCGTCTTCACTCTTCTTCATTTATTCTTTTTCTATGTAATTGCTGAACTTGATCCAGGAACGAGGAACTACACTGAACATAAATATAAACGCAACACTTTTGTTTTTGCTCCCATTTTTCATGAGCTGAACTCAAACATCTGAAACTTTTTCTACATTCACAAAACAGCCACGACTCTCAAACATTGTTCTGAAATCTGTCTACATGTGTTAGTGAGCACTTTTCCTTTACCAAGATAATCCATCCCACCTCACAGGTGTGACATATCAAGGGGCTGATTAGAAAGCATGAATACCAGGCAAGTGTGCCTTAGATTGCCCACAATAAAAGGACACCCTGAAAAGTGTGGTTTGATAAAACAGCACAATGCCTCAGATGTTGCAACCTTTGAGGGAGCGTGCAATTGGCATGCTGACAACAGGAATGTCTACCAGAGCTGTTGCCCGTGAAATGAATGTTTATTTCTCTACCATAAGCCATCTCCAAGGGTAGCGATGGCGAGATGAAGCCTCATGGTGAGCTGAATCCATCCAACTAGTTGACTCTTGATTCGAGGCACCATGATGATTCATTTGCTGTATTGCGCCATCAAGTGGACAATTCAAGTAAAACTGTAAACCTTTAAACTGAAAAAATAAAGCCTTATGATGGCAATATATTTTTAATATAGTCTTAAACTGTCTTTTTAATATACTGTCTGGTCCAAAAGAGAACAGGACACTAACAGGACAGGGGGGTTCTTCTTCTTCTTCTTCTTCTTCTTCTTCTTCTTCTTCTTCTTCTTCTTCTTCTTCTTCTTCTTCTTCTTCTTCTTCTTCTTCTTCTTCTTCTCTCTAGTTGTTAACCCTCTCAGGCTCAAAATAAGTTTTGATTAAAGGACGAACAACTAAGTCCTTCAGGGGTACTTCTCAGTAAAACAATGCTCATGAAATATGTATGTGGAGTAACCAGGTAGGTTTTAACTGTTGCAGATCTGCAACGCCTGCCTCCAGAGGGTTAAAGTTGATTCAGGAACAAGGAAATAGAAGCACCAACTGAATACACAGCACGTATCACATCATTCCAGCACAGCAAAGGTCATGAGGATGAATATACACGAAACAAAAGCATGAAGTTTGATAAAATACAGGAAGGTCATGTGTACAGGGAGCTTTTTAATTCTACTGAACTTTTACAGACTTTAACAACAGAAACCAGTGAGTTAAAAACTTTCTGACTGAAGAAAAGACAAATAGAACTTTTATTATTTGGATTTTTGTTGATTAGAAACAGCAGAAAAAGAAATGTTTTTCTGGTTTTTAGAACAAGTTTGTTCACTTGACTTAAATGATTTAACAACAATAAAATAAAGCTTAAAACAGCCATGGAATGATGTCATCAATATTCTGTTCAATTCTGTTTATTTCTATAGCGCCAAATCACGACAAGAGTCGTCTCAAGGCACTTTACAAAGTAAACATTCCAATACAGGTCACTTAATTGATCCAATGACTAAAAAGTTTCCTATATAAGGAACCCAGCAGGTTACATCGAGTCACTAACTAGTGCCAGAGTCTTTACAGCAATCCTCATACTAAGCAAGCATTTAGCGACAGTGGAGAGGAAAACTCCACTTTAACAGGGAGAAACCTCCAGAGGATCCTGGCTCAGTATAAGCAGCCGTCTGCCACGACTCACTTTAGTATTTTTTTACATTGCAAATGTATTATTTTCCTCGTAAAAACAAAACAAAGCAAAATTCCAAAACGCTGATGAATTATATTGATTCACTTCTTTCTAATAGCTCATTTTGTTTTATTTTTATTTCATTCTTTGAAAAAGTAAATCAGCTGCTTAAACAAGCTCGAGTTTTATACGTTTTTTTATGTTTTAATTGTGAAAACTGTTTACCGGTACAATGAAAAATTTGAAACTGAATAATAAGTTATTTTATGATTACATTTTAAAGTTTTTAATGCTTTTTATACCAGTAGAACACTCCTGCACCAACTGCAGCAACAACAATTACACATGCAATCACTATCCCAGCGATGGCACCTCCAGATAATCCTGATGAAGGGGTGATTTCTGGAAAGAAAATGACAAAATATATATTTTAACAGCTTTTTCAAAGATCTTGTATCACAACCAAAACCCTGGAAGAAAATGTGTCATCTGGTGGCCATAGTAGTGAAGATGTTTTAGTTCGTGCACACATATGTGAGACATTACGGTAACTCTTCGAGGTACGCTATATGTTCAGTCATTATGCAACAATTCAAGTCTGTTGAATATAAATAATTCAGTGTAATAAAGGAATTTATGACTTACGACGGACAGAGACAGTTAAAGGCTGTGATGTTACATATCTGAGGGTTTTGCTGTTGAAGGCCTGACAGCTGTAGTCTCCAGTCTGGTTCATCCGAATGTTCATCAGTTGGAGTTTTGGTCCAGAACCTGAGAGCGGTTTTCCTTTCAGGAACCATTTAAACTCAGCAGAAGGTCTGGAATCTACCTTGCAGGTTAGATTGACATGTGACCCTTCCAGGTAGGAGTCTGCTGGCTGATCCAGATCAAGTCTTATATTCTCTGGACCATCTAAGTGATGGAGAAGGGAAATATGAAAAATAAAAATATGAAAAAAAAAACCATGATTGTTTGGATGTTTGTTAAAAACTTACAGCTGACTGTGATGTTCACTTGTGGCAGATTACTGGTGCTTGGACACAGAGGGAGGCATTCATATGACCCCTGGTCGTATCGGGTCACGTCGGTTATATTCATCGTGGACGTTCCATTGGAGCGGCTGATCTGAACTCTGTCGCTGTCCGTAACCACAGAGCTGCCGTTCATCCAGTGGAAAGAGGAAGGCGATCCAGTGAAGGAGCAGGACAGGCTGATGGAATCGTTAAACTCAACCAAGTCTGTGCTTGTGGAGTTTAACTCCGTAATGGAAACGGTCTCTGTGGATGGAAAAGATAAAGGCTGATATTTAACTTCCACGGCCGTTCATCCGTCACTCAGCTGTCAGAAAGATCATCCGCCTTGATCAACTGCAGCAACGCAACACAAACTTCAGCATCCCACAGATCCCCTGAAGTTGAGTTGCGTGAATTATCAGCAATTGGTGTGTCTAATCTGAAACAAGCAAAGAGGAAACTGAGATTATGGGATGGAGAAACGAAACGTTCAGAATGAAGCCATCCAGTTTCTTTCCTGCGTGTTTATTGTTCTCTCTCAGTAACACTGACTGGGTTTCTAGTGAGACTCAGTTTGCAGGAGTGCTGCACAAAGAACACGTTACACACGCCAAAATGCCAAAGTGTGAAACTGTGGGAAAAGGACGAGGTGTAAAATTCTACCAAATGATATTTGCATGTACGGTTGTTCAAGTTTTGGTAACGCTTCCTTTTACAGTCCCCTAATTACTAAGCACTTACATGGTAATTACATGGTAAGTTAAAGTGTAATATTGTGTAATTAAAGTGTATAATTGTAATAAAGTGCATTATTGTGTAATTAAAGTGTATAATTGTAATAAAGTGTATTATTGTGTAATTGAAGTGTATAATTGTAATAAAGTGTAATTATTGTGTAAAGCAGTATTTACTGGAAATGATTAATAAAAACAAAAACTAGAATTGAACCTGAGTTACATGGTAATAACAACCTTTACCAGAGGAGCGTGAGTTTGGTCCGCATAGCCGGTAGTAAGTCGGACCTGTTCCCAGTGAGGGTTGGACTCCGCCAGGGCTGCCCTTTGTCACCGGTTCTGTTCATCATTTTTATGGACAGAATTTCTAGACGCAGCCGTGGTGTGGAGTGTGTCGAGTTTGGTGGCAGGAGAATCTCGTCTCTGCTTTTTGCGGATGATGTGGTCCTCCTAGCTTCATCCAGCTCTGACCTTCAGCTCTTGCTGGGTAGGTTCGCGGCCGAATGTGAAGCGGCTGGGATGAGGATCAGCACCTCCAAATCTGAGACCATGGTTCTCGACCGGAAAAGGGTGGCTTGCCACCTCCGGGTCGGGAGAGAGGTCCTACCTCAAGTGGAGGAGTTTAAGTATCTCGGGGTCTTGTTCACGAGTGAGGGTAGGAGGGATCGGGAGATCAACAGGCGGATTGGTTCGGCGTCTGCAGTGATGCGGACGCTGAGCCGATCTGTCATGGGGAAGAGGGAGCTGAGCCAGAAAGCCAGGCTCTCGATTTACCGGTCGATCTACGTCCCAATCCTCACCTGTGGTCATGAGCTTTGGGTAATGACCGAAAGAACGAGATCGCGGATACAAGCGGCCGAAATGAGTTTCCTCCGTAGGGTGGCCGGGATCAGCCTTAGAGATAGGGTGAGGAGCTCGGCCATTCGGGAGGGACTCGGAGTAGAACCGCTGCTCCTCCGGATCGAAAAGAGCCAGTTGAGGTGGTTTGGGCATCTGGTCAGGATGCCTCCTGGACGCCTCCCTGGGGAGGTGTTTCGGGCATGTCCTGCCGGCAGAAGGCCCCTGGGTCGACCCAGGACACGTTGGAGAGGTTACATCTCCAATCTGGTCCGGGAACGCCTTGGGGTCCTGCCGGAGGAGCTGGTGGACAAGGCCGGGGAGAGGACGGCCTGGAGCTCCCTAGTTGGGATGCTGCCCCCGCGACCCGGACCCGGATAAGCGGAGGAAGACAACGACGACGACAACAACAACCTGAGTTACATGGTAAAAACTGTTTCAGAACTCAGAAACAATAATACATTTTAAATTACTATGTAATTACCATCTAAGTACTTAGTAATTAGGGGACTGTAGAAGGAAGCATTACCCAAGTTTTCCTGATTTATTCTGTATTTATTCTTTTTTGACCCGATAATCCAACTATTATAGGTAACGCTTTATGGTAACACTTTATAATAACTACATCTTATTTAGCTTTAATTACACATGAACAAACATGTAAGTAACTACTAACAAATAATTAATTAACAATTATAAAGTGTTACCCTATTATATTCTTCAGGAATGTGACTGATTGATCTGTGTTGTCTCACACATTAATTAGAAATTACTTACATTTGAGATTGTTTTATCATCTCTCTCTCTCTCTCTCTACACACACACACACACGCACAAACACACACACACACACACACACACACACACACACACACACACACACACACACACACACACACACACACACACACACAGACACACACACAAACACACACACACACACACACACACACACACACACACACACACACACACACACACACATTTATTTATGTATGTTTGTGTTTTGGTGCAAATACACGCTAAAACCTCAAGGCAAATACTACAAACTACAACATTACTTTTAAGCTTTACTTTTTGCTCACCGTAGAGGTTCAGTTTGGTGATTCCTGGTGATTCGTCTCCATGTGCTGGTAAAATACTAACTCTGTACTCTCCCGAGTCATTGAGTGTCAGATTCCTGAGCTCCAGAGATCCAGTAGACATGAAGAGGGTGATCCTGCCTTCATACCCTGGTGCAGTTAGGTTTCTGCCAGGCAGGGAGGTTATTATAGGTTTAATTCCCAGACTCCAGGCTACTGACTGAAAAGGTGTTTCTGCTTGATTCCAGTTTGTTGCGAAGGTCACCGCTCCATCCAAACATCCATCCACAAGATCTTTTGGTAACACACCAGCTCCTTCAGATAAACCTGTACAGAGAGGGTTTAGCATCAGAGAATGAACATTTCTTTATTGGATGTGAAAATAAGCATGAATGTCACAGTTTTGCATACATATAATCTATGAAACATACCAAAATAAAAGCATTTAAAAAAAATTTTAAAGGGACATTATGGAAGTTTGACAGCCAAAACATGTATAGAAATAATAAATGTCTTCTTCATACGTTCTCCTGCAATGCCCTGGTCCTGTAGAATGAGCCCTGGCATTTTTACTGTGATTGCCTGTTTTTCTGTAAAATCACAGAAAAAGAGAGCTGCTCGGGTCGAGCAGGCTGCTTCATGCGCGTTCACGCTCAGGCATAGCCCGTAGCATTTGCTATCCGTAGCTTTAGCAGCAGAGAGAGCGGCAGTGCCACTTTGTCGCTGTTCCTAACGCCTAGTGACAAACCTAGCTACATTTCTGAGGACCCTTAGCTACTTTCTTCTAGATGTTTCCTGCAAATTAGCAACAAAATAGCCATTTTCGCTCCGAACTGTTCTTTGAACGTTGTTTCAGCTGTCATGTAGGACATAAAAGTCCCAGATACAAAAGGCGTTACTGGCGCTTAAGCTCATCTAGTTAAACGTTGGACTCTCATGCTGAAGATCTGGGTTTGATTCTTGATGTGAACGTAATTTATGTAGAGTTTATGTTTTTTACATTAATGGTATATTTTTTTACAGTAAGATGCCCAAATTTTTATTTGAGACTCGCCGAACGGCATTGAATTCACAGATAAAAAAGATGTGGGTTCAACTTTCATTTTGGAACAATTTTTCAAGCAAGGGAAGGGAATGATCTGAGCATGCAGGAGGACTGACCCATCATAAACCTTTGTCGGCTGTGCTGAAGAGAAAGGTACAGAACCAAATTATTTAATTAATTAGCTGCACGTTCTCCTGTCCTCTATCCTCTGGGCCACACACACACACACACACACACACACACACACACACACACACACACACACACACACACACATACACACACACATACACACACACACACACACACACACACACACACACACACACACACACACACACACACACGGGACTGTCTCAGCTGTTATTTTCGTTAAGGAGTGTGCACGTACAGCATGCGTGCCTCGTGCACGAGCCTACCATTGAAGCTGTCGTTACGCTTTTGGCCTGAGGGGGCAATCGCGAGCATAAAAATTCAAAAGTCCGTAAAGTCTCTTTAAATATGTTCTTTGATAAACCCGATGCTGACATCAGCCTTATGCTGTCAGAAGTCACCACCACTTTTTTGTTGACGACAAGCATGACTCCTGCTTTCTCCTGATACAAATATTTGAGAACATGAAGATGTTTATATGATCAAGATTTAAATTTTTGTGCTGCAAATTTAACAAAACGTTGGTGTTTTGTTGTCATGAACAAAGTGTAATTTCAAACAGAGAAACACACTTTGCCACATTTGCATAACATGCACTAAACTATAATGGCTGTGGCAAGTTTTTATTCCTGCCCTATGGTGTGTGACTTCGTATGTAAACATGTTTCAGCAGCAAATCTATTCATAGGAATAGTGGGAAATGTTTTTTTAGTAGTGAAATGTTCCGATCCTACCTGAAAGGTTTCTGAGAACGATGAAAAACAACAATAACTTTTCCATTTCTTCTCATATCCACAGGGTTAGAACTGCTTTTCAGACAGCCTTGGAAACTGACAGTAGTGTGAAGCTGTAACTCTGCCTTCCTGATCACTAAAAGGTTCGTCAGCCAGTGTGTGTTGATCATTAACAAGCGTGTTCTGTTGCTCACTGTTTACACAGCAGCAAGCACATCCTCATTAACCCCTTCACACACAAACATTTCTCTATTTACTAAATATCTTAAGCATAATTAGGAGAATCATATTTAGATTTACCCCCTCCTTTGTTATAAGTTAGTTTTTCTTCAGACAACGACAAAAATGTAATTTCAGTGAGTCGTGGTGGATGGCTGCTTGTACTGAGCCAGGATCCTCTGGAGGTTTCTTCCTGTTAAAAGGGAGTTTTCCTCTCCACTGTCGCTACATGCTTGCTTAGTATGAGGATTGCTGTAAAGTGACTTGATGCAATTTGCTGAGTTCCTTATGTAGGAAACATTTTTTATGATTGGCTTAATGAACTGACCTGAATAGGAATGTTTATTATGTGAAGTGCCTTGAGATGACTCTTGTCGTGATTTGGCGCTACATAAATAAACTTGAATAAAATTGAATTTAAAAATGTAATTTTAGCATCAATAACTGGCTAAAAATTCTAGTCTGACAAGCAGCAGCAGCAGGGATCTGGTTTGAAACTTATTAGGAGTAATTCTTGAAATAACTCAAAAAAGAGAGAGAATGTCATTTGTCAAAATTACAAATTTGCTACATTTTTCACACATAAAGAGGTTAGAAATCCATTTTAAGCAACATCACAGTCTAAGCTAACATTCTGTCCCGCTCTGAACTTGAGTTATTTTTGTTATTGTTGCCAGATTAGCAATCCTAGAACTGAATGGATTATGTTTGCACCGAGTGGTGCTCCTGCAGTAACTCAGTCGTTGTGGCTTTTCATGTGAGGCAAATGATGTTTCTAATTTGGGTGTCAAGGTTGATTCTCAGCTTAACTTTGATGTTCAGTTTTTTTCACCTAAGGAAGCTTTAAAAGGTAAAATCCTTTTTGACTAGGAATGACTTTGAGAAGCTCATCCATGCATTTATAACATCTCGTTTAGACTACCGTCAGAGCGCACCTCAATATAAGCCGCATCGGGCTAAAAGCCGCAGATATCTACTGAATTGAAAATGTGGTTTAACTGAACGTAACTGAACTGATCAGTATCAAACAAAACAGAAAAGTTGTTGATTAGTTTATTCATCGTCCTCCTGCGCACTGAAACCACTGAAGTCCTCTTCTTCAGTGTTGGAGTAGAACAGCCTCAGAAGAGCTTCACCACATACCTTTTCTGTGGCGATGTCAGTGTCGCTGTCCGTGTTGCTGTCATCATCCCGGGGTGAAGCCTGGGAAAACAAGCAGCGCCGTTTTACTGTGAAAGAAATCCTCCTGGGCGCTTTCCGTAGCGCTCCTTTAACCATTCCTTCTTTAGACTTTCCAGCATCCATCCTTTCTGGTTGACTAAAGCCGCACCTCATTATAAGCCGCATGGTTCAAAGCGTGGGGAAAAGTAGCGGCTTATAGTCCAGAAAATACGGTACTGCAATAGTTTTGTCATGGATGTATTGCTAGGCTGCAGCTCGTCTCCTGACTGGCACGCGTAGGTTTGATCACATCACTCCGGTTCTTGCACCTCTGCATTGGATCCCAGCTAAGTTCTGTGGGCAGTTTAAGATTCAGGTTTTTGCTTACAAATGTTTGAATGGACTTGCTCCTAGCTGTTGATCTGAACTCCTCGTGCCATGTGTTACATCTCGTGACTTGTGTTCGGCTGACCAGCGTAGGTTGAGTGTACCTAGACACGGCTACAGAAAAGAGGTTTTAGGTCTTTCTCTGTGGCAGCACCGACTCTGTGGAATACGTTGCTCATCTCAACAGCTTTTACTATTCCTCGATGACTTGTTAGTCCTGTTTTTTATAATTTCTTATGCAGGATTTTTTTATGTATTGTTTTTATGTTTTATTGTGTTTTTACTTGACTGTTTTTATTTGTTTATGTTTTCATATGTCTATCTTCAGCACTTTGGGAAACACTGTTGCCTTTAAATGTGCCATACAAATAAACGTGATTTGATTTTGTCCACGCCTTCCTCACGCTTAAACTACAGCAACTCGCTTTTCACGCATGAGCTGAACCTCCCTGAACCCTTCACAGGTGGTTCAGCACTGTCAGTGCGCCCCAAGGGTGCTGTGGCTACACTGTAGCTCATCATCACAGCGCGTAAATGTGTGTGTGAATGGGTGGAAGGTGTTGTGAAGAAGAAGAAGAAGAAGAAGAAGAAGAAGAAGAAGAAGAAGAAGAAGAAGAAGAAGAAGAAGAAGAAGAAGAAGAAGAAGAAGAAGAAGAAGAAGAAGAAGAAAAGATCTTTTCTATAGCGCCTCTCAAGATAAAAATCACGAGGTGCTTCACAAAAACGAAAAATGTAAAAATATTTTTAAAAAATTTAGAAAGTAATTAAAACAGTGAAGCATTAGTGAAGAATAGTGAAGCACCTTGAAGGGTTGTAGAACCCTGAGAACCTGCTATACAAATACAGGCCACTGACATAGACAAATACCATTGGTTACACGGTTCCGACACCCTCAGCAGGTGCCTGAGGTCTTTTTGGATCGTTTTTTTTTTATTTTGTTGTTCTTGTGAAGCACCTTGTATTTTTTTATCTTGAGAGGCGCTTTATTTAAAATTGTAATAAGAAACGTATTTGGTACAACTTTAATATTTTTTACCATTTTTATAGATTAGGCTGAAACAACAGAATAATTTGAAGTCCCAGTGATTTCAACTCTTTTCGCTCTGCTTGTAAACACCAGATGGAGACATTTAGCTCTGCTGCAGAGACAGGGTGTCTCCCACCATGGAGATCATTAACAGCGCCAAGTGCAAAGAGACGTTCTTCATAAGTTACCAGGTCTGTTTCCTTGTGACACTAGGAGAAGCATTGATATGTAGCCATGCTGTTACTGCTTTTAACTGTGGCTGCATCTTTTACAGGTAAAAACCTGAAATATTCATCTTCTCATTACAAGAACAGCAGGTTAGATTGAGTTAGACGAATCTCCTGCTGTTGATTAAGTGTTTTAATGATTAAAAAGCAGACTACAAAGTCTCACCAGCTCGGTTTTAAATATTAGTGCTGAAATAGTTGTTTATGAACAGGTGTTGTGTTCATTTTAAATTCACAAATACTTTTGCCCTTCTAAGCAGATTTTAATGGCGTGTTTCTTATTGAATTGTCCAGGTTTATCTGAAGGAGTCGGTGTTTTACCTGATGGTCCTCTGACAGCATCAGTAGGAGGGTCGGTGATGTTCAGAACAAACCTGAATCCAACAGAAACACCATTTTTTGCTGTGTCATGGAACTATGAGAATAAGCCTATAATAACCTCAACGAATGTTTTTAACACAACTGTACCAGAGTATGAAAACAGGATCACCCTCTTCAGATCTACTGGATCTCTGGAGCTCAGGAATCTGGGACTCAATGACAATGGAGAATACGACGTTATCATTCAACCAGCTGATGATTTCCAAAAGATTGGAACAACCAGACTGGTTGTATACGGTAAGCTGTTTGTTTTAACACTCTTTATTATAACAATGACAAACAGTTATGTTCATATATTAACGACTAGCTGAGTATTAGAAACCCAAACCCACTTAGCTGCTGTTCTCGTCTCCTTCATCAGTAAATGATATCTGGTATTTATACGATACTTTTATTCTAATTGTTCCAACAGATGGTTTTAGCTGTAATTGTTAAAAGAAATGAAAACAAGACAATATTGAAGAAACAAATGTGAGATTGTCATTGTTTATCTAGGTTATTAGTAATGATTGTTGTTTATTCCATTGTTAAATCCACGCCGCTGCTGGAAAAGCCAGAGTTGCTTCCTTGGAATCTCTCTGAACTCCCTACAGCAAACATGAACTGTTTGTGTTCATGCATCCTTTTTATTACCACGCTGCTGAAGTGGGTGAAAACCAAATCCTACGTAAAATCAGCTTTAATAACAGATTATTCAAGTAACAAGTTTCCCTCAATAAAAGGTTAGAAACATTATTTTAGTTAATAGTTTCTCTCCTTTGATAATATTGTATTTTACACCAAAACACACAAAAAACTTAATTATTTTTTTCTCAGGCTTTCCAATTATATTAAGCTCCTGCAGATTGTTTACATAAATGCATTTCTGACTTTTGAAGCATCAATAATCTAGATTTGAATTAGGATTAGTACCTTCATCACAAATCTGCCATTTCAGTCATATGTACAGTTTGTCTGTCTGGTGGAGAACACGGGTGTCAAAAACTGATTTAATTTTTAACGCCATCATGTCAAATAACTACATATCACTAATAAACATGTATAATTTCATCCCCAGATCCAGTGTCTGGTGTGTTGCTAACCGCCAGCAGCACAGATCTAGTTGAGTTCAACAGTTCTGTCCGTCTGTCCTGCTCCTCCTCTGGATCTTCTCTCTCCTTCCTCTGGATGAACAGCAGCTCTGAGGTTACAGCCAGTGACAGAGTTCAGATCAGCAGCTCTGATGGAGGATCCACTCTGACTCTAGTCACCGTGACCCGATATGACCTGGGACCATTCAGCTGTAACGTGTCTAATCCTGTCAGTTCTGCCGTCAGTGAAGCAGTAAAGCTCTCAGTCAGCTGTGAGTTCAGCTCTGTTTAAACATCATAAAGTTACTGAACAAACTTTTAAACATCTGATTCTGTGATGAACCTCCGTCTGACTACAATCCTCAGTTTCTGTTTGAACTTAGTAAAAAAGAGTTTTATTTAAAAGTAATTTATATTAACGCAAATATATTTTTCCTGATTTTAATAATAACTTCTCTGACCAACATGTTTTTATTTGTTTCATCAAAAACTCAGATGGTCCAGAAAATACACACTTGGCTGCTTCTCCATCAGAAGAGCACTATATGGAGGGATCAAACGTGTCTCTGAGCTGCTCAGCTGAGTCTAGACCTTCAGCAGATATCTCCTGGTTCCTAAATGAGAACATGCTGCCTGATTCTGGACCAGAACTCAGACTGATGAACATTCAGCTGAGTCAGACTGGAAACTACAGCTGTCAGGCCTTCAACAGCAAAACCCTCAGATACCAAACATCTCAGCCTTTAGCAGTGACTGTTTATGGTAGGTCCAAATAAATCCTTATTTTATCAACATTTATTTCATGTTTTTATATTTGCTCTGTGGCTGTAATGATTACGAGACACCGATGTATTTTGTTAGAAAACACACGCTGTGGGTCAGATAACAAGATTCTGCAGCATCTGAAAACAATACTGGAGTAAATGTGATACTACTCAACTGAGTCAGATGTTTTTATAATCTAACACATTAGATGTGGTTTTGTATCTTAGGTGCACATGTTAACTTCATCCAAATGTGTACATCCAACACATCAGTGGTTGGGCACATCATTTGTCACCACGGAGTTTCACTGCTACGCCGACGACATTCAACTTTTCCTGTCTGCAGCTCCCGTTACTCCCACAGTTTCTGTCTTAACTAACTGCCTTAATGACATAAAGTGCTGGATGTCTGCCAGTTTCATAAAACAGAATTACCGGACCAAAAACACTCCTGCCTTCCATTAAAGACATCTCCCTCAGTATTGATGGTCATATTGTAACGCCATCTTCTCATATCAGAAACCTTGGTGTGACCTTTGACCCTAGCCTTTCCTTCCAGCCACACATCTGCAATGTCACTAAGATAGCCTACTTTCACCTATGTAATATTGCCCATCTTCACCCTGTTCTATCCTTCAATGCTGCAGAAACACTCATCCACGCCTTCATCTCGTCCAGAATCGACTAATGTAATGGTCTACTACACGGTCTCCCTCGTGCACATCTACAGAAACTTCGACATGTTCAAAACTCAGCTGCCAGGCTTCTTTCACACACAAAACCCTGGATTTTAAAAAAAACATCACTGGCTTCCGGTTCAACAGCGTACTCAGTACGATATTACTGATCACTTACAAAGCTCCTAATAACTTTGCCCCATCATACCTCTCTGATGTCATCAGCAACCTTCCCACCATCTCAGATCTTCTGCCTCCAACCGGCTCTCTCAGTTAGTCACATCAAAGCACCGCACCATCGGAGGCAGAGCTTTTTCCGTTGCTGCCCTAACCTTATGGAATTCTGTCCCACAACACATCCGTGCTGCCGACTCACAGCAGAAACTCTAAAAAGTTGTAAAAACTCACCTATTCAACCAAGCGTTCAAATAACACTAACCTGTCCTCTTTTTGTTCATTTGTCTGTTGTCTGTCTAGTTGTACAGCATTTTGAGAAATGCTTTATAAAATAATAATAATAATAATAATTATTATTATTATTATTATTATTATTATTATTATTATTATTATTATTATTATTATTATTATTATCATCATTATTGTTACAATTATTATTATGATTATTAAAATTATTATAAGAATTTTTGTTTTCATTATTATTATTATTATTACAATTATTATTATTTTACTATTATTATTATACCATTATTATTAATATAATAATAATAATAATGTTATTATTATTATTATTATTATTACATTATTATTATTACTATTATTATTATTATTATTATGTTATAATTATTATTATGATTATTACATTTATAATTAACTTTGTTTTTATTATTAGTATTATTATTACTATTATTATTATATCATTATTATTAATATAATAATACTAATAATATTGTTATTATTAATAAAATTATATTATTATTATTATTGTTGTTATTATTATTATTATTATTATTATTATTATTATTATGTAGCACCACTCTGAGACACTAAGTTTGGGTTCCTGAAATGAACAAAAAACGAATTAAAATTAAAAAATGTAAATAAAAGTGTAGCTTCATTAAAAGGTTTTAAAGGTAATAAGCATGAATGTAAATAAGCAGTAGGACTCCGTTTTTGCATAAAATAACTGCTGAAACTCAATTAAGCATCAAATCTGAGGCGACGCCCCAGCTGACCTACAATAAACTTTATTAAATGTATTATGATGGTTTTGTTGTGGTTTTTATGTTTTTATTCTGGCCTTTGTGATTAAAAGATTATATAGAATAAAGTCACCAGGAACTGATGAAACTATTTTGTTTTGTGCCCACAGCCCCAGTCAGAGACGCGACAGTAACTCCACCAAGTGCAGACCTGATTGAATTCAACAGTTCTGCCCGTCTGTCCTGCTCCTCCTACGGATTTCCTCTCAGCTTCCTCTGGATGAACAGCAGCTCTGAGGTTACAGCCAGTGACAGAGTTCAGATCTCTGATGGAGGATCCACTCTGACTCTAGTCAACGTGACCCGATATGACCTGGGACCATACAGCTGTCACGTGTTCAATGATTTCAGTTCTGTCACCAGTGAAGCAGTAACGCTCTCAGTCAGCTGTGAGTGAATTAATTATGCATTTTTATGGCATCTGCATGCAAACAGGCTTTAATAACTAATATTTATTACATAGTTTTATGTTTATGTAGCACAGAAGTTCACTCCATCTCCGACCCACCATAACACCCATGCTAGGTGTAATTAGAAAGCAGCGATCTTTTACTTTGGATGAATCAGAGGTTTTTCTCCTGATATCTTTGTGTCCACTTAAAGGTAGAGAGGCCCTGAAACAAAAAAGTGAACCTTGTATTGGTTTTGATTCTGACATGATTTTTATTTTCTGTTTCCTGTTTTCTCAGATGGACCAGAAACTGTACAACTGCAGGTTTCTCCATCAAAAGAACACCATAAAACAGGATCAGACGTCCAGATGTTCTGCTCAGCTGTTTCCAGTCCTGATGCCTCATTTCAGTGGTTTGTGAATGGAAACCCACTACCTGATACTGGACCAGAACTCAGGCTGATGAGTGTTCAGACACATCAGAGTGGAAGCTACAGCTGTCAGGCCTTCAACAGCAAAACTCTGAGATATCAAACATCTCAGCCTTCAGCTCTTTCTGTTCTTGGTGAGTCTGACAATATTTTTCTATTATAGAAATTAAGATTGAATAAATGTGATTAAGGTGCTTAAATGTCGTCGTCGTTGTCTTCCTCCGCTTATCCGGGTCCGGGTCGCGGGGGCAGCATCCCAACTAGGGAGCTCCAGACTGTCCTCTCCCCGGCCACCTCCACCAGCTCCTCCGGCAGGACCCCAAGGCGTTCCCGGACCAGATTGGAGATGTAACCTCTCCAACGTGTCCTGGGTCGACCCGGGGGCCTCCTGCCGGCAGGACATGCCCGAAACACCTCCCCAGGGAGGCGTCCAGGAGGCATCCTGACCAGATGCCCAAACCACCTCAACTGACTCCTTTCGATCCGGAGGAGCAGCGGTTCTACTCCGAGTCCCTCCCGAATGTCCGAGCTCCTCACCGTATCTCTAAGGCTGAGCCCGGCCACCCTACGGAGGAAACTCATTTCGGCCGCTTGTATCCGTGATCTCGTTCTTTCGGTCATTACCCAAAGCTCATGACCATAGGTGAGGATTGGGACGTGGATCGACCGGTAAATCGAGAGCCTGGCTTTCTGGCTCAGCTCCCTCTTCACCACGACAGATCGGCTCAGCGTCCGCATCACTGCAGACGCCGAACCAATCCGCCTGTCGATCTCCCGATCCCTCCTACCCTCACTCGTGAACAAGACCCTGAGATACTTAAACTCCTCCACTTGAGGTAGGACCTCTCCCCCAACCCGGAGTTGGCAAGCTTAAATGACATCAAATCCAAAATGTAACTAAAACATTTAAATTAAAAGAGTCCCAACTGTTTGTTTACTTCACTCAAATTCACTGATGTGTTTCATCTAAATAAACAAAATAAACTATTTAAAAGTCGCTTTGGAATAAAATAACATAAATTCAAATCATTAAGATTCGGATGGTATCTTTGGTTTTTATCAAGAACTGTGGTGATTAGATCACCTGAATATCCAATTAATTAAGTTATTAGTAACATTTTGTCTCTTATTTAAATGATTAAACTCCAGTTTTACCTCTGGGATTCATTAAGGTTTAAACTATAGACACGTATAAATACTGGACAAACCCCACTCGTTGCTTTCTAAATGAGCCCAAATGGGCGGTTCCCATCACCGCCATCTCGGTCGTGTCACTCGTCTCGTCACGCGCAGATAATCCAAAAATGGGAAACATGGTGGCGATGAGAGTGGGAGCAAGTGACTGACACCCAGAAACTCTGAACAGATGTCGGTAAAAGCTAACTCGAAGCTTGGAGCCAACCAGGGACGAAATTTTGATTTCAGAAGTGGGGGGGACACAGCAGGCTTGTGCGGATTTGGGGTGGGGGGTGTTATGTAAAGACCCCTTGACACGTCACGTGCCCATCTCAATAATTTTTCCATCCTCAATATATATATATATATATATATATATATATATATATATATATATATATATATATATATATATATATATCAAAGTTAAAAAATGTACAACTCTATTATTATTTTTATTTATTATCATTATTGGAGTGCAGTTTTGGCTGTTGACAATGGATAGGCCATTGTATTTATTATTTTGGGTCTTTTTTTATTGTTTTTGGTGCAACATTTTCTAACAGGGAGTGATATTCCTTTTTTATTTAATTTTTGTTTGTTATTTTTATTCATTTAGAAGTTCTGGTTCTGGACATTTCAATGTTAAATGAAGGTTTCTTTGTTGCATTTTAAAGGGTGTACTTGCATTATTATGATATATTAACATTATATTAGTGGTTATTTTGGTCTAGATAATGTTGACAATGATATCGTTTATCATCAACAATTTGTTGGAAAAAATATCGTCCAGCAAAATTTGTTACATTCCCAGGCCTACTCAAAAGTATAAAAATTATTTATACATAAACGGTCCTCCTGAGATCTGGCCGTTTGTTCATTTGCTGTGTTAGAGGACATGCTGAACTAATGTTTTACACATGATCATCACCCTAACATTTGAGTGTATAAAAACATATTAAATATGTTTTTCCCCTTAAAAGTGTTTAAACAGTTGTTGCATTTCAACACACAAAAAATAAATGGAAAAAATAAGATAAATCTAATGAAAAGTGTACATCTTTGACATTAAGCTTAAAAAAATCTGTTGACGATGATACTGTTCATTTTTCAGAGCTTTTTAATGTGAACATATACATTGCAATAGATAAGTTTACAATAAAGTTAAATGATAAAAGTTTTGAAGTTACACTTCTACTACTACTACTACTAGTAATAATAATTATGATGATAATAGTAATAATAAAAAAAATAATTATTATAATAATACGAATAAATTGTGTCTGAGGAGTCAGTTATGTGGAGGAGATGAGTTTGTAAAAGTTAGTTTTGAGTATGTTTGTGAAGGAGGAGGTGCGTCTGAGCTTAATGCAGGTCTGTCACATGTTCCAACTTACGTTTTGACTTTGAAAGAAGTCTCTTATATCCACTTTTTGTTTTCTTGACATGCTGCCTCCTGGCTGTGCCTAACTACCAAAGAGTCACAAATGAACACTTATTCAAATGTTATGTAATGGAAGCTGAGCTGAGCTCTGATATTACACAGCGTCTAGTTGACGATGTGACTCAGTACCGGTGTTCCCTAGCGGCTCCAAACTAGCAAAACAACGTGAGCACGTTCTGACTGTTTACAACTTGAGTGACAGCAGCAACAGCCAATAATACGTTAGCAAGTATCAGCAGAGCCAATAGATTAGCTTTTGGGCGGGTCTAATAGTAAAGCGGTTTCCGTTTCGGTCCTAGTGCTCAACCAAATCCATTTAATGGAGCGTAACATTGTTTTTGGACGGAAAAAAGTGCAGGGGACCAAAACTGCCTTTTGAAAAAGTGGGGGGGACATGTCCCACCCGTCCCCCCCCCCAAAATTACGTCCCAGGAGCCAACAAGGCTAGCTACGGATTACAAGCAAACCCAGAGCTAACCTGAAGCTAGCAGAGGTTTTTGGGCGCTTTTAGCCAGAAATATGTGGTTGAGCGACTCAAAAGTGAAGCCGCAACAACTGAAAGAGCTGCTGTGTTCCTGTGGTGTCCCTCAGAGAGCTTCACTGGGAACCAGCAGGACTTCAGCCTCGCATGAGAGCCAGGCAAATATAATTATATATAACATTATATACTTTTATCCCCAGATCCAGTGTCTGGTGTGTTGCTAACCACCAGCAGCACAGATCTAGTTGAGTTCAACAGTTCTGTCCGTCTGTCCTGCTCCTCCTCTGGATCTTCTCCCTCCTTCCTCTGGATGAACAGCAGCTCTGAGGTTACAGCCAGTGACAGAGTTCAGATCAGCAGCTCTGATGGAGGATCCACTCTGACTCTAGTCACCGTGACCCGATATGACCTGGGACCATACAGCTGTCACGTGTCTAATCCTGTCAGTTCTGTCGCCAGCATCAGCACCAGTCTCTCCATCAGCTGTGAGTTTAGATCTGGACATCATGTGTCCGATTCCTCACACTGACCTGATGCAGCTGCTAACATCATTCTTGTTGGTGTTCCTCGTGGCAGATGGTCCAGAAAACACTCTGTTGACAATATCTCCATCCAAACACGAACACGTGAAAGGATCCGACGTCCAGATGTTCTGCTCAGCTGTTTCCAGTCCTGATGCCTCATTTCAGTGGTTTGTGAATGAAAACCCACTACCTGATACTGGACCAGAACTCAGGCTGATGAGTGTTCAGACACATCAGAGTGGAAGCTACAGCTGTCAGACCTTCAACAGCAAAACTCTGAGATATGAAACATCTCAGCCTTTAGCTCTTTCTGTGATTGGTGAGTCTGAAAAAGTATTTTTCTGGATTAATTATAAAACAGCCGTATAATTCCTAGAATATTCTGAGCTTTTCCCTTTTCCCCAAAATGACGCAAGATTAACCTTTTGGTTAGATTGAATTTTATGGACTGCAAACATCACTGTGACAAACCAACTATCCTCCAGCCACATTTATATTTATTGAACATTTATGTTTTAAAACACGTTATACTTCATTTCTTAGTTTTGCCTCATTATTACTTGAATAATAATTGCCTTTTGCTCCCTTTTTAAACACAACACAAACAAAATAGGTTGTTTAGTTGCAGTCATTAACTAGCTGCTTTGCTGCTTTAACATTTGGTTTTAATGATGAATTAGTTTTAAACTACTGTTTCTGTTAATTCTGTTTAGGAGGAAGCTCTGGATTACCTGATGGCATCATCGCTGCAATAGTGATCGTGTGTTTAGTGATTGTTGCAGGTGTTGGTGTTGGGTTCTGGATCATTAGAAAAAAGTAAGTAAAAAAGAGGCTCTGAGAATGTAAACAGGAAGTCAGTTCTACACCCAATAAAATGGATCTGTACTTCTAGTTCAGGGAAGTGTATTTTTGAAATTCTGGCGATACGATACATATCACGATATATTGTGATACATTCAGTCAGACGTCACAAGCAATTTTTTTTTACTGAATTTATTGTAAGAATGTTCAATAAACAGTCCAAACTGATTTGTAACATGTTTAACATGAGGTATCTGAACCATGATGGAGGGATTTACATTTCAATGGTGGAATCAAAACACGTTGCACACTGCTGCCAACTAGCGGGTGGCGATTGAATTGCACAAAACGAAAAGAAAATACACAAAAGTTTGCATGTAAATTCTTTCAAGAATTAGATACACAGCTTTTGAATATCGATGTAATAATCGCAGGAAAAAACATCACGATATATTGCCATATCGATATTTCCGATACACGGCTTTTGAATATCGATATAATATTGCTGGAAAAAATATCACGATATATTGCCATATCGATATTTTCTTACACCCCTATTCTAGTTATTAGCCAGGTTTTAGGTCTCTGCGTGTCAAACTAAAAGTATTAAAAAAAAATAAGTTTTACAAACACACGTTGAACTTTTATGTGGACAAAGGCTAAAAGAAGTGAAAAGTGTGGATTGTAAAGACGGATGTTTATCTACAGAAAGGTGAGACAAAAGCCCACCAGTGGAGGCATCTTCACCATAACAGGTGTGCTTTTCTTGAATTTATTTTTAATTCAGCATTTACACTTTTGGTTTATTTCTTATCGTTTGTGCATTTTTTAAAGGTGGCGGCAGGAAGGATCACACAGCGAACAGTGAGGTAAGGCATTGCTACCGTTACACTGTAAAAAAGAACACGATATATGTGGGAACTCACTCAGAGTCTGGATAAATCGTGATGGTGATTTAAGTCATATCAGCCGTATTAATATCGGACAGGCAGGTTTCTTTCAGAGCCTGAAAAATTGAAATCTCATACACAAATGTTTGAAAATAAATATTCCATTCATTTATTCAATAGAAAATTTATTGCTTTTTCCAAATTATTACAGAAGCAAAGTGCTGCCATCCTTAGAAAAGAATATCCCTTCATAATAAATGATAACATTTTCATATTTTTACATTTTTTACATTAAAAACAAAACGTGTTCACGTTATTACATCATGAAGACTGATCATGTTCTCATGAAATAAAAGATAAAAAATATCATTTTTGAATAATAACATTTTCATGTGATAAATTAACCAATATGTTATTAAAGAGCAAGTCACCCCCAAAACAACTTTTTTTCTGATAAACTATATAAATGAGTGTCTAATCGTGCCGCAGACACACGTAGTCAACAGTTTAGCATGTTAGTGCATTTTAGTTAAAATTTAAATATTCTGCCTAAAACTGTCAGTGTTGTGCCGTTGTCAGGTAAAAACTCTGCACTGCAGTTTAATTTAAATCTGCCATCGCTATTGGCTAAGAGGTACCCTAGAATGTTAGCTGGTACCATATGATGTCACAATGTTGTTGTGAGCCTCTCTGTGTGTGTGTGTGTGTGTGTGTGTGTGTGTGTGTGTGTGTGTGTGTGTGTGTGTGTGTGTGTGTGTGTGTGTGTGTGTGTGTGTGTGTGTGTATGTGTGTGTGTATTTGTTAGCGGCTCTGCCCTCTCGGTCTGTTAGGCAACAGCATTTGTTGCATTTTTCAAACAGGAAGTGGGAGTTGAGTAAGAATCTGGTAGGGGGTGACTTGCTCTTTAACATCAGAAAATGTGATTTTCTAAAAAACATTCTCATTGTGTCTTTCATAATAGAAGTTTACTATGATGAAAATTACGTCTCATCTTTTTGAGTAGGAGAACTTGCACAGTTGGAGGCTAATTAAATACTTCTTTTCCCCACTGTTTGTCTGGGCTGTTTCACGAGTAGAACACACACACACTCGCATGCACACACACTCACTCACACACACACACAATTCATACCATTAGAGTTTAGCACAAAATTCATTAGTGAACTTTGAACTGTGCAATTCAATGATGTGGATGTCTAAGAGGGTCAACATGTGCTTCAGGTGTTTGATTTTCTTTTGAATATATGTTCCTAAAAACTTTAAAAAGATTTTTTGGTGCAAATATGAAGTTATTTTTTGAACTTTAACAAAAGTTATTATTTTCCTTCTTCGTATTTTCTTGCAGGGGCTGCATTATGCAGATCTCAAGTTTCTCAAGAACAAAAAAGGAAAGAATGTGAGAGAACAGAAAGAGAGTACTTTCACAGAATACGCTCAAATCAAAGTGAACAACGGGCCTGCTGCATCCTCACCTCCTAGCACTAATCAGGTAAAGAACATTTTAAAAAGGCCTTTTAAGATTGATGCAGGTCAGTTTGAGCCAAAATATCTCAGATATTCGATTTTAAAGACAGAGTTCACTGAGAAACCGTGTTTTACTTGTTGTTTTTGAAATATAATCGGTTACACTGAGTGTAACATGCAGGCTAAACATCAAAATAATCTTCCACCCCCATTTCCCGTCAGCGGGATACTAGACAGGAAGATGCTCGAATTAGAAAAGCCTGTCAATTACACGTCACTCTGAAAATCAGCATTCATGGACTCATCTAGACTCACAACAGGGAAGGCCGTGTTGGTTTCGCGTCCAGGAGAGAGTAGAGTGTGTCTTGACTAGGAGAAGCTAACTGTTAGCATTAGCAGCTCCACCACACACCAGAACTCCTTCAAGCTTGTGTTTGTTGTGGAGATAAAACAACAACATTGCAGAACAAAACGTAGTCAGTGGTAGAGGATTAGCAAATCGGAGGAGAGATGTCAGAATCTCAGGAAATAAGACTCCAAATCCTGCCCTCTGCTGGTCACTTTAGCGATTTTTACAGGACCTTAGTGTTTGCAAAACGGGATTTGCCGCGGCATGGTGTGTCTTATAGAAGAGGCTATCGAGTTCTTGAAACAAGAGCGCTAGAGCTTTTTTTCCCCCAGACATCGACTCACAAGGCAAAACAAGAGACTGAAAACGTAACTGTAAACTGTAAACGTACTGAAAAAAAAAACTGAGTGAACTCGATCTTAAAGTATTAGATACTGAAATCGAACTTTCAGGTAACGGATACTATGATCCTGGTTCTTTTGTAACCAGACACTGACAATACGTAAAACTTGAAAGAATTATGACAATTAACCTGAAAAATGCTGAAATCTTCTTTACCATCTAACTTTATTTCGGCTCTAGTGATTATACTAGAGCTTGATTCATTCAGAAATCATTTTTATTATCTCCTAACAAAAACTACGTCTTGTTTTCCTGCAGGAGTCTAACAACACAAACGTCAGACCTGCTAACAACGACTCTGGAAGGAGATCAGTTCTGGTGGAGTTAGAGAATGTTCCATCAGATTACGCTCAGATTAGAGTGGACAGCAGCAGACGTCCAGCACCTCCTCCTCCCACCTACGGTCTCCACACGCAGAGCGCGTCCAGACCACTTCCTGCTCCCAGAGCACAAACTTACGCTCAGGTAAACAAAAAACAATAAATACATTAAATCCAATGGATGCAGATCAATCTGAGCTCCAAAATAAATGAGCCTGAATGTCCATTTCTGTTTTTTATTGTCGACAAATTTTACTTTTACTTTTACCTGAGGGTGAAATTCTTAAATAAGTAATGGCTGACCTCTCCAACCGTAAAGAAAATGAGCTAGTTGCTTTTCTCAGCTGAAGATTATAATTCAACGTATTAAATGGTGGTTAAAGCTTAGGGTGACGATGACAGGAAAGCACATTTTAGGCAAGTTAAAGAGCAAGTCACCCCCAACTGAACTTTTTTTGCTGATAACCTAAATAAACGAGTGTCTGATGGTGCTGCAGACACGTGTAGTCAATAATTTGGCACTTCAGTGCATCTTAGTTAAAAGTTAAATATTCTGCCTAAAACTGGCAGTGTTGTGAAAACTCTGCACTGTATTTGAATTTAAATCTGCCACCGCTATTGGCTAAGAGGTATGCTATCATGTAAACTGGTACATTATGATGTCACAATGCTGCCGTGAGCCTGTGTGTGTGTGTATTTGTTAGTAGCTCCGCCCTCTCGGTCTGCCAGGCAACAGCATTTGTTGCATTTTTCAAACATGAGTGGGAGTGGAGTTAGACCCTGGTAGGGGGTGACTTGCTCTTTAAATGATACAAAATCAAATCTATATGGGGCGACGGTGGCACAGGAGTTAAGTGCTCGCCATCGGAAGGTTGCAGGTTCGAGCCCCGCTCAGTCTGTCGCTGTCGTTGTGTCCTTGGGCAAGACACTTAACCCACGTTGCCTGCTGGTGGTGGTCGGAGGGACCGGTGGCGCCAGCGCTCGGCAGCCTCGCCTCTGTCAGTGCCCCCCAGGGCAGCTGTGGCTACATCGTAGCTCATCCCCACCAGTGTGTGAATGTGTGTGTGAATGGGTGAATGACTGATTGTGTTGTAAAGCGCCTTGGGGGGTTCCATAATCAAATGCAGGCCATTTGACCTTTAACAAATATGTAAAATCTTTAACATAAAAAAACTTTTTTCTTCATTCTTTTTCTTCAACAGGAGCAGAATTACGGAGATGCCAAGTTGCCCAGGAGCGGTGATGGAAGGACAGATCAGATCGAGTTAGAGAACACTCCAACAAACTACGCTCAAATCCGAGTGAACAGCAAAAAGCCTCCTCTGCCTGCTCCTCCCACCTACAAAACACACATGCAGCAAAAACACAGGGCAGCTCCTCCGCCCGGTAACAGTCAGATTTATGCTCAGGTAAATAAAAACCCACGGCGCTGATGCAGCCAGTGAGCCGTAAAATCCTTGTTTTGATTCAGTTTCTCAGTTTTCTGCTGCAGTAAATTGGACTCCATGCAGAATAATTAACATTCAGGTTTGTAAATCGTCAACAAAGAAATAATCGTTATATTTAAAGTTTAAACATTTTAATAAATGTCTGTGTATTACGGATACTCCTGGATATTACTTGATGTTTGTGTGTTAAAGATAGAAAAACAACAATACATTTTAAAGGGGGACCATACTCCTGAGCAATGTGGATTTCATCCTGGCGGTGGAACACTGGACCAGCTCTATACCCTTAGGGGGGGTCCTGGGGGGTGCGTGGGAATTAACCCAACCAATCCAGAGTTTGGTGCGGATTGCTGTCAGTAAGTCCGGCTCATTCCCAGTCAGAGTTAGACACCGCCGAGGCGACACGTTGTCACCGATTTTGTTCATAATTTTTATGGGCAGGATTTCTAGGTGCAGCCAAGGTGCTGAGGAGAGCCGTTTTGGTGGTCTGAGAATCAGATGATGTGGTCCTGTTGGCCTCATCAGAACGTGATCTCCAGCTGTCGCTGGAGTGGTTCGCAGCCGAGTGTGAAGCAGCTGGGATGAGAATCAGCTCCTCTAAATCTGAGACCGTGGTCCTGAGTCAGAAAAGGGTAGATCGCCTTCTCCGGGTCAGGGATGAGGTCCTGCCTCAAGTGGAGGACTTCAAGTATCTCGGGGTCTTGTTCACGAGTGAGGGAAAACTGGAGCGCGAGATCGATAGGCAGATTGGTGCTGCGTCCGCAGTGATGCGGGTGTTGTACCGGTCTGTCGTAGTGAAGAGAGAGCTGAGCCAGAAGGCAAAGCTCTCGATTTACCGGCCGATCTACGTTCCTACCCTCACCTATGGTCATGAGCTTTGGGTAGTGACCGAAAGAATGAGATCGCGGATATAAGCAATCAAAATGAGTTTTCTCCGCAGGGTGGCTGGGCTCTCCCTTAGAGATAGGGTGAGAAGCTCAGTCATCCGGGAGGGGCTCAGAGGTAGATTGGCTGCTCCTCCACATCGAGAGGAGTCAGTTGAAGTGGCTCCTGGATGCCTCCCTTGTGAGGTTTTCTGGGCACATCCAACCAGACGATGACCCAAGGGAAGACCGATGGAGGGACTATGTTCCTCAGCTGGCCAGGGAACACCTAGGGAGGAGCCGGCCCAGGAGGCTGGGGAGAGGAAAACCTGGGCCTCTCTGCTTAAGCTGCTGCCCTCACGACGCGACCCCGGATAAGCATGGACGGGTGAATGGATCCCAATTGCACTGGTGCACACGTGTGTGTGATGTATTTCCTGCCATTGAACATGTCTTGGACTATAATTAATAAAAAAATCTATTGTCTGCATGTCAAAATGAGCCAGACATCAAAGTTATAGTTCATAGTTAACCGGATTTCAGTTTTTTTATTTGATAAGATAAAATTGGTTGTCCAGCAGGAAAGAGGAACCTGAGTTCAGATTCAGTTTACAACAAAGCTTTCTGATAAACGGTCTTCCTTATGTGTCCAAAGTGCAACTAAAGAACAGATTTTGTATCGTGCAATGTGTAACTCCGCTGTTAATTTATAATCATGCTTTCATGTTGTCTATACATGTTTAGAGCTCTAATATGTTAACACAATGTTAAAAAAGGACTTTGTTTTTGTTATACCTGTAATTAAAGTCTCTTGTGCTAATTTTGTACTTCATTTTAACCCTCTCAGGCTCAAAATACGTTCTGATAAAAGGACGAACAACTAAGTCCTTCAGGGGTACTTCTGAGGTACAAAAATGCTCATGAAATACGTACGTGGAGTAAGCAGGTAGGTAGGTTTTAACCAGCAACGCCTGCCTCCAGAGGGTTGAAGTTGAAGTTTAAAGGAATTCAACAAAAGATTAAATGTTTATGAAGAAAGTCACTTTTTAGGTATTTTGTATTTTTGTTAGCAGGTCTAGCACGGTCTCTATGAAGAACCAGAAAAAGTGTTGCAACATTTTCACCTTTGTAATGTTTTTTAAATCCTTTTCCAGATCTTTATTATCCAGCTGTAAAGTGAAGTGAACAGATCTGTCTCACGGCCTTTTGCCAGGCTGTTGCTAAGTGACGGAGATCATCTGTTAATTATTTCTGTGTTGTGCTTTTGCTGCGTTCCCAGCCCAAAATCATGTTTCTGGCTTTTTTGTCCAGATATTTCCTCCTACTCAAATTAATCATTAGCACCTAGACTGAACTAAGTAACTCAAGTTTGCTTTTCCTGAACTGAAACTGGTGTGTGTTGCCAGTAAATGTCACGTGTGATCTCTTTCTGTAATTCTTTGTGCAGCCATTCAGACCATTTTCATTCAGCATGAATGTATGACCGACTTTTGACTCGCTGCTATAATTTATCTCTCAGGAAGCTGATTTATGTTGTAATATGATGAACTATTTTCATAAATAAACATTTTTTTGACTAATTCCTGCTCCTGTGCAGGGGGGGTTGTAGACTACCATGGGGGAGGGGCTGCCGTGCCAGCCACTCTATTAGCATAGACATATACATATATTGACAATGGGTTTCCATAGGCTCCAATAACACGTTTTGAGGGGAAATGGGAGGTGGCCACCACCGCCATTTTGACACAGGTTCCGTCAAGCCCAGACAATTCCACAAAAGGGAAGAGAGGTGGAGCTGAGGGTGGGGCTGTAAGGCTGGGATCAACTGACGACACCCGGTCGAACTAGCTACAAGCTAACCTGAAGCTAACCCAAAGCTAATGCGGAGGTGGGAGCTAAGCTAACAGAGGTAGCAACCTAGCTACAACCGGAGTTAACTGTGCACAACACCAGAGCTTCTGAGTCAGAGATACGCCGGGCTGACCGCTGGGTAAAACCGGGTGGAACACAGAGGTCTCCGAGACCTCCACAAGCCGGCAGCCCGCGTAGCAGACAAGCGCCGCTGCGATCTGAGATGCGCAGAGCTGCTGCTGAGGAGAACCGGGTGGAAAACATCGGTTTTCATCCAGAGCTCCACAAGCTGGCAGCCCGCGCAGCAGACAGGAGCCGCAATCAGACAGAGATGCGCCGAGCTGCGGGGAGGGGAGAACCGGGTGGAAAACATCGGTCTCCTGAGAGCTCCACATGCCGATAGTCTGAACCCAACTCCACCAACATGTTATATTTCAACCCATTTTCTAAAGTGCAGCATTATGTTAAATGCACTGGGTTTTACCCTATTACATTTAAATTTCATGGTTAAACAGTACATGTTAAAATCTAAGCTCAGCTCGGCAGTGACCTAAAATACATAAATATAATTTTACTTACCGAAAAAAATGAAGTGGAGACTCCTTGGACGCTCTATTAGTGCAATTAATTCCACAGCAAGTCGTTTTGTCCAACAATTGCACAAATAATATCCAAAAAAGAATACACAAACGCTACAACTAATGGTCTAAGTTGAGAGACTGTAACTCACAGAACAGTTTTCAGGCAAGGCCGAGGCTCTACTGAGGCCTTTCCACGGAGCTAGCTCTGTGGTCACGTGGGTCTGATGCTCATTAATTATACAGAATTTTAGGCTTTTAATACACTTAAAGAGAAGAGTGAGAAAAAAATTCACCCTCCTCAGAGTTGTCATGAGTGTAAACTAGATCATTTAAACCAAAAACATGTTTTGGAACCAGGCTGTAAACATGTTTATTTCTGCTGTGAAATTAGTATTTTTAACATGGGAGTCAATGAGGATTTGCTCGCTTCTGACACCAGCCCCTAGTGGATGAGGGTGGAATTACCATTTATTTCACTTCCGCATTGGCCTCAATTTCTGTCCCGCAATGTGGGGGCTTGTCTATTAGGGAGGCACTTGTGGAAGAAAACACTCAAAACAGTAAAGCTGCAATAACTAATCTGCAAACAAACAAAAGTCTAGCTTGCCCACCTGCATGTCTTTACCTGCATTGCCGGAGGATACGAGATAATGCTAAACACCAGTCGTCGTTTTCTAGGTCCACTCATCTTTTGTTGTCCGTGACGTCAGATGGTGTTTGTTTTTTTAGACTCTGGTAGTTTGTCCTAAAGCTGAAGTGGTAGCAGCTGGCTGTTTCTCCTTCTCTGATGTTACTGAGTAGAGTCACACCAGTGGTGTTCTGGTGCTAAATGCGTAAGGGCTAGAGGACCCGGGTAAATGCTAATGCACGGTGGTTTGGCGAGACCGACAGCCGGATGGTCCAGTTGATGTTTTTGGACCGAGCCGTGCTAATGGTGGAGGTTTTAAGAGAACCACTTTTTATTTATTTATTTTTTTACTTTACACTATGTGTATAGTTATGAATGATATGATATGAATGATACACTGTAGTGTAAAGCGCTTTGGAGTCCTTACTCTGAGAGGCGCTATACAAGTGCGGGTCATTTATCATTTATCATTTATAGTTATACTATGTTAGTTCGAAAATTTTGTTTTGAGCTCATTTGTTTTCCGGATTTTCTATTGCAGCTCTAAAAAGGCTATTTTATATTTTGGTGTGTAATAATATCAGTATATGAAGATTTCAGTCACGGCTGCTTTTGTCATGAAGTGCAGTTGTTGTTTGGACCCAAATGCAGGAATGGGATGCAGGTTTTAAAAAACGAACTGATTTCTTTGAATAAAAATAAAGACAAGACAATGATGTGACAAAGACAAGCAAACTGAGGGTTTAAATTCATGAGAACAATCAGGGAACCAGGTGGGTAGGGTAGCAATGGGCAGGTGAGCTCAATCAACACAAACAAGGGGGGACGAGACACACGAGGCTACGGGAGCAGGAGTCTCATTTATCAAACATTGCGCAAAATCCTTACTAAAACCGTACTTAAGCTCAGCAAAATAAATGTACTCACGCCAAGTAGGTTTGTGATCTATCAAACATGGAGTACGCACAGCTGCACGCAATCTCCGCTTCTTAAATCAGAGACTGACGAGAATGTTTCTCAGCTGCATTTTAGTCACATCCCGCCCTCACCACGCCCACTTACTGCCATAAATAGTCAATGCAAAGTGCCTCGTGGATCTCATGCATATACATAAGCCGGCTGTTGCAGCGCTCCGCCAATGACATGGCGACCGTAGATCAAGGCAGATCAAGGAAGCGCAATTTCACAGAAGCAGAATTTGAGGTACCTGTGGGTGAGGTGGAGAAATGAAAGGAAGTGCTTTTGCAAAACAAATAAGAGAAAATCCACGGAGTGGCACAGCGTTACTGAAGCCATCAATGTTGTGAATTCTTCAGAGAGATCTGTGGTAGGTATAAAAAAAATGGTCCAATCAGGATTTGATCCCCAGACTCCCAGGTGAAAGTCACATGCACTAACCAGTCAGCCAAACAGAACTCTCCCCTGTGCAAGTAGCCAGGGCACATGATCAATTGGGTCACAGTGACAGGACGCTCACTGTCACAGACGCATAACATTCTGACTCAATCTGTCCCCCTGCTGATGTTCTGCATTCCGTATTCTGTGCTTCAGGCTGTGTGTGTGTGTGTGTGTGTGTGAGTGTGCGTGCGCGTGTGCGTGTGCATGTGGGGGGTCTTGTTCTGTGTGAAAACGAAACAGTACAAGTGATAATGCTGCAGGAATTCATAATTGTATCTTCTCAGCAGCAGCACTGCAGGTGCTCTCCATGTCCAAAACGTGCATAAGCCAGGTCCTTAGTCAACTTAAAGTTGCGCACATTTTCCCGCTAAATTTTCTTTCATAAATCCCAAAGTTTGAGTGGAAACCAAACAATGTTTACCATAGTTGTTAGCACTGTTGCCTCGCAGCACGAAGGTCGCAGGTTCGAAACTCGGCTGCGGCCTTTCTGCGTGGAGTTGCGTATCTCCCCATGCATGCGTGGGTTTCCTCCGGGTTCTCCGGTTTCCCCCACAGATCACAACGTGCCCTATAGGTTATAAATTGTAAGTCGCTTTGGATAAAAGCGTCTGCCAAATAAATAAACATAAACATAAATAATTGTAATTTCATAAAATGGCCAGATTTTGAGGCCCACAGGTCAAGTCCACAGCCAGGTCCTTTTGCCCTGGCTACAACTCCAACCTAGAATATTTTTCCTCACAGGAGACTGACAGCCTGACGCCCTGAAAGAGATAATAAAATCAAACAACATTCTCTTCTAGCAAGGTCCCTTTACAGAGGAACTCCTTAAATGAACTCCTCGATTCACAGAAGAAAGAAGATTTTAAAATTAAAGATAACCATTAAATAAACGTTTGTTTATTGCTACTTATAATAATTATAAAACAATGAAATGTTTCATCTGTGCTTAATGATATATGTTTAGCATGTTTACTTGACGAGGTCATCACCATCTGCACTCACACAAAAACAAAGTAAAGTTAAGTGAACGCATGACACATAGTTAACCTTTTGCCCAGTTCAGAGACTCCAGATCAAAGAGGGTGTGTCCCTGAGATTCTTGGTAATATTCCTCAAACTTGTCAACTTTTGGTTGGCTATTCAATCATAATATCGTTCCATTAAAACTAGATCACTCTGGGTTTTCTGGAGTTTGAGAGCAAGCTTCAGACCGGCCATCTGAGCAAAACCACTTTAACCAGCAAAGATTTTGACACGTCGTCAAAACCTTTTTAAACCTTTTTTGCACCTGCGAAGCTGAAACAACAAGATAGTTTCCTGCAAAACAAGCAGATATTGTTACAACTCCTTAAGAGTTATTACTGAGACACAAACTAGTTCCAACTGTTGTCACCTGGAAGATGACCCTGGACTGACCTGGTCGTACGAGGAGTTAGTTTACGGACTCCGGTACCGGGGGCTCCGACCCCCTCCTGACATCTCGGATCCAAAGGCTGTCTCCGCTTGCTTACGTAGAGCACAGTGAGATTGCATCTGAATGTGGTTTTGATAATAATCTATTTATAGCTTAACTCAAACCAAAGTCGTTTTCATCCAGAACTCAGCTCTCTGAGATACGGAGATTCTGACTATATTATATTCACACTTAGGTCCCAGACATCACCTTTTAGTTCCATCCACTCACAGTAAATAATAGTGTAACCAATTTGTCAAGTTTTAATTGTTAAAAAATAAATTCTTACTTTTATAAACCTGACTGTTTCTTGAATCAAAACGAAGTGTGTACATTTCCCTAATGAATAAAGAATCCTAGACTCTTCTGACTAAAACAAATAAAGACCAGGCTAGGAGATATTCTGTATTTAGAGTTTCACAGCTTATTGGTCTCAAGTGGTGTTAATAATATAAATAGCTCTTAAAGCAATTTATATAACCCAACATACTGTTTATTAGCATTACATAACAATAAAAATACATAGATATCTGAGTTATTTATCAGTAACCGTCAGCACCTCTTTTCAACTTCATATACATTCATTCTCATGCTTTGGCTCCACATCTGACATCAGGCTAAATTATTACATAAAAATCAACACGTATTAATGCTTAGGCTCTGCCCTCAGCAGGGGGTCCACAGGGGGGGGTCCAAGGTTGCTGTGAGGGTGGCACTGGCCCAACCTGGCCCACCCCGAGAACCACCCCTGCTTCTGTGCATTTTTTTCAGCTCATTGCAGTCAGCAGCAGTCCTCGCTACAGCAATTTGTGGTTTTGGTGACGTGAATTTTAATAAATGTAAAACTTTAGATGTTAGAAATGTTTAGTTAAATAGATGTATTGCCTGTTTGCTGATGGATATTTCAATAAAACAATACAGGTTTTATTATAAAAATATATATACACATTCAATTGTTTAATATCTTCTTTTCAAGTATTTTCTCACGATGGCGGCTACTGTTGAAGAACATCTAAACAGAATTCAGGAAGCGTGTAAATCTAAAGGAGGAAGAGGAGTTTGATTCTCATAAAAATCCTGCAATAAAACTGAAGTTCACTGAGAGAAGAAGCTAAATAGCATCAGAACAACATAATTCCTTTTATCTGGGCTGTCGATAAATAAACTATATCAGAAACTGGTCGTCTGCGACGGACTGGCTCTCTGTCCATGGTGTACCCCGCCTGATTGCCCACTGACCGCTGGAGATGGGCACCAGCTCCCCCCGCGACCCTACGTGGACAAGCGGGTTCAGAAAATGGATGGAACTGGTCATGCCTCATATATTTACTGCCCTTAAGCTCATCCAGGTATCTAGGAAAGGCTCCACCTATTTCAAAAAGGGAGAAGAGGCGCGTTGAACTTCAAACACAATAAAAAGTTATGATTGTTACTGTAAGCTTTATGTGATCTTACTGGATGTGCTTTCATTTCCTGGTGAACTTCAGTGTGATAAACAAGTAACAGATGATTAGGTTTAAAACTCAGATCAGCAGAGGTGTGACCACGTCACTGCTTTGAAAGTCACAAGTCTTTCCAGTCAAGTCTCGAGTCAAGTCCAAGTCAAAGAAAACCAAGTCCAAGTCGAGTCCAAAGTCAGTGATGTGGAAGTCCAAGTCAAGTTCAAGTCCTCAACTTTGAATTTTCAAGTCATAATCAAGTCATCTGTCCAACTTCAGTTTAATGACGATGATAATAAATAAATTCCAGAAATAAAGCTTCTTAAAGCTTCGTTTATTTGCTCAAACGAGCAGAAAGTGCAGCTGAGACTGATTATAAACCAAGTGTTGCTGCATTTAACAGTAAATCAAACCCGGAATGAAGAATGATTCATGGTTTTTGTCCATGTCGTGCCGCTTTTGTGCTAAAATATCAAATATGCTCAAGTCATCATCAAGTCAACAGATGCAAGTCGATCCAAGTCGCAAGTCATTGGCGTTCAAGTCCGAGTCAAGTCGTAAGTCTTCATAGATTTTATCAAGTCAAGTCAGAAGTCATTTAAATAGTGACTTGAGTCTGATTTGAGTCCAAGTCATGTGACTCGAGTCCTCACCTCGGCAGATTAGGCTCAAAGATGCTGCTTTGTCATCCTGTCATCGGTCTCTGACAGCAGATAGGTGTTTTATGGTGTTTCAACTATTCAGGTCATTTACTGGAAGGTTTTATGGAGTCTGTGACGGAGGAGTTGTGAGTAACTCCTGAGATGCATCGCCATCTTGTGGTAAAGACATGTTAATGTTCCTTCCTGTAGAGCTTCTTTATTCACGAGCATCTCCAATTGCCACCACAAAAACTCATCTTCCTCTACCTATCACACCCCCAGCTTCCTCATGCCTTCCAGTAGATGGTCTTATCACTTCACAGATGTCTCTTCAAAGCACTTCCTCAGTTGCAACACAGCTGATTTCCCCAATCTTGACACACCTTGACACACGTTTCTGTAATTCACATTGATGTCATAATCAGGTTCATTCTAGTGCTGGGAAAAATGGGTGTGACAAAGTTATAAAGTTTCAGAGCTAAAAGAAGCAGATTCAGAAGATAGCCCACTGTCTTTGAAAGCAGCACTGATGAGCACCACTATGATCCGCTCCTGGACCCTTTGCTGTGTGGTGCTGGTGGCATCGATGGGTGAGAACAGATCATTCACCGAAACTTAATTCTTTCTGTAATCAGACTAAAACTGGACGAACAAATGAATGATCGGATCAGACTTAGAGATGTGACGCTCTTTCTGACTCTTTCCTCATGTCAGGTGCACCAGGAGGGGGTACTACTGTGCTGATCTCCTGGCCCGGTGAGGTGACAGCTGGTTACCCCACCACGTTCACTTGCGATTCTTCGTGTATTTCAAACTGCATCTACACCATGTCCTTCAGAGGAGAAACGTTCAAAGGGACCTCGCTGACCTGGACCCCAGATGGACAGGATTTCACCGTGAAGCTGAAATGTAACGTCAACAGTCCAGATCCAGATACCTCCGGCAGTACAACTGCCATTATAGAAGTTAAAAGTAGGTGTCAAGAAGAAAGTTCTTGTGCATATTTGGTGTTTGAAAACAGTTTTTTCACACATACATTTATTTTGAGCTCTAGAAACAACAGACGATTTTCCCCCTTAAGTCTTTATCACTTAATCTTGATTTTGTCACTAATAAACTGTTAATATCTGAGGAAAATTACTTATGTTATCAAGGAGTGATGTAAACTTTGAGAGGGCATGAGAAAAATAATAATTTCCTTTCTGAAATGTAATATGAGGTGAACTCGGGTGTTTTTTTTTTTTTGCCACATGGGGAGTCAGCATGGACGTTTCAGAGTTCTGTCATCAGAAAATAGATTTCTTCTTATGAGAAGAGAAATAAACAAATAATATCTATTTTTGAACATTTCCGAGTGAATACAGTAAAAATTATATTTACGAAGTCTAAAAAACACAAATTTAAATTAAATGACCAACTCCAGAAACCAAATTAAGTACTCCAGAACTACGACGATGGAGACGTTTCCAACATTTTAGGGCAGTTTTCTGTACTTTTATCTATCCAAACATAAATCTATCTTCTATCTATTTGTAAAAATGTAAAAATGTGCTAAAATACCATTAATGTGGTAAAAATCGTGTAACTTTCCGTTGTTGTGTCTTGCGTTGCAGATGAGATGTTTGTACAGATTCATCCACAGGACACAATCCCATCCCCCGACCAGCCTCTTAATCTGGTCTGTGGTGGTTTGCCCTCCAGTGACCCCGAGGGTCCATCAGACCTTGTTTGGTACAAAGATGGACAGAAAGTGACTCTGAGAGAAAACATGCAGCTCCTAAGAAACAACCAGACTCTTCATTTTGAGTCAGCGCTGCCCTCTGATGCTGGTTTCTACCGCTGTCAAACACGTCTGCCAACTCGGCAAGTCAAAGTTTTCAGCCTGGGATTTCAGCTGAGCTGTAAGTATTTCATTAGAGGTACAGCATCAGTAAGTATTGCGTTTAATGCTTTAAACTTTTACATATTTTATTTTGGTAGTTGTTCCGTGGAACGTCAGCATTAGTGGACCTGATGTCATCTACACTGGAGAGCTGAGCGAGTTCTTCTGCCTGACCAGCTGCACCTTAAACGTGGAATGTACCATCAAGTGGCAGTTCAGAGGAGGCTTCCCCGTCGGACATTCCTTTTCTATCAATGGGAACCATATCAAATGGGTTCCTTCTCTTCCCGGGACTTTTCAAAACTTCACGTGCATCGCAGAAAATAAAGCAAGTGGACAATCTGCAGAACACACCAAGATGGTGGCAGTTATAGGTACTGACCTCTTCGTCCCTTTTTTGTCTGTAAATATGCAGCAAACCATGCACTTTAATAACCTTTTTGTTTGTTTTTTCCTGTTTAAACAGACGTTCCGGTCTCTGGATCAGAGGCGATGAAGCTCAGTGGACTGTCGGTGTTGGTCTGTTGCTCCTTAATGATCTACAGAGCCGTCAGCTTTGTGATGCTTTAATTTATTTTTCTCTTCTGTTTTATTTTATTAAAATATGTCTTCAAAGAAAAAAAATGATCTGGTTAGATTTCTCTTTTTAAAAAGGGAATAGCATTTAGCGAATACAACCTTTAAAGGTGCATTATGTAGAAAAAAAGTAAAAATGATAGGGATGCACCGATACCGACAGGCCCGGATTAATGCTTGATGTGACTTAAGCCTAGGGGCCCACGTGCGTTCTGCGGCCCCCATTGGCCAGCTAAAAATATATGATTTTATTTAAATTTACATGCAAGAATGTTCTTCAGCTGTATTGGCCGACAAAATCATAAGCGACACTGATTGGGTAAACATGGTGGCGGTCTTGAGTTAAGTAACGTGTCACGTGACCCGTCATGTTCGTGTATCGTAGGCTGCTGCACGTAACGAGGGAAAATGAAAAAAATGTCAGAAAGAAAATATGAGAGCGGCGCTCAGAAAAGAAAAACGGAGAGAATCAAAGAAGAAAAGCACCAAAATCTTCTGCAGAAAATCCCAAAATTGTCAGGAGATTTTAAACCTGCTGCTGGAGCCAACAGCAGGTTATAGAAAAGCAACACGTTCACGATGAAGGCAACGGAGCTATGCTAGCTGGAGCGGCTGAGGTTCAAGATGCTAGCTCAAAGGAGGGAACGGGCAGTCACAGAGAAGCTGATATTGTCCACTTGGGGGCAGAGGCAGACCTGCTTCAAGTAGTTTCTGATGGGAGCCCGGCAGAAGGTCCTAGCCAGGTGACGCTGATGGTGGATGCTAACTTAAACCCGGATCCTGGCTGCCGGGGTGAAATGGATGAAAATGCCAGAAAATATTGGTAAATCATGGTTAATTCACAACTACCCTATGATTAATTAGATTAACATTTTTAGTTGTTTGACAGCCCTAATTAACATAAACATCTGCAGATAAGAATATAGGATAAGAATACAATCAAGCATGTTTGGTTCTGAACAGGTGTAGCCTATGGGCCCCTGTACACCTTAATCCTCCCCTGGATACCGATTTCAGTATCGGTATCAGTAAAAGTTAACTGATACCAGGAACGGATACCAATGCAGTTGCTTGAAAGTGGCTTCACTGTAACTTGTCATTTCTGTTCACCTAATATTTTAGTTTTGTGATGATTTCTGTTTATATGTTTTACGCTTTACCTTACAGTCTTTTTCCTGTTGATTGCAGAGAAGAAAATAAAACCTGTATTCCAATTCATTGGATTTTTTTGTGTGGTGTTGTGTGATCCAAGTATCGGTATTGTATCGGTATCGTTGCATCCCTTAAAAATGACATCATGTGGTAAAATGTGGCCATCGTCAAATTACAATCGTTGGCGCTGCAGTATTAGCTCGCAGCAGACATGGTGACACCCCCCCCCCCCCCCCCCCCGCGCTCACTGATGTTAAGAGGAGAAAATCTGACAACCCAGCAGCCAGCTGGACATGAAATATGTTTCATAACCTTTCTTCCAACATGATGGAAACATTGCAGTCTTTTGGGGATTTTCTCACTATGAAATTCCAGCTATATTCTTACATACTGCACCTTTAATTATGCTTCTTTTTTACGTTTTGTCAGTTTTTGTGTTACAGAAATTACTGATGTGGTGTGATTTTCTCATTATGAAAATAAAGCTGGTTTGTTCTTGAACACAAAGTCGGTGTTTTCCAGTGTTGCACAGGACAGTTTTTTTCTGCTTTTTATGAAACAAATTGACAAATGACTGCAACATTTAAGGGAAACTGTTGAGACACGAGTCCCATTTCCTCCTCACTATAAAAAATCAGTATCATAAAGCCTTATTTGACCTCACAGATCTGGACGTGTAACTAATTTACACACACAAGCTAAATCAAAACCTAAATGGGAAGCTAACCATGAAAAATGGGAATTAGTTGAACAGCACATCTGTTCCTGACTTCCTGGTCTCTTTGAAGCTGAACAAATAAAACAGATAAGAGCGTCGCACTGAGCAAACTGGAGGAAACTGGAGCTTTTGTTGCACTTGGGTTTTCTGTGGTCTCATGTGGAAAAACTCTGATCCGTTATCTCACCTGTTTGCTTTATTTTAAAGCATTAATCATCTAAATTAGACACATTTCTGACCATTTTTACACAAAAAGCCTGGCTTTTGTATCTCAGCATTTTAAACGTAGCAAATGAAACAGTACAAATGTTCTATCTTGTCAGTAGAAACTGCAGAACCTCAGATCAAACTGTTTTAGATCAAAATTAAACTGCAAAAGCAGAAAAACTCTTTATATGAGAGACCTGTCCAAGATGGCAGCCTCATTAAAAATATCTATTTGCAGTTAGTGAAACTGCATTCTTAAAAAGCTTATTGATGTAAAATTATGCATTTAAACGTTTTTATGATCTGATTATATTAACATTAAATCCTTTTATGGAGAAAAATTCCCAATTAAAAAACCTGCTTTCAGAGGTTTCTACACCTTCAAATAGTTCCCGAGCGCAGCCGCTGCTGCAGCTCACCGTTCCACTCCATGGGGATGGATCAGAGGCGGAGATGGATTTCACCAGTGTGTGATGATGACTATGGGACTTTAACTTGACTCTATTGAATAGGTGAGTTGTTGGTGTAATGCTGTTGGTTTGCCAGTAGGAGATGCTATGTTCTCAAAATAATAAACCTCACCTTGTTACGTTTGCTTAAGTCTGAACATGTTTCTGAAGGTTTTATTTTCAGCTGAAATGGGAGATGTTGGTGTAGATGAAAGCAGATTTAGACATTTTTTGCACTTTTGGTGGAAAAAAAATCAGGAAATTTGTCAGAAGAGACACAGGCAACTCATAGCCAGCACACATATTGGGCCTCATATGGAACCTATATGGGCAAGCCACATGGGTCCCACCAGGGTTTGTCTGCAGTTCCCTCGGTGACCCCACAGCGGTTTGCCCACAAACAATCTAAACCCCTCTGTAAACCCATGTAGGGCCCATTAAAATCTATGTGGGCAAACATCTCTCTGGGCAAACCCTCGTGGGGCCACCATGGAAACTGTGGGCAAACCCTGGTGGTACCCATAGCTTGCCCATAGGTTCCATATGGGGTCCACTGGCTGGGAGGTCTCTAGGTACTGTTCAGACTCACACCTCACAAATGCAGAATGACACAAATCCTCTGATTCAGGCAGGAAACAAGTTTTGGGTTGGTTAGGGTTAGGGTCGCATTAACCCGTTACCTTCTGCTTCTTCTTGCTTCCTAAATACTAACGTCATTATAACTGGTTTGTTCAAATGATTTCATCATTTCTCATTTTTACACGTTTTACACATTTTCTGTTGGTATTTTATAGAGTTTATGGTGAATAATTGAAAAGCTGTTTGTTACCACAGCCATGGCCTTATGACCATCTTCTTAAAGAGCAAGTCACCCCCTACCAGAGTCTAACTCCACTCCCACTTCATGTTTGAAAAATGCAACAAATGATGTTGCCTGGCAGACCGAGAGGGCGGAGCTGCTAACAAATACACACACACACACACACACACACACAGGCTCACGACAGCATCGTGACATCATAATGTACCAGTTTACATCATAGCATACCGCTTAGCCAATAGCGGTGGCAGATTTAAATTAAAATACAGTGCAGAGTTTTTACCTGACGACGGCACAACACTGCCAGTTTTAGGCAGAAGATTAAAATTTTTACCAAGATGCACTGAAGTGCCAAATTATTGACGACACGTGTCTGTAGCACGATTAGACACTACTTTATATAGTTTATCAGCAAAAAAAATATGATTTGGGGGTGACTTGCTCTTTAATATTGTGTAGTAATAATAATAATAATAATAGTAATGGTTTGGATTTGTATATTACTTTTCAAGACACCCAAAGCGCTTTCCATTATTCATGCACACTCACTTTCACACACTGCCAGTGATGGTGGGCTACTATGTAGTCACAGCTGCCGTGGGGCCAGCTGTCCCTTCCAGCTGCCAACAAGGATTACAAATGATCTGAGTTTCTTAGAGGATTTTATTATTTTAGAAATCAACTGGTTGAACTTTTTAGACATTGGTGAGTCTGATCGAGCTAGCTTTATTCACATCAGATGATATCAGGATGATCTTGCTGCCAGGTGAACTCTTCAGGTGGCTTCTTGTGTTCTTAAGGTCCTGCAGACTTTTTATTGGGTGGGTAGCAGCTGTTAAAATGTTAAATATGCTGTATTTGATATAGCACATTGTAGTGCTTCACAACCCCCAGGGCACTTTGCAACACATCCAGTCATTCACACACTGGTGGTGATGAGCTACATTGTAGCCGCAGCTCCCTGGAGGGAGTTGGGATTTATCCTGCAAACCTCCGCTCGCTGAACAAGTCCCATTAGCTCCTAAGCTACTGCTGTGTAGATTTCAGCACAGCACTCATGATGTCATGTTGGTTTGCATTTACCACGCTGTGGCTTCGGCTTCCTGTGTGGACTGACTCTACATGTTGTTCTGACTTTCTCCCACAAACCAAAAACCTGGTGATTCTGGGTTATCCGCAGGTGTAAATGAGATCGTTTGTGTCTCCGTTTTCTGAAATGAGCTGGTAAACACTCCAGTCTGCACTTGTTTCTGTAAAGCTCCACACAACAAAAAAAGCATTGATGGATGATAGAAACGAGTGTTTCTAAACCAAAATATCTGCATTTTTGCCCTTTTAGTCACACTTAATGTTTTACTAACCGCTTAAACATCCATCACTCCTTCTGGGTGCCGTACGCACACGGCACAGGTGTGCTCAGGAGCTGGACTTTGCTTCGCTCTAGCTGAAATAATATTACCCACGTATGCTGTTGGCCTTTAGTTATTTAACATGAAACTCTGTTAAACGTCAGACACAGATAAGCAACTACTAGTTTCAACTGTGATAATAAAATGCACTTTAGTGAACAATTAACTTGTTTAAAGATTGTAAAAAGAAATTGATTGTGAGATCTGAGAGTACATCAAACAACAGTAAAAAGTAGAAAACGAATCGATTGAAGGTTTTGAGTTTGAAAATTGCAACGCTGATGACAGAAATCTGTCTGGAACACAAACATTCAGAGCTAAAAAAAAAGGCACTAGTGTGCAGACAGCAGCAACACATCCACTGCTTTTCAATAATTACCCAATAAATAAATAAAAACTGGAAAACACGTCTGACCTAACAGCACAGATGGCGTCTACTCCCCTCATTGTGTACAACATGCCTTCTGTCATAATTTGTCATTTAACCCAACTTCGCCCAGAAGGGCAAACACAAGCATCGTCGCCTTTTGTGAATTTATCAAGATTAATGCGAAAATTCTCAGAAACACCTGCTGATAAGATCTGATGTTGCTGCCTTATATGTTGGGGGTCTGGACACCCAACGGACAAACACGACCCAGCTGAAACTACAAAAGTCCCTTCAGACCATCAAAAACCAAATGGAGAAGAAAACTTCGGCAGTTTTGCTTCTAGCTTTGACACAAGGTAGGTCCTGATATGTTCTGACCCTAACGATAAAGTGGTTGTGTGATGAGTGTGTAAAGCGGATTTTTCTCCTTCTGTAGGCTTCCTGGCCTCAGGTGTGGTGGTAGAGCCTTCCATGAACCCTGCGGTGGTTGGAGGCTCTGTGACGCTCTCGTTGTCTCCACCTGTGGCCATAAAAAATGGAAATTGGACATTTGGAGCATCTCCTGTTCTCATCTTTGTTGAGGAAACCCAAGCAGTTTTTCCTGGTTACACCAGCAGGGCTTCTGCTAACGTCACCACCGGGGCTCTCACACTCAGCCTTCTGACGCTGGCCGACTCTGGAGTCTTCTCAGTCCAGAGCAACGACCCCGTTCTGAAGGCCAGTGTTTCCGTCACTGTTTTGGGTGAGAAGGATCTCTATACATAACTAGAAGGACTCGTTCATATCTCTATCCAAAACATTTCACAGCAAAGACAGATGTTTATATGTAAACTATGGTAAATATAGGTGAAAGCACACGAACTGATACTTCATCCTCTGCGATGAAAGTCAGAGAGGATGGGGGAAAAATGTGCTGACGAGTTGTTTACACCAAGGCTTCGAGCTGCTTCACAGCGAAGCAGAATCTGGACGTGATAGTGACAGAAGGGTTAGATGAACTTGTGATCAACAGACTAATAAAACACCGATGAAGAGCACGTATTTTTGTTCTGCTGCCCCTCTGGTGATGTCACAGTGTCCTCCAGCTAGTTTCTCTGCCGACACACACCTTTGTCCTTTTGTGTCTCTGTGTACGTGATGCTTTGGTTTCCCAGAACCCGTCCCATCAGCGGGAACTGTCTAGTGTCCTGTTTCTCCAGTCAGAAACAAACCCATTTGTAGTGGAAAAGTTCAATATTGTATGTTTATGTTTGTGCATTTAGCAGACGCTTTTGTCCAAAACGGCTTACAGGTGATAATCAAACCTGCAGGTTGCCCGTGAGGCTGAAAAGAGCAGGTGTGTGGCTTGGAAATGGGTTAGACTGAGTTTAAATTTGCCTCACAGAGAATCCTTTGTCATAGTTATAACTTATAGTTCATTTTGATTTGGTTTCTGACCTGTGATGCTTCTTTGTTCATTAGGATTTTTCTCAGGAAAAAGTCCTCAGGAAAAAAAGGCTTGAAGTTTAGACCAACATTAACTTCATCACGGATCTTTTTTTTTTAAACTAAGTTAACTGCGGCAAGGAGAGAAAATATTAGCATTTTACATTCAATTCAATTCACTTTAAAGATACTTTATTAATCCCAGAGGGAAATTAGAGTTTCAATACACACAATTCAGAGATCAGACATACATGGGCAAGACACATGATAAGAATTGGTGACTGTGGTCATTCACAACCCTGAGTCGCGCTACCTTAATAGAGATAAGAGGGTTACGAGGATTGGTTCAGGTGGAGGGAAAAATAGCACTTCAGAGCTATCCTCCCACCGGGAGGGCAGCTTTGCTCTGGAAGAAAACACCTCAGACAGACAGATATGCAACAGACTTCAGACAACACACAACATAAGTGTCCACTAGATGGGGTGGTGGGTTTGGGACTATCCACACTTCGGTTCCTGCAGCCACTACAAGCAGCGCATGTCACCTCAATCTGAACAGGGGGAGGAGCATTGAGGGTTGGAGGGTCGCAGTGACCCTGGAACGATTCGGCGGCCTTCCCGAAGTCCCGCCCAGGCTGGGATAGGAGACAGAGTTGAGTCGCCATAGCGACGGCACATTCCACATATCTTCTGAGGGGGGAGTTTTCGTTGGAGCCTTGCTGGCTCAAGGACGCCAGATTCCGATTAGAAATTGTTTTGGGGCCAGATAGAGATCATTTCCTCTCGGTCTTAAAGTTCCTTGGTCCTCAAACTCTCAAAATCCCAATAATGGACATTAATTTATACCAATCCGTGCTGATTCGTCCACTCTCTCCTTGATGGCATCCATCTTTTGTGCCAAAGAATGAATCTCCACCAAAGTCCCAAGCTTACGATTCATCTCGACAATTATTTGAGTCTGTGAATTCACAGTGCGGTGCAAACCATCTCTGAGCTCCAGGATCAGTCCAATATTCCTCGACAGCTCGTTAATTTTCCGGTAAGCCAGGTAGCCTCCAAGGCCAATGAGCAGGAAACCTGACACCAACACCACAAATATCCACATGTCTTTAGAGTCCTCCACAGACAGCTGAGATAAACAAATCAAGTTCCACTGTTTCCAGGAGTCCATGACGTGTCCAACTGGGTCTGTCCTGGAGGGGCATCCGGGAGCCCCTTCTCCCGTTCTCATCGTTGAAAAAATTTTATCAATCGCCTTGAGTGACCAACTGACGAGATCCATTTTAGTGAATTCAGTTTCCAGAAAAAATGCAGAAGCAGCCGTACACCCAGCACACACATACAGACAAAGGGCCTTGAGGATAAGATATGGAGGAGAGGAGGGGAAAAAGTGTCTGCACCCTCCGAGAGCCGGAAGAAGAACATACTTTTTACAAATACTGATAATGCTCATAGCTACATTTGGATCAACTTAAGGATCAAATCCACTTCGACTGTAATGTCCAGTAAGAAAATTTAATGTTGGTTCCCCTTCAACCACTTTTGGACCAAACAAAGAAATAAAATGTTTAGCTCATGAGGAGTGGGCCAAAATACCTGCTGAGAGGTACAGAACAAATAGTTAAGTTAGGGGTACCATCACTTTTCTCCACGCCTGTTCCATGAGTTTATTTATTTTAAATAATTCCGTTGAAGCTCGATTGAACAGCAACATCTGACTTTCACTGGTTAAATTTTACATAACTTTTATTTATTATACATTTTGTCAGATTCAAGTTAATTCTGTGACCATTGTGAGTTTTTCTTTCATTGATCAAAGGGTACCAACAAATTTGTCCACATCTGGATCTGACACATCTGGCTAGTTTAAAGAATTGGACACAAGGAAAACAAAAAAATAAAAGTATTTTGTTGACATAAAAGTTAACTTTTTGAGAAACAGTTCAGATTAAGCTATTTTAAGAAACTGAAAGAAACAAACATCATTACGATTGTGTGTTTTGATGTAAGTGTTTGTTATCAGACTCTTATTGTGAAGGATGTTCTGTGAATGTTGCTGCAGACGTTGCTGAGAGGCTGCACCTGCGTTTCTCATAAGAAACACACCCAGATTCCTCAGTTACAATAACAAAAATAGAACTAATGCAATCAGGAGCTCAGAGGGTTGTTCTTCTAGTTATTTTAGACTTCTTCTAGAACTCTTTCAGATAATCCCAACTTTACTGCAAAAAATGTAGATGTGCTAAAAATAATACTTTTTATTTTCTGTGTTTTCTTCTCAGTGGCCCTATCGCTCCACTGTGGGACTACATTACTGTAGATCCCTGAAAGATTAATGCATCTATTCATTCATTGTGATTTTAAAAAGCCCAGTAAGCTCTTTGGTCTTGTACAGAACCCGTTTCCAATGTGATGCTCAGCGTGAATCAAACGGACCTGATGGAGTTCACGACTTCAGCGATCATCCGGTGCTCCTCCTCTGGATCCTCTGTCTCTGTTGTCTGGATGAACGGCAGCTCTGCGGTTCAAACCAGCAGCAGAGTTCAGATCACTGATGGAAACTTTACACTGACTATAAACAACGTGACCCGCTACGACTCGGGACCTTTCAGGTGTTATGTGGTCAATCTGGTCAGTAATGGGACCAGTGATCCAGTAAACTTCACCATCAGCTGTGAGTAAAAGCTGTAATCTAAACCACCATTCTTGATTACGGAGCTCTAACGTATACGTTTGTTCTGCTTGTGTCTCCAGATGGCCCAGATAACATGGCCCTGATGGTAAATGGACAGAGTGGGACTTCCTTCTCAGCTGGATCCAACCTCACCCTGCTCTGCTCCGCTCAGTCCAGTCCTCCGGCTCAGCTCCAGTGGACCTTCGGCGGAAACCCGCTGAACACCACAGGAAGGATGTTTGAGGTCTTTAATTTTCAAGTCCAACAAAGTGGTTCTTATTCCTGCGTGGCCTTTAACAACCAGACCAACATGTACAGCAGCATAACCAGATACATCACCATCTCTAGTGAGTTTTATGTTTATGGTTGGTTATTAATATTAAATACTGCCCGGCTGAAACAAAGTCGCCTCCTAGATTTAACTAAGCAAACAGGTAGGAGCCTCCTATTGGACAATTATGGCATGGGAGATTATCTTTCAGCTGGCAACAAGTTATTTAAAGGCACACGTGGAAGTTTTGGCTTGCCTTTAGCACCCCCTAGTGTCTGTTTAGTAGAACCAAAAGCTAAACTTATCTCCTCGCTGCCTTAATCTAGCTGCTGAAAGTTCTCCTCGACCGTCCTTTGTGTCTACAGGACTGATCTATCACTACAATAAACAAATCAGCTGTGTTCATGATCCAAAACATGCAAGAACCATGCTGGAACCAGACTGCAGTGCCAGGCATGTCAGCTCAAAAACACCCACAGGAGGTGGTCCGACAGTCTGAAGTTGCAAGTGTGATATTCTGGCCACAGGGGGCGTTGGGGGGTCTGAGTTAGAGCCCTGCACTGAAGCCCAAACCCTCGGGTCGGCCCGGCCCAAGGGCTGGGCTTCTGGCCAACGACTGTGTAATTACCTCGGACACAGGCCGGGCCGGGCGCCTTTATTTTCAATCAAATTCATAAAAAAAAACTGAAACACTTAAACGCAGCAGCACCTGCCTGCTTCTCACGCACCGGCACCCGTTAGCTCAGTGAAGGTCTGCGTGGTTTATAAATGCGCCTGTATAAACGAATTCTCAAACTGCTGATTGAAACATGTGCCCCTATTCTAATACGCCATTTTATGTCCACTTTGATGTCAGAAAACATTCGTTTATTCTCATGAAAACAGCAGCATTCTGTTTTTCTGTGAATAAATTCGCTCTGCAGTTAAAAAAATACAGCATTCATAGTTGGGTTTTTTCTAACTGGAGAGCGAATTTTCAGAGCGGCAGATGAAATTTACAAACGCTTTATTAATTGGGGCGTTTATTTAATCTGCCGCTCTGAAAATGCGCTCTGCAGTTAGAAAATTAGAACGCTGCTTTTTTTTCTAATTGCACAAGAGCGCATTTTCAGAGCAGATTAAATTTACAAACACATCCAATTAATATAGTGTTCGTAAATTTCATCTGTCGCTCGAAAAATACGCTCTGTTAGAAAAAGAAGTTGCATTGATGCTGTTTTTCCTTCTTTTTTTTCTTTTTTTTACTGCAGAACGCTTCTCACAGATAATTAGAAGGCTGAGCATTCTATCACGCTAAAACATTATGAAAAGTTAAAAAAAGTCGGGCTCGGGTCGGGCCAGAGAATCCTGAAAACCTTTTCGGACCGGGTCAAGCTGGGGCTCCACCCCCTCGGGCCGGGCCGGACACAGGCTCAGATTTTAGGCCCGTGCAGGGCTCTAGTCTGAGTGACTTTTCATTAACCATGTAAAGGGTCATTTTAGCACATGCCGGCTCAAGAAAACGATAAAAAATATTTTTTAAAGTTACATAGTTTACCTTTAACCCCAGTTGGTGCAATGAGTTGCTTCTCATTTCTTAAACAACCATGTGGAAAGACACATCTGGTGGGCGTGGAAAAGATGTTAGTGTGTGTGAGAGGTTCAGATCATTGGCATCAAGCAGAGGAAACATCTAAGGAGATGCAGAAACGACTTAAACCGGGTTTAAAACTGTCCAATGCATTATTAAAACCTGGTCTGAAGAGTCCAGATGGACCCTGTTCCGTAGTGATGTTGCATCAGGGTGAGAAGAGAGGCAGATGAAGTGATGCACCCATCATGCCTAGTGCCTACTGTACAAGCCTGTGGGGGCAGTGCTATGATCTGGGCTTGCTACAGTTGGTCAGGTCTAGGTTCATCAACAAGACTTGCTCCAAGAATGAGGTCAGCTGACTACCTGAATGACCAGGTTATTCCATCTTCCCTGATGGCACGGCCATATTTCAAGATGACAAAGCCAGGATTCATCAGGCTCAAAAAGTGAAAGAGTGGTTCAGGGAGCATGAGGCACCATTTTCACACACGGATCGGCCACCACAGAGTCCAGACCTTGACTCCACTGAGAATCTTTGGGATGTGCTGGAGAAGGCTTTGTTCAGCGGTCAGACTCTACGATCATCAATGCGAGGTCTTGGTGGAGCATTAATGCAACACTGGATGGAAATAAATCTGGTGACGCTGCAGAAGCTGATCGAAACAACGCCACTGCAAATGTGTGTCCTGGTGAAAGCTAAAGGCAGTCCAATGAAATAATAGTGTGACCTTTTTTTTTGGTGGCGACTTTTTCTTTTGGTGTGTTTGATCATTCTGGCCACTGTTTCATCGTTATGCTTTGGTCTCTACAGAGTCTGAACAACAAGGAGTGAATTTGTTGCTCCTCTTTCTGCTTTTGCTGGCAAAGTTTTGTTAAGGTAAGTTGTTAAACAGAAGAAAACTAGAAATGCACAATGGGAATTCTGTACTTTTCTGTCAGAAATATACAAAACTATCTTCATCTTGAATAATATCTAGCAGTTCAGACAAGCTAGCTTTTGAACAATTGTTCAGTTTAGGTCGAGAACTTAGAAATATTATAAAAACCTAAATTCAAACATCATCGCCGGCAGCTGGGATTAATATAATGATTAACTTCCAAATGTTCTTCATTTTCCAGATTAATGATGCTCACACAGGCCCTGGACAACGTTGTTGCAGTGAAGAAATCTTCAATAATTTTATTTTTAGAAGTTTGGATTGAAATGTGCCACGATTTTTAGTTTGACCCAGATTTCTGTAACATGTAACATTAAATAACTAACTTTTAGGGTTTCAGGCTACCCGCATTAACCAGGTTTCACATAAAAATGTTCACATTTTTTATTATTGCGCAATATTAAAATAGTTTATTTATGATTCAGGAACCTGGGAGGAAATGTTGGGCCCATATTTAGTCCGTTTTTTAACCACTGACCAAACGGAGTTAAACCAGAATCACAGAAACACAAAGGTGTTTGGAATTTAAATTCTGATCTATATAATAAACACAAACTTAAAGAGCAAGTCAACCCCTACCAGAGTCTAACTCCACTCTCACTTCCTGTTTGAAAAAGGCAACAAATGCTGTTGCCTGGCAGACCAAGAAGGCGGAGCTGCTAACAAATACACACACACACAGGCTCACAACAGCATTGTGACATCATAACGTACCAGTTTACATCATAGCATACCTCTTAGCCAATAGCGGTGGCAGATTTAAATTAAAATACAGTGCAGAGTTTTTACCTGACAACGGCACAACACTGCCAGTTTTAGGCAGAATATTTAAATTTTAACTAAAATGCACTGAAGTGCCAAATTATTGACTACATGTGTCTGCAGCACGATTAGACACTCGTTTATTTAGTTTATCAGCAAAAAAAAGTTGATTTGGGGGTGACTTGCTCTATAAACAACACATTTCCTTCTGCTGATCTGCATTTCACAGGGGAAAATATACAATCTTTCAATAAAGTGATTCTCTGTTTTTACACAAAAAAAACAATTTTTTTTCTTAATAACTGAAAATCAAAAATGTTACACAACGTTGATAAGTTGTTTTGTTTTGTTTTCTTAATTTCCGTAAGAGTCCACATGTTCAGTTGCCTCACATTAAAGAGCAAGTCACCACCAAATCAACTTTTTTTCTGATAAACTATATAAATGCGTGTCTAATCGTGCTGCAGACACGTGTAGTCAATAGTTTTGCACTTTAGTGCATTTTAGTTAAAGTTTAAATTTTCTGCCTAAAACTGTCAGTGTTGTGCCGTTGTCAGGTAAAAACTCTGCACTGCATTTGAATTTAAATCTGCCATCGCTATTGGCTAAGAGGTACCTTAGAATGTTAGCTGGTACCATATGATGTCACAATGTCGTTGTGTGTGTGTGTGCGTGCGTGCGTGCGCGCGTGCGTGCATGCGTGCGTGCGTGTGTGTGTGTGTGTGTGTGTGTGGGTGTGTGTGTGGGTGTGTGTGTGTGTGTGTGTGTGTGTGTGTTTGTTAGCGGCTCCGTCCTCTCTGTCTGCTAGGCAACAGCATTTGTTGCATATTTCAAACAGGAAGTGGGAGTGGAGTAATACTCTGGTAGGGGATGACTTGCTCTTTAAAAATAATTTTTTGAAATTTTCATTTAGTTATTTTTCATTCTCAAAAATGAATTACAAACAATTTTTTTAAATCCCAGTTCATTTTTAATTATGTTTAATTCATAAAGGGTTAATAAACGTATTGTTGTTTTTCTCCTCTCATTTCAAAATGAAGGGCTGAATCTTTAAAATGTCTGAAACCTGCCGTGGATTTCTGTGTGAAAATGAGAAAATTAACTGATGAATATTGTGAAAATTTATTTACTTTCAATCTTATGAAATAAAGGGGAAAGAAAACTTCCCACTTATGTGCTCACATGTTTTAACGCAATCCTGGTTTCAGAATGTGATTCTCCTTTATCTCTGCTGCTAGACGCATCCGCTGAAAAGTCTACCCTCATCGGCACGGATGGCCTCACAAATCAGAAAGTTCCTAAATATGCATTTCTATCTGTTCTTAGTTTCTGAGAAGTCACATAAAGTGTTTGAAATACAAATATTGTGCTATATTAGGAGAGATGCAATGACCTAATGCCCGAGGTGTACTTCTGTGTGTTGTGTGTCAGCAGTAGCAAACGAATGTGTCACGTAACCCTGTGTACATTTATTCCCCGTCTGATTATCTCATTTAACGACCAAACCTTTAGAAGCTCATTCTTTGCCGTATTTACTCACCAAACAACACAAAGCATCTGATGGAAAACACTGACAATGAGCAGAAAAGACCGCAAAACATTTTCCAGGTAGATAAACACAGCTGATTCATTCAAGTTGATATTTTTCTGCGTTGTTGTCACAAATGTTTTTGGCAGAAAGCCACGCACACAAGGAAGTTATTTCCCTAAATGTTTTATTCTGAATCCAGGGGCTCGCTCTTTATTGAAAGTTCTCGTTAAAAATCAATCAGTCAATCAATCAGCCTTTATTTATAAAGAACCTTACAGGCTTGAACATGCCACCAAGGTGCTGTACAACAGAAGAATAAAACAATGAAACATATAGCGCCACACACATAATTTAAACCACAAATAAGAATTACAAAATATAAAACATTAGCAATTGCTAACCCACAGAATTAAAAGCCAGATCGTAAAAGTAGGTTTTCAGCCTGATTTTAAAAACTGCTTTTCAGAGAAAATTCAATTCAATTCAATTCAATTTTATTTATAAAGTGTCAAATCACGACAAGAGTCGTCTCAAGGCACTTCACATAATAAACATTCCAATTCAGGTCAGTTCATTAAGCCAATCAGAAAAAGTGTTTCCTATATAAGGAACCCAGCAAATTGCATCAAGTCACTGACTAGTGTCAGTGACTATACAGCAATCCTCATACTAAGCAAGCATGCAGCGACAGTGGAGAGGAAAACTCCCTTTTAACAGGAAGAAACCTCCAGAGGATCCTGGCTCAGTATAAGCAGCCATCCTCCACGACTCACTGGGGATCGAGAAGACAGAGCACACACACACACACACACACACACACACACACACACACACACACACACACACACACACACACACACACACACACACACACGTACACACATGCACACACACACCAGTAAAAATTTATATTCGGCTGAGTCCAGATGAGCAAAGTAAGGTAAGGCATGGAAGCGCCATCAGAGGAGCCGTCTGCCCCGGCAGCATCAGGACTTTCACACTAAGTCAGGGCGCTCAGAGGAGGGGGAGCATAGACCCCCACCTCCACTTAAACACTACCTGTAGAGTGCCCAGGAAGCAACAGTCGACCCCCGCCCCCGGGGCAGAGGGCCCCTACAGAGAAAACACTGGATTAAAATGAGTAAAAATATGAAAATAAAAAAGCTCATATAAATGACAAAAGTAAGAAAATCAATAATAAATGAATTCATTTAGACAGTAAAATTATAATATTAAATAATGAAACTGTGCCGAAACATAACTATATGATTTTTTAAAAATATAATCATATAAAACATAAAAAACGTGAAGCCACTACTTCAATATTTTAGCTGTGTGCTTAGGGTCATGGTCATGTTGGAGGGTAAACCTTCGGGTCAGTCTGAGGTCCTGAGCACTCTGGAGAAGGTTCCTGTCCAGGATATCCCTGTACTTGGCCGCATTCATCGTTTTCTCGCTGCATTCATCGTTTTCTCTGATTTTGTAAGTGCATCACTTTCAACTTTGATCCTAGCTCCGGCCATGTCACGTTCTGGTTGGTCACATTTTTAAAATGACGTTTATAAGTTTACAGTAAATGCTGGCACTCCTAGGTGTGCATCAGTATAGCCTCGGTGCATCAGGGTGAAACAGGGAGTGGCAGCGGCTCTGGTATTTCATGGTGACGAGAGGCCGGTGAAACATTTGCATCAAGAGAACTGACAGCGTTGTGCCAATATTTGCTGATTGGAGTGGCGAGGTCAAACGATATCTCCTGATTCGACTCGATCAAAACCAGAGTGCGGGACATTTATCAAACAAGTTCTCAGATGCAAAAGAAGTGAAGGGCAGAATGAAGACACCACTACTTTTCCTCATTCTGACTGCAATAACATTTGAAGGTATACATTTATTTTTATTTTAACTGTTTTGAAATAATTCTGTGGTTTAAAGATATTTCACTCAAATGGTAAACTCAGGGTCGTTTATGCGGGGCTCATAAAGTGGATGTTTCTGTCTTTTTCCAGGTCATGTGCACGGCCAAAGGATATATGCCTCTGAAAACCCCATCGCAGTGGGCGGCCATTTGACGATTCACAGCGATACTCCTGTTCCAATTGGGGCCTGGCTATTCAACGGGGATGTCATCATGTACATTTTCTCAGGAGAAAATTACACTAGTTACGGTTGGACCGACCGGCTAATATATGATAAAACAACGTCGTCTCTGGAAATTACCTCAACAAGGCTTCAAGACTCTGGGATCTACAAATTACAGCGATTTAATGGTTTGAATGTTCAATTGGATCTGTCAGTTCAAGGTAAGCCTTTTGTCATCGTGGTCATTCAATAAGTGTGTCGGAAACACGCTCAGTTTTGAGTTTGCGTTATCAAGGCAAGAAACATCTTAAAGTGGGACTCTCAACAGCATCCACGCTGATTTTAGAGGGTTTTCCTAAGAGAAACACATCGTTTTTTATTCTACTGTCGATTGTCTTAAACAATTTTAAACTATATTTGAATATTTTAGTAAAGCATGGCTTCGAGTTCAAATCAGGTTTCTTTACACAAGTAAATCTTAAGGCCAAGTATTGTTTCAAAATAGATCATATAATAATGGCATTATCCATTATCAATGAGCCGATTTCTCTTTACATATGTATATGTGTTTATTTTGCACACAACAATAAATAAAACTATTTATCTGGATTGAAGTAATGTCCAAATGTTTTTTCATTGTTAATTCAAAATCGTATCGACGCCCCCCCCCCCCAGAAATGCTTCCCCAAGTAAAAGCAACATTTTTAGGGGAAATGTGTGAAACACCTGACCTGTTCATTACCATCAGGCATCTTTAAAAATTTTATCAAGTCAAGTCAGAAGTCATTACTCGAGTCTGACTCGAGTCCAAGTCATGTGACTCGAGTCCCCACCTCTGCTTAACTGAGTGGCTCCTTCTCAACTTTCAGCTTTGACAACTGACTTATGGCCGTCTCATCCTGATGTGTTAATGTGAAGAGTTAATCGTACGTCTTTAATTTATCTTCTTTCATTGAAATTGAGAAGTGGCGGTTGCCCTCACAAGCAGAGCCTTCAACATAAAAAAGATCATATTTTTATACGTTCAGAGAAAAAATATGGATAGAGTTAAAATATTTAATATAAATCATGACATTGTCACAACTATGAATGTGCTTCCAAATAATTTTCTAATTAATTAGTGTTTATGGGGAAACATTACTTTCCTGATAGCAAAGGTGTGGACGCGAGACACATGACTTGGACTCGAGTCAGATGACTTCTGACTTGACTTGATAAAATCTATAAAGACTTACGACTTGACTCGGACTTGAACGCCAATGACTTGCGAGTTGAATTGACTTGACTTGATGATGACTTGAGCATATTTGATATTTTAGCACAAAAGTGGCACGACATGGACAAAAATCATTCTTGGTTCTGGTTAGATGTAGTTCTGCTAAATGCAGCAGCACTTTGTTTAGAATCAGTTTCCGCTGCACTTTCTGCTCGTTTGAGCAAATAAACGAAGCTTTAAGAAGCTTTATTTCTGGAATTTGTTTATTATCATTGTCAATAAATTGAAGTTGGACAGATGACTTGAATGTGACTTGAATATTCAAAGTTAAGGACTTGGACTTGACTTGGACTTCCACATCATTGACTTTGGACTCGACTTGGACTTGATTGTCTTTGACTTGGACTTTACTGGAAAGACTTGTGACTTGCAAAGCAGTGACTTGATCACACCTCCGCTGTTTAGAGAACAATCTAGAACAGAATAGAAAAAAACATATACAGGCAGGTGAGGTTGATGTCAAAACAACATCAAATATATTTGAATATATTCTGAATCACGTGCATACCCAAAGGTACATGCAGGCCAGATTAAAACAACAATGTCGTTGAAAAGCACGTTTTAGCTCTCCATTGCAATTAGCAAAACCTGACGAAAGATTAAATTTTCTCTCTGCAGAACTCATCTCGAATGTGACTTTGTCAGCAAAAAGTACAAATCTTGTGGAATTCAAAGACTCAGCGGTGCTGACATGCTCCATTTCCGCTGGCACGTCTTTGACCTTTTGGTGGTTGGAGGGAAACTCTGCAATCTCAGGTGGAGGAGGTGTACAGCTCAGCAATGGAAACGCAACTCTCACCATCATGAATGTGACGCGCCTTAATCAAGGTCCTTTCAGATGCAATGTGTCCAACGGACTCGGGTTTGAAGTTAGCCCCTCCGTGCAACTCAACATCAGTTGTGAGTTTTTGTCTAAATGAATGTACACATGCTCATCTGCTTAAAACACTGCAACGTACATTTTTTCTCTCATTGTGTCATCAGATGGTCCAGATAACACCAAAATAGCAGCCATGTCCATGAAGCACATCTACAAATCTGGGTCTGACATCACACTGTCGTGCTCAGCTGATTCCAGTCCCCCAGCAACGATCCACTGGATGGTTAATAATGTGTACCTGAACGAATTTGGCCCTCATCTTAATCTGAGCAACATTAAAGCAAACCAATCAGGAAGTTACACATGCGTATTCGACAATGCGGTCACAATGAGGCAGAGCAATGCAAGCATGGTGATTCAAATTTTGGGTAAGATGTTTTTTGTTTGTTTAATAAGGTTTTTTCTTTTTATTATTCTGAGAAGCTCTTGTTGGTAAAATGGTTCTTTACTAATAAACAAAATAGAAATTAAACAAGTTTGATCTAGCTAAAAGAATTAAAGCCATTTACGCTCATACGTATTTCTGAAATGTCTTCTGGGAAGCCGACATTGCTTTTTGCACTTTGACTTATTGAGACTTAAAATGGGAAAAATCCAAATGGCATAATGTTGAGTTAGATCTCCAGGCTTTCATTTATTTAGTTCCTTATTTAATTACAAAGAAGATTGCATAATTTCATTACTGAGACATACTTATTAATTTATAATTCATAATATTTAACTTTACCCATCGTTGTCTGTTCCGGCAGATCCTATAACAGCCGTTGTCAAACAAATCGGAGTCCCGGCAATACTCAACAAGTCATTCACTTTGGACTGTGAAGTAGATGGACCAGTTGACACCATTCAGTGGTGGAAGGATGGAGATCTCATGTCTGCTGGCAATTCAACAGTATTTGGCCCTGGCAACAAGACTCTCACTCTCAGCCTGGTTCAACACTCTGATGGAGGAAAATATCAGTGCCAGGCTTCCAATGCTGTGAGCAACACGACCAGCAGCTTCTACACAGTCGTGATTAATTGTAAGAAATATTTTTTTATTCGATTTATATTCAGTAACAAAAACAGGATTGAAACAAACATTGGTTGATGTGGTTGAACTGTTAATGGAGTGGGTATTTAATAGCACCAAGCTGAGTGAGGTGGACAAGTTAGAAAGTACAGAAACAGCAGGAGTTTGAAGAAGAAGAAGAAGAAAGTTACACACATAGCGCCTAGGATGAGCGAGTACACCACTATCTGTATCTGTACTCGGAGTGGGCGTGGCCTAACCCGGAAGTGGGTGTAGTTCAACCGGAAGTGGGTGTGGTTTACATCAATACGTTATTTTAAGTCTGATCAGAAGTTGCTATGTGTATTGTTTATTTGAAAATTATTTACAGAGCAGCCTCAGAGTTGAGATTGAATGTTTTTGATCACAATAGTAAAGGAACGATTACAGAACAAGTTTTTCAAAAAAATCAGAACATTAAAATGTAAGTGCATGAATTAAGAGAGAGAGAAGAAAAGATCTTTTCTATAGCGCCTCTCAAGATAAAAATCACGGGGCGCTTCACAAAAACAAAACATGTAAAATATGAAAAAAGAATTTAGAAAATGATTAAAATACATTTAAAATGAGCAAAAAATAGACAATTGTGATAAAAAAAATTAAGAAAGAGAGAGAGTGAATAGGAAAGGGAGTGGATCCTGAGGAAGAGGAGAGAGAGAGAGAGTGAAAAAAAACGGAGGCAGTGACTGACGCAGCACGAGCCGTTTTCAGCTCTGTCTTGTCAAATGCGTTACAAAAAAAGTTACTTTAAATAACTTTAAAGTTACTTTAAAAAGAGGCGGACTGAAGAAAACCTAGGGAGTACTGAAGAAGCGTGAGCAACAGTGAAGTAAGCACAGAGATTACTGTCTGTGTGTGTGCGTGGATGGACCGGACGAGGACAGAGCTCTCGGCTGCAGAATTTTGTGTGTCGGGAGGGGCGGGCACTCTATTTGACTGGCCAATCACAGAGCGTGAAGACAGTCAGTTACCCAATGAGGAATTTCCTTCAGCACGATTACAGATATTTACAAGTTTTACTCATTTCATGCCCGTACTCGTCAAAAATGCTTTATCCGTACCGGATACGGCTCACCCGTAGCCTCTCAAGATAAAAATCCTGAGGTGCTAGGGACAAAAAAATATGTAATAAAAACAGGGGAAAGGGAAAGTTTAGATAAAAATATGCAAAGGAAGAGAAAAAATGTTAGTAGATGTAAGCTGGCAAAGTTTGATCCGTGGTGTTTTAAAAGTCCACTCATGGTGGGGACAGGAAGAACGAGTATAAACCGACCTGTGGTAACATAGATGAAGCATGTAACTTTATTAGGAGTTTTATGTAAATGCAAATAATTACACACGAAAGATTGGTACAATCAGTTTATTTTGCACCTCCTTTTGCAGTCGGACCCACTACTCCTGTCATCCATGGACCATCTTATGGTGAAACAGGAAGTTCTGTCTCTTTCAACTGTTCCGCCATGTCCATACCTCCCAGTTCTTACTGTTGGTTTTTCGACGGATCCATCGTGTCTAATACATCACAGCTAATCATCGGTCCTTTGTCTTTCAACATGAGTGGGGAGTACACTTGTACGGCCTTCAATAACGTGACCGGAGAGAACAGCACCAGCTCCACCATGCTTACAGTCATAGGTATTCATGTTTGCATAAAAAATGCTTCAGTCCTCATCTTCCAGGGCTGCAAGTAATTGTTTAATTTAGTCAAAATTATATTTGTTAAATTTCTTAAAAACTTGCAAGAGTGCTCAGTTTCCTTGCAGGAGTCAAAGGTTTTTGCTCTCATGCTGATGACAGAAATCACAGAAATCTGAAATCACTCCAAATCTGTCTGTTGTATTGTAGAAATCCAAATGTTTATATATACGTATGTGTGTATATATTGAATTCTTCAAGTTTCCTGTGTTTACAGAGGCAATAGAGTTGGTGATGATCAGCAGTAACTCAACTCCAATAGACCAGCAAAACTTCACGCTCACATGTCAGGTCCTCGGGCCTTATGACACGATCTACTGGCTGAAAAATAACACCCTCCTCAGACAGGATGCCTCCAACACCAGTTCACCGATGTTTTACTTTGAAAAGAACATGCTGCATTTCACTCCTTTATCAATTCAGAGTCAAGGATCATATCAGTGTGTTGCTACCAATAAGGCCGCTCATCATTGGAGCCCCCAGTATACGCTCCTCGTGAACTGTGAGTACAGTTGGAAGCTGATTCTTCATTTTTCAAATATTTTTTAGTAAAGCAGAACAAGATGGCTAACTTTTGTCTTTTATGTGATGGAAGAAATTCCAAACGACAATGTTTAATATTCAGCCAATTTACTCCTATAATAATGTTTAAATAAAAGTGAATTTAGACAATGGATGGTGGATATAGGGAGTCTAAATCACTTCCGCACCATGAGTTCCCAGAAGAACGAAAAAATGAATGCAAGTCAACGGGGCTAAAAACATTGTTTTGTAACCAGCTTTGCCTTACGCCCTGAATCGCACATATGTTGTACTGCAATTTAAAAGAAAAGTAATGATGGGTGTTTCGACCATGCCATGTCATGGTCTGTGTCTGTGTCTTCCTTCGTGTCTCATAGCGCCTTCGTGTGTCTTTTGTCTGCGTCTCAGTTAAGTGTCTTATGTTGTTACCCTTTTAAATGATTCCTCCCAGGTCAGCTCCAGCCTCTTGTCCCCAGCTCAGTGTGTGTGTGTGTGTGTGTGTGTGTGTGTGTGTGTGTGTGTGTGTGTGTGTGTGTGTGTGTGTGTGTGTGTTATGTCCTCCTCCAGCTAGTTTGTGTGAGCCCTTCCCTCTGTCTTTAGATAGTTGTTGTTTAGTTTTGTGGTTAGGTATTTACCCTCCTCTGTTTCAGTTTTCCCAGTTAGATTATTATATTCACCTGTCTTCCCTCCAGCCCTCACTCCACACACCTGCTGCCAATTTCCCTGATTGCTCCTCCCTGTGTATATAAGCCCTGTCTTGTGTCGGTCCATTGTTTGTATTCTGTCAGTCTTTGATTATTAGGGTTTTTAGTCTTCTCGTGTTCTCTAGGGCTTTGGATTTCCAGATCGTTATCTGGATTTTGGATTTTGGCTCCCAGTCTTTGGACTTATTTTTGTTCTCCTTAAAATAAAGGATTTTTGTTATTCATCATCTCTGCATCGTGTCATCCTGGTTACTGCATTTTGGGTCCTACCAACATTGTATCGTGACACGCCAGTCACGTACTTTGACATTTATTAGCTTGTAAAAGTTCGTAATTAGCATGACTACAAACTAGAAATTGGCACGTTGCATATGTGACGTCACCACATAATCTCCTCTCCCCTAACGTAGCTGCTACTTACCATATGACCAGATTTATGGTGGTTCTTTCCTCCTGTGGGAAGTTTACTGAGCTTACAGCCCTTTTCCATCAGTTTTCTCCATGTCTGGTTCGATGACGTCACTTTCGTGAAGCGCTTTTGAAGTCCTGGAGTTATTTTCACACAAAACCTAAAATAGAATTTCCCCCTGTTCAAAAATAAGCACGGTCTTGGTATCAACATGTGTCTTTAAAATTCACGGACATCATGTGTGAAATCCATGGCACATAACAAGCAGATTTTGAAAAAAGCATTTTTAGCCCCATTGACTTGCATTCGTTTTTTGTTCTTCCTGGGACTCGTGGTGCAGAAGTGACCCTGCTGGCTTTTTTAACCGATATCTGATAGACTGATATCGTCTGACTCTTAAAATTTAATACCGATATAAACAGTGTTGGGAACGTTACTTTAAAAAAGTAATTAGTTATAGTTACTGATTACTTTGTCAAAAAAGTAACTCAGTTACTAACTGAGTTACAAGATCATAAAAGTAACTAATTACCAACAAAAGTAACTACTTAGTTACTTATTCATTAAAGCATGCAAGAATTACTACAATAGTAAAATATAAATGACTAATGACTGAACATAATAAAATGTATGTCCAAATGTTTTATATAAACCTGAATAATTTAAACAAATAAGCACTTAACAGGAGGAACTACTAATAGGAACATTACACTAATCTAGACTATTAAAAGGTCACTGTGTGATATTTAACAAAAACCCAATCAGCTAAAATTTAAAATTGCAAATAGAATCACCTGTAAAGGTTCCCGAGCCTTTAAATGGTCTCTCAGTCTAGTTAAATTGCTGAAATAAATGTAATTTTGCACAGCATTCTAATTTTTACAGCTTCACATAATTGTGTCTTTTTAGTAGCATTTCTGTTGCTACTAATCTAGTATCGGTTAAATAAATAAATAAATATCCTTTAAAATGACACTAGAAGAGGCACAGGCCTAGGACTTAAATGTACTAACATGGGTCAGACCCAACCACAGAAGAGCTGAAGCTGGGTGGTGAACACACACAGGTAGTTCTAATAACACCTGAGCTCCATGACGTCTGAGACTGATGCATCAGTGTTACAGCGGGACTGAAGACATGATCAGAAACAGGTTACAGCTGGATGATCTAGGAAGGTGGAAGATCAGGACGTCTGAGCGGTGAACAGGTGAGCGGACCTTCGGGACGTCCCGCTGTCACGCTAAGGGCACGGCTGCAGACCCGCAGATTCGCTGCTGCAGCAACAAATCTGCGGGTCTGCAGCCGTAGACTATTCATCACGTCTTCCTCGTTCTTCACGGGCCATGATGCTCTTAAACATCTGCCTCTTTAGCTCCTGATCAGCTGATGATGTCAGCTTCAACACACCGCACTGCTTAACGCACGCATTTCCTTACCAGTAACAGGAACAACGTTTTGATAAAAGAAGACGGTAATTAATTAGTTTGCTTGTTACAGAAAGACATATTTTTTATTAACGCGGTTATTTTAAACGGAGTTATTCCCGTTGTGTCTACAGAATGCAGTGACTGAGACCGTGAGGGTCTCCGCCCACCCGGCCAATCATCATCGTGTTTGTAAGTGCGTTACCGACACCTAGCTCCCTGGCTGCAGCTGAAGTGTGGCGGTCGGAAAGCCTCACACTGTTGCTCAACGTTCGACAAGCACATAGTAACGCACAGCGTTCCGTCCCCAGTAACGGTAACGGCGTTGCAACGGCGGGAAAAGTAATTAATTAGATTATTCCGTTACCTATAAAAGAACGCCGTTAGAAACGCCGTTATACTTAAACGGCGTTACTCCCAACACTGGATATAAACCGATACTGATACATGTCCCTCTCTCATAAAAAAGAAAAACTAAAACATTTTGATCAATCAATCACTCAAAGATACTTTATTAATCCCAGAGGGAAATTAGAGTTTCAGTACACACAATTCAGAGATCAGACATACATGGACAAGACACATGACAAGGATTGGTGACTGTGGTCATTCGCAACCCTGAGTCGCGCTACCTTAATAGATATAAGAGGGTTACATGAGGATTGGTTCAGGTGGAGAGAAAAAAAGAGGCACTTCAGAGTTACCCTCCACCGGGAGGACAGCTTTGCTCTGCAAAAAAAACCCTCAGACAGATATGCAACAGAGTTCAGACAACACAACATAAATGTCCACTAGGTGGGGTGGTGGGTTGGGACTATCCCCACTTCAGTTCCTGCAGCCACGATAAGCAGTGCATGTCACCTCAGTGTGGATAGGGGGGGAGCATTGAGGGTTGGAGGGTTGCAGTGACCCTGGACGCTTCAGCGGCCTTCCTGCAGTCCCACCCAGGCTGGGAAAGGAGGCAGAGTTGAGTTGCCATAGCGAAGGCATATTCCACATATCTTCTGAGGGGGGAGTTTTCGTTGTAGCCTTGCAGGCTCAAGGACGCCAGATTCCGTTTAGAAATTGTTTTGGGGCCAGACAGAGATAATTTCATCTCTGTCTTACAGTTTGTTGGTCCTCAACCTCTCAGAATCCCAATAATGGACGTTAATCTATCCCAATCTGTGCTGATTCGTCCACTCTCTCCTTGATGGCATCCATCTTTTGTGCCAAAGAATGAATCTCCGCCAAAGTCCCAAGCTTACGATTCATCTCGACAATTATGTGAGTCTGTGAATTCACAGCGCGGTGCAAACCATCTCTGAGCTCCGGGATCAGTCCAATATTCCTCGACAGCTCGTTAATTTTCCAGTAAGCCAGGTAGCCTCAAAGGCCAATGAGCAGGAAACCTGACACCACCACCACGAATATCCACACATCTTCAGAGTCCTCCACGGACAGCTGAGATAAACAAATCAAGTTCCAAAGTTTCCAGAAGTCCATGATGTGTCCACCTGGGTCTGTACTGGCAGGACATCCGTGAGCCCCTTCTCCCATTCTCATCGTTGAAAAAACTTTATCAATCGCATTGAGAGACCAGAAGCAGCCATGCACCCAACACACAGAGACAGACAAAGGCCTTGAGGATAAGATATGGAGGAGAGGAGGAAAAAAGCGTATGCACCCGCCAAGAGCCGGAAGAAGAAAATGTTAGCTTACTAACATCACATTTCTGCTACCAAGCGTTCTTAAATTCACCATAAGGCGTCTGTGTTAGTTAGTAGTGTCTGTTGTGTCTTCATTCTGTGTGCACTGATAGCATTTTTGGTTTTTTAATTAACAAAGGAAAGGGTTTTTTTACCTTTGATTGCTGACAGTTTCGACCACTCCTGCAGATTTCTTCGGAGCTAGCCGCTAATAGCGGCATCACTTCCTTCTCCATTTAGCCGCGGGCAGCAGAGGACGGTGTCATTTTTTTTCTGAGTGGATTGAAATTCTTACAGTTGTTTTTTTATTAGTGTACAATTGTGGGGAAATTATTTATTAGTTGTTTGTAGAAGAGAGTAGATAAAATTTTCTGCCATATGTTAATGTGCATTCATCATGCATGTGTATTGATGAGGCCAAAAGGTAAAAACTTCAAGTTCATTTAAACCTTCCATAAAAGTAGATTGTTAAAAAAAGGTCAAATCTATACATTTACGCAAAAAATATACACAAATACTCCATAATACTAACACTTCACTGATGCTGACTGTTTGGAAATGTTTTTAACTTGATAATTCCTCCTAACTTTCCTTTAGCCATCATGGTTGACTGCTGCAGGTTACTTTCTATAACACTTTACAACAAGGGTCCCTTTATTACCATTACTCAGTGCATTATTAAGCTTTAATAAACTATTAAATGAAGTATTAACAACTGATTAGCCAAATTATGTAATGCATTACTTAGCAGACACCCCCCAGCCCTTTATCTTAACCTTAAGGACAGCTAATAGCTAGCAATAATGGTGACGTTAATAAAGGGACCCTTATCGTAAAGTTTTGCCTTGCTTCCTAAAATAAAAACAGATTTTTTTTCTGATACAAGCCCAACAAAATTAAGCAATGCAGCTCAGAAAATACTCAGACTACAGACCTAAGAAATGGTTGATAGATTTACAGAGATTATGAATGATTATTGAGGCTACTCACATGCAACTGCCAATTTTAAAGTTGACCTCAGTTTCTTAAAGTTGAGTTGTCTCTTCTAAAGGCATGAACCTCACATAATTAGCTTGATGGTTGACAAAAAAAATAGAAGTAGCAGGAATCACAACCTTAAGGGCCTTCATCTAAATAACAAGTCTTAATAAAACGTTTTACTTTCCACCTCCTTTTGCAGTCGGACCCACTACGCCTGTCATCCATGGACCGTCTTATGGTGAAACAGGAAGTTCTGTCTCTTTCAACTGTTCCGCCATGTCCATACCTCCCAGTTCTTACTGTTGGTTTTTCGACGGATCCATCGTGTCTAATACGTCAGAGCTAATCATCGGTCCTTTGTCTTTCAACATGAGTGGGGAGTACACTTGTATGGCCTTCAATAACGTGACCGGAGAGAACAGCACCAGCTCCACCATGCTTACTGTCATAGGTATTCATGTTTGCATAAAAAATGCTTGAGCTAATCTCTTACAGTTTGTGACATTTTACGAAACTGATATTTGCAAAGTTCTTTGGAAACTTGCAAGGGTGCTAAAATTCCTTGCATGAGTCACGTGTTTTTGCCCTCATGCTGCTGACAGAAATCATAGAAATCTGAAATCACTCCAAATCTGTCTGTTGTAGCAATACAAATGCTCATAAATATCTCCATTTCTTTGTGTTTCCTGTGTTTACAGAGGCAAAAGAGTTGGTGGTGATGATCAGCAGTAACTCAACTCCAATAGACCAGCAAAACTTCACGCTCACATGTCAGGTCCTCGAGCCTTATGACACGATCTACTGGCTGAAAAATAACACCCTCCTCAGACAGGATGCCTCCAACACCAGTTCACCAATGTTTTACTTTGAAAAGAACATGCTGCATTTCACTCCTTTATCAATTCAGAGTCAAGGATCGTATCAGTGTGTTGCTACCAATAAGGCCGCTCATCATTGGAGCCCCCAGTATACGCTCCTCGTGAACTGTGAGTACAGTTGGAAGCTGATTCTGCATTTTTCAAGTATTTTTTAGTAAAGCAGAACAAGATCAAGCTGGCTAACTTTTGTCTTTTATGTGACGGAAGAAATTCCAAACGACAATGTTTAATATTCTGCCAATTTACTCCTATAATAATGTTTAAATAAAAGTGAATTTAGACAATGGATGGTGGATATAGATAGTCTAAATCACTTCCGCACCATGAGTTCCCAGAAGAACGAAAAAATGAATGCAAGTCAACGGGGCTAAAAACATTGTTTTCTAACCAGCTTTGCCTTACGCCCTGAATCGCACATATGTTGTACTGCAATTTAAATGAAAACCAACGATGGGTGTTTCGACCATGCCAGTCACGTACTTTGAGATTCATTAGCGTGTAAAAGTTCGTAATTAGCATGACTACAAACTAGAAATCGGCACGTCGCATATGTGACGTCACCACATAATCTCCTCTCCCCTAACGTAGCCGCTACTTACCACATGACCAGATTTATGGTGGTTCTTTCCTCCTGTGGGAAGTTTACTGAGCTTACAGCCCTTTTTCATCAGTTTTCTCCGTTTCTGGTTCGATGACGTCACTTTCGTGAAGCGCGTTTGAAGTCCTGGAGTTATTTTCACACAAAACCTAAAATAGAATTTCCCCCTGTTCGAAAATGAGCGCGTTCTTGGTATCAACATGTGTCTTTAAAATTCACGGACATCATGTGTGAAATCCATGGCACATAACAAGCAGATTTAGAAAATAGCATTTTTAGCCCCATTGACTTGCATTCGTTTTTTGTTCATCCGGGGACCCGTGGTGCGGAAGTGACCCTGTTGGCTTTTTTAACCGATATCTGATAGACTGATATCGACTGACTCTTAAAACGTAATACCGATATAAACCGATACTGATACATGTCCCTCTCTCATAAAAAAACACATTTCTGCTACCATGCATTCTTAAATTCACCATAAGACGTCCGTGTTAGTTAGTAGTGTCTGTTGTGTCTTCATTCTGTGTGTTTCTTCTGATAGCATTTTTGGTTCTTTTATTAACAAAGGAAAGGGTTGTTTTACCTTTGATTGCTGACAGTTTCGACCACTCCTGCAGATTTCTTCGGAGCTAGCCGCTAACAGTGGCATCACTTCCTACTCCGTTTAGCCGTGGGCAGCAGAGGACGGTGTCGTTTTTTTTGTGTTGAGAGGATTGCAATTCTTACAGTTGTTTTTTTTATTAGTGTACAATTGTGGAGAAATTATTTATTAGTTGTTTGTACAATTCAATTCGATTCAAAAATACTTTATCAATCCCAGAGGGAAATTGATTGCTGTAGTAGCTCAGAATAATAATAACTGCAAGCAGTTATCAAAGCGTTCCAAGCCAACCAGCGCCAGTCCCCCACCCGGCCCCGCCCTCACCTTCGCCATTCCTCACGCTGTCCTGCCCCAAAAACACGTTCTCCCACTGGCGTCCTATCAGCTCACTTCAACCGGCGAAATGAAAGTAACACTCAGGATACGTCATTAAACCTCTTGCAAAGCCTATACACATATCTTTCACAGGCATGGCTGACTTCTCGATCGTGATTACAATCCAATTCCACTGTTTCCTTATTAAAGAACGTGAAGAACTTACATATAGTCAACAGAGCTACTCCAACATGCAGCCGCCCAGAGCAGCGCAGTTCCGGAAAAAAAGAGAGTAGATACCCATATGTTAATGTGCATTCATCATGCATGTGTATTTGTGAGGCCAAAAGGTAAAAAATGCAAGTTCATTTAAACCTTCCATAAAAGTAGATTGTTAAAAAAAAAAGGTCAAATCTATACATTTATGCAAAAAATATACACAAATACTCCATAATACTAACACTTCACTGATGCTGACTGTTTGGAAATGTTTTTAACTTGATAATTCCTCCTAACTTTCCTTTAGCCATCATGGTTGACTGCTGCAGGTTACTTTCTATAACACTTTACAATAAGGGTCCCTTTATTACCATTACTCAGTGCATTATTAAGCTTTAATAAACTATTAAATGAAGTATTAACAACTGATTAGCCAAATTATGTAATGCATTACTCAGCAGACACCCCCCAGCCCTTTATCTTAACCTTAAGGACAGCTAATAGCTAGCAATAATGGTGACGTTAATAAAGGGATCCTTATCGTAAAGTTTTGCCTTGCTTCCTAAAATAAAAACAGATTTATTTCTGATACAAGCCCAACAAAATTAAGCAATGCAGCTCAGAAAATACTCAGACTACAGACCTAAGAAATGGGTGATAGATTTACAGAGATTATGAATGATTATTGAGGCCACTCACATGCAACTGCCAATTTTAAAGGTGACCTCAGTTTCTTAAAGTTGAGTTGTCTCTTCTAAAGGCATGAACCTCACATAATTAGCTTGATGGTTAAGAAAACAATAGAAGTCGCAGGAATCACAACCTTAAGGGCCTTCATCTAAATAACAAGTCTTAATAAAACGTTTTACTTTCCACCTCCTTTTGCAGTCGGACCCACTACGCCTGTCATCCATGGACCATCTTATGGTGAAACAGGAAGTTCTGTCTCTTTCAACTGTTCCGCCATGTCCATACCTCCCAGTTCTTACTGTTGGTTTTTCGACGGATCCATCGTGTCTAATACGTCAGAGCTAATCATCGGTCCTTTGTCTTTCAACATGAGTGGGGAGTACACTTGTATGGCCTTCAATAACGTGACCGGAGAGAACAGCACCAGCTCCACCATGCTTACAGTCATAGGTATTCATGTTTGCATAAAAAATGCTTGAGCTAATCTCTTACAGTTTGTGACATTTTACGAAACTGATATTTGCAAAATTCTTTGGAAACTTGCAAGGGTGCTAAAATTCCTTGCATGAGTCACGTGTTTTTGCCCTCATGCTGCTGACAGAAATCACAGAAATCTGAAATCACTCCAAATCTGCATTGTAGCAATACAAATGCTTATAAATATCTCCATTTCTTTGTGTTTCCTGTGTTTACAGAGGCAAAAGGGTTGGTGATGATCAGCAGTAACTCAACTCCAATAGACCAGCAAAACTTCACGCTCACATGTCAGGTCCTCGAGCCTTATGACACGATCTACTGGCTGAAAAATAACACCCTCCTCACACAGGATGCCTCCAACACCAGTTCACCAATGTTTTACTTTGAAAAGAACATGCTGCATTTCACTCCTTTATCAATTCAGAGTCAAGGATCGTATCAGTGTGTTGCTACCAATAAGGCCGCTCATCATTGGAGCCCCCAGTATACGCTCCTCGTGAACTGTGAGTACAGTTGGAAGCTGATTCTGCACTTTTTCTAATATTTTTTAGTAAAGCAGAAGAAATTCCACAAAACGGCATTTTACATTCAGACGATTTACTAATGACGTTTAAATAAAAGTGAATTTAGACACATAAATGTGAAGATTTAATGAAATGATGATGATGATGATGATGATGATGATGATGATGATTTTTACTAATGTTTTCCTGCTTGCAGACGGCCCCCTGAATGTATCCATATCTGGTCCAAATTCAGAGAAGGCTGGTGTTTCTGTGTCCCTGACATGTTCTGCTGATTCTCAGCCAGCGTGTCATTTCTACTGGTTCTTCAATAATGAGTCAACGCCTCGGGGAAATGGATCCGTTTTCTATTTCATTGCATCAAAAGAGAGCGAGGGGAGTTACACCTGTCAGGCAAAGAACGACGTGACTAATATCACTATCAGCCAAAGTAAAACCTTTGCAGTTGCAGGTGAGTGGACCTTAAAACTCCTCTTTGGTTGTTTTGGATGTCTCCGATTTATTTCTCAATGCAAAGCTTAGTTTCAGATAGTGTCGTATTTTTTTAGGTTGTGGGTGTGATTTTTATCCTTTCCGCTTATATTTGTTATTTTTGTCATCAGGTGCTTCTGCAGCCCATTTAACCACCAAAGGAGGTCTGATTTTCATGGGTCTGTGTGCTCTCTCAGCTCATTTCCTTCAGCCCTGAATCCATCCATCCATCCACCGACCCATCCAAACACACACACACACACACACACACACACACACACACACACATTTTCTATACCTGTTTAATTGCTGGGTTGCAGGAAGGAGGTGTCTAACTCCAGCAGTGATGCTCCACATCCTTCACTCTAAAAAATGATTCCAGTTCTGTTTTTGTTTTAATTATTGGCTGATAAAATATAGTCAAAGTACTCAATTACACAATGAAAAATGTGTTCATAATTATTTAATACAATTTTCCATTTTCACACCTGGGTGTCTTTTTCCTGGTCGATAAGGATATTATTAAAGTTACATGCAAATGCATTTGTAACATGTATTTATGGAAGAAAGAAACAATGTTGAATATGTAGAGACTTTATTTCAGAAGGTTATTTTAAGTTTTTGTTTTGATTCAGTCATTTTCTTTCAGCAGAAATGGTTTGTAAACAATGTATAATGTACAAAGATAAAGCTTGTATACACAATATAATAAAATATATGTTGGTGATCATTAGAAAATATATATAATTGTTAACTGTGAGCAAGGAGAGATCCTCGGCTTGCACGTTGCTCAGATCGGGCCGTGGATAAAGCCAAGTGGATCATTGGCAGGTCTGCACTTCCTCAGATGCTTACATCTGTCCTTGCTGCATGCTGATTTCCCTTGTTGTTGAATATTTCCAGACAATTTAAGAAATTAACAAAGAAACGAAAAAAGGACAAAAGTTAATTCATGTCTAAAATCTGCACAAGAACAAACTTTTTTCTGCTTCATTTTAAACTTTGATCAATGTTTTAAATTTCCTAGGACGATTCTAGCAACTGTGCAGACCAGCAAATGGTGATCGTCTCATTTTCTATCCCGAGAGGACGCACATTTCCAATTAAAATAAGAAAATGAAATGGTTTGAGTGACATCAGTGGCGGATTTAGCAATTTGGGGGCCCAAAGCGAACACAGACATGGGGCCCCCTTACACTAAATTTTCAACAATCTTATATTTTACTCATTCACTGCCAATGACGACTTAAGTTGTCATTTGCATTTTTTTTACTGTTTGAGCATCGGAACGAGCCCCCGCACCATGACGACAATTATCTCAGCTCTACAGCCGATCGTCACACATCATGTGATCAGGAATCAGAAAATCCATGTGTCAGGAGATCATTTTGGGCCGCTGCTGTAAAAAAAAAGTGAGGCGCGAACCGGAAAAGCTTCTGCCGATCACAATTTAACAACGGATTATGTAAGAACGGATAACGCTCGAAACGCGCGGATTCTTCCTTATGTAAGAGGTTTTGGCGTCGACATCATCCTAGCACGTAACGTTCTGTGACTCTTAAAAAAACACTAAAAACGGTAAGAAACGCTGGCAGCGAAGGGCTTTACTGATCAGGAAACGGCTGGCAGTGAGTGATTTAATGTTTTGACTACCGCTTCGAGTTTGTTACGAACGCTCTCGCCTCTCTTCTTATTATTTGTGGTCTTATGGCACTTGGCAAACAACAATTTGGTGCATTACCGCCACCAGCTGGATTGGAGTGGAATGACTACCAATCACTTCCTGTTTGTGCATCGGTGTCTTAAAGGAATAGTCCATTGTGGCATTAACAGAGGGGTGCCAGAAATCAGGGCTAGGGCCCCCCCCCCCAACATAAGGGGGCCCCAGGCATAAGGGGTGCCCCAACATAAGGGGGCCCCAGGCATAAGGGGGGCCCCAGGCAGTATGCCTAATGGTAAAACCACCACTGAGTGACAAACTTGCTAAACAATTTGCAAAGCAGAAATGAGATCCTGTAAAAATGTTTAAAACTGTTAAAATAATGTTCAAGACAACCAAATATAAAATGGCTGATTTAATAATTACAGGTTACATGGATGCAAGATATTAAAGGATAAGTGATAACACAAGTCTCTTAGATAAATACTGTTTTAGAGTAGATCTTCAGTAGTTATCATCTTACCTTTACAGTGTTTCCTTCCCTTGAGCTTATGGTGAGACGTTTCTGGATATTGTCCAGCAGAAGAAGCTGGAACAACATTTAGACCAAACTTATAAATGGCTGATTATATTTTTTTAACTAAATGATAAATCGTGGGATGTTTATTGAATCTGGTTAAATAAAATCAATCTATCAGAAGATTTGCAAATGCTCTGGGACTGTTTGTGTAGCTCAAACTCAGAAGAAAACCTTTTTAATCGTTAAATGCCACCAAATCTGAAAAAGATCATTTCCTACCGTGGATGCAGTCCATCACTAAAGTCAGCACGAGAAGAGAGAAGAGAATCTGCTTTGGCTCCATGTTGTGGAGAAGTCACGTCTCAGCTCTCCTGCTTGTCCACCAACTTCAGATCCAGTGAAAGAAACAATTATCATCACCAACCTGTCTCTTTATAAAGGTTGGTGTTGATGACTGAAATCATATCCGTGACACAGTCACTCCCTTCCTGTGAAGTGACCCGTTCCTCAACCGCCCCGCTTTGTACAAGAAAATGAACGCAAGCCAAGAAATCTGATCAGGATTTTGATAAAATTTGGAAAAAAAAAGGCTTCATCCTGCCCCTGACCTGAACTACGTCTACCAAAAACCTTATTTTGAATGGATCCATTTACTTTAAACTGTTTATCATCCCTAATGAACATTATAAATCTTCTTTTAATCCAAATTGGGATTATATTTTGCCCCATTAGTTACATTTCTCAGTAAGATTTGGAGAAGTTAGATGCTGTAGAGGTATCCGTTAAAGTAAAATAAGGTTTGTTTCAATCATGCAGCGACTGTCAAAGAGACATTTATTTAAAATGTATTACTGTGCGTGCAAAACTAATGAATAAAGAATTAAAATATTATAGAAAAATATAATTAAAATATTCAACGTCGTGAAACTGCAGAAATTACATGTGAAGGAATATGCAGTTTAGAATGGTTCATGTGTGATTTCCCATTGTTAACTGTGCACTTAAACGCATCATAGTCACGTTATAAATGTTTGATCCCGATGTACGCACAGAGAGAAAAGACTAAAAGATGCTGACGGAGACCTTGTTCTGCAGGAGGGTCAAGAGGTGCACACAGTAACTGTTCATTTATAGAGTTTTATTTCTTTTATTCTTGTGATCTTTTTTCTTTTCATTCTATCTGGGACTGTTCCAGCGTACACTCCAAAAAATGAAATGCTGAATTTACTTAACCAAGTTATGTCGTCTGGTTCCACTAAACCTAGATGCATAAATGTGTGTACATTTATTTTTGACATAACAACGTATATTACTCTTTACATTTAAGAAACTGGGTCACGTGGTTCTCTTACCTTGGTTAAGTAAATTAATCATTTCTTAGAGTGTAGCTGGCTCTAACAGAGTTTCACTGTGCCAGATCTGAGCCAAGTGTTCTTCATTTATAGTTTTAATGGAGTTGATTGAAGAGGAAAGTGAGAAGAAAGAGAATAGCTAAAGCTTCAAAAGACACCTGACTGATTCATGGCCAGTATTCTGTTGGATCACTTCAGCTATACACGCATTTAAATGTAACTTTAAAGGTGTGGAACACTGAAAAAACATTTGTAATGATTATAATCAGTCACTTTTTCATGCAGGCTGAACATGAAAATAGTCTCCTACACCTATCTCCTGCATTAGCTTCTGATGGAAAACAGACGGTGAAACTCTAGGATTAGAAAATCCTGACACATCTACGTCACACTTTCACTTAACAATCATGGACTCACCCATCTTGACTCACGACGGGGAAGGCTGTTGTTGGTTTAGCGTCCAGGAAACAGCAGAGAACGTCTCGGCTAGTAGAAGCTAACAGTTAGCATCAGGAACTCCACCACTCAGCAGAACTCCTTCAGGCTTGTGTATTTGTGGAAATTAAACATCAACACTGCAGAACAAACAGTCAGTTGTAGAGTTGTGTCACTGTTATCCAATCAGACGTGAGATGTCCAAATATCAGGAAATAAGACTCCAGATCCCGTCGTCTGAAGCTCAGCTCTGATTTAGCTCACTTAAAGTTCCTGAAAATGGTGCACCGGGGCTTTTTTCCCCTTGAGCACGACTTTCAAGGCATTCATTCCCACTAGAGACCACTGCAAATGATTCTGTTATTCATCCACCATTCATCAATACTGAGGCCCTGTCCACACGTAGCCGGGGATCTGCCAAAACGTAGATATTTTCTACGTTTTGGCCTGTCATCCACACGAAAACAGAGTTTTTTCACACGAAAACGGATCTTTTTAAAAACTCCGGCCAAAGTGAAGATCTGCGTTTTCTCCGTTTTGGGTGTCTGCGTGTGGACGGACAAAACCGGAGTTTTAAGGTCTGCAACGTCACTTTCCGCGACAAAAAATGCTGACATCACGTGTGCGACCTGTGTTTACACTAGCCGGCATCATGGAAGCCCTCAGAGCTGCGCTCTGTCACTACCCGATCCATCAATTGTCCAAGCGCTTTCTGCTTGTTTGTTTTTGCAAGCGGAATTACTGCTCCTTGCGGAAGACCACAGACGAAGGACGAGGTTAAGAACGGGGAATGTACTGCCACCTACAGGTCTGGCATGTCCTTAACAACGTATTTATCCGGGTACGTGTGGACAGAGTTTGTTTTTAAAACGCGGTGGTGTGGATGCAAGTTTTTGGAGGGGCGGATATTTGTTTTTAAAAAACCCCGGCTACGTGTGGACTAGGCCTGAGTTGAATGTGTCATCAAGCTGCTTTATTTATCTTAGTATCCTTAAAACCATGCGGGCTGTAAGGAAACTTGTTTTTCTTTTAGAAACATTGATGTAAGTGATTTCTTCTCCTCAGACATGAGAAATCTGGCTCTTTCAGTCGCACACAAGACAAGAAGCATTAATCACAGTGCAGCTACTATCCTGTGGACATAATCTGTGCACTTGTGCTGAACTCAATTGTTAATAATCAATCTTGAAGACGGGGTAGCGTGCAACAGCTCTGCTTCAGTGGGAGTCAAAGGGAAAGGGTTTCAACGGATTGTTCTGATAAATCAATCAAAGGACACTAAAGCTGGTTTGATTTTGATTTTAATACATTTCTATCATCACTTACACAATTACTCACCCTGGACCATTTCAAGCTCCCGTGGCACAATCCAAGAGGCTCTCAAGCATGTTAGCGCGAATAAAGCCTTTTAAATCGCTGAATGAGCCGTTACGCTGCAGAGAAGATCTAACGGGCAAATAGATGAGCACATTCTAATCACATACATCTATGATGACAAAAAAAATGTCTAACAGGGAATTCTATAGATGTTACAGCAAGTGAAGGGAAAATATACCAAGGCAATACGGTAACATGGTGAAGAGCACGTATACAGGTGATGTAAACAAATCAAAAGCTTTGGTCAATAAAATAATACAAGAAGAAAACAAAATCACAACAGAAACCTTTATCAGAGAACAGCACAATAATGGATTTAGATGGTTGTATTCCAGCTTAGCTGGTCAGATCCCAGGATGATTTGTGTTTGCTTTACTAGAAGATTTCTGGGCTACAACAAAACACGGCTAGCATTAGCCTTCACAGTCACAGTCTTCCTGTAAACAAAGCAAAAACGGCTACGAATAAAAAGGTGTAATACCAAATAAATGTGAGTCGTAGAAATGAACAAAGATTAGATAAAAACAGAAAAATGACAAAGGCAGGTTTAATCAAGCCTGAATACTGACTCTGGCACAAATCTGTCACATCACAAACTGTTTTCCAACGACTTCCTGTTCTTGTGTCAGAAAGACCGTGCACTATCGGGTTTCTTTGATCTGGCCTTCTGGGAGTCAACATCCCTGTGATATTTCATGAGTTTAAACTGAACTATGTGCAGCATGTGGTTATAAACAAAGCTTTTATTGTAGTTTAGCATGTGATGTTTAGGCCTATAGAGTGTAATCGCCAAAATAAAAGACTGTGCATATTTCTAAAACTGTTTTCTTTAACTGTGCTGCGCACCAGACAAGCCCTCATCAGAATTATCCCATGCATTAAAATATTAAGTGACAGCAAAATAAAATTATAAGTGTTACAAAAAAGAACGTTTGGAGGAAATTAGCCAGAATATTCAAGAAGGACCTCGTCTCTCACTAAAGCACAACACGTTTCTTTTTAAAAAAATTTTTTTTTACTATCGTAAACACAAAATATGTCGTGGTCCTGTTATGAGCAACAGTGGTCACCAACCCGGGTCATTGAGAAGACTTGCATAATTCAAGTGCTGCCCTCAGCACCTAAAAACTACTCATGTGATAATGCGAAGTCTTAAAAGCCTTAAAGCAATGATCTCTGGCAGCAGGGACGAGGACCACGGCTGTAGTGTGAATCCTTAACCTGGCTCTTTAGTTCTCAGCAGGTTTGTCTAACAGAGATTTAATAAAAGCATGCAGGGGTTCGCACACGGCCTGGTAGCCGTGCGCGGTCAGGTGAAGGTAGTCGTACATGTCCTGGTAGGAGATGCTACCATCAGAGGAGACAAAACCAGGGTCCACGTTGAGGAAGTGGGCGTAGGGAAGAGATGACAGGGCGTCCTCGACGAGCTTGTTCACGTTGGCGTTTCGTTCTCGAAGGGGGTTCGGCATTTTACCCCTGGGCAGTAAACCCTGGAAAACAGATGATCCAGCTCAAAAAAAGAAAAGTGTTCATAAAACTGAATGCCTAATATCTTCTCAAGCATGCATCAGTTACATAGCCTGGATGGCCTTCCTGCTATGTAAATATATAGTCTAGCCATTGAAAGAACCCAGTCTTTGCTTGGCTATCGGTTGGACAGCGCTGCGACCAACGAACAACGTGACGAATTAATCACTACAGAAATCAGTCAACTGGGCAGTCCACCATACACCGTTGAAGAAGAAGAAGCAAATACATCCTTTTTTCAAGATAAAGGACTTAAAAGTGTGGGACAATTGTTTAATCCCTTGCAGTGGTCTTTATTAGGAAGGAATGCCCTGCAAGTCTTACCCCGGCTTTCCACCGGAGCCGTCAGCACCACGTTACTGTAGCAGCACGTCATAGCTGCTGATAGGAACCGCTGTGGTCAACAGAACCTTTTCCACCGGAGCCGTCAGCAGCGCGAGTCGGCCTCGTCTCAGGAGCGGCATGTCGCGGCCTTTACGCGCCGGTTCTATTTTCTATGCGCGACGCCTCTGAAGCGGGTCAAGTTCGACATTTTTGGGGAAGGAAAGACAGGAAATCGGACGCGGAAATGGAGTGAAGCTCCCGAGATTTTCAGAATAAAGAACGTACTGCCTTCCGGTTGCTTTATCTTTAAAAAAGGTTACTAACTGTGCGGCCCCGTGAGAAGTTATCACCTAGCTAGCGGTCTCCTTTGTTTTTCAGGTCCGTATTGGCGATTATAAAACGGACAGAACATAAAACACAAACCATGTTGTAATTTTCTCCTGCTTGTTGTTGTGTTTACTGACGAAGTCACTCGTGTGACTTCGTGCTCGGTCGGTGACAGCTGCTCCCCTGCTGCTTCGCGTCTCGTGGGAAGGGCCAAGCAGCAGCTTACGCGAGCAAGACGTGCTGCTGCAGTAACGTGCTGCTGACGGCTCCCGTGGAAACCCGGGGTTACTTGAGAGAGAGGGACCCAGAAACGCCTCCTGGATCAGCACGGAGAAGTCTGCTGGAGCAGAGAGTAGCAGAACACGGCAGTATTTGGAGTCTTATTTCCTGATATGTGGACATCTCTCCTCTGATTGGCTAACAGCAACATGACTCCAACACTGACTGTTTGCTCTGCAATGTTGATGTTTTATCTCCACTAATAACAAGCCTGGAGGAGTTCTGCCATGTGGTAGAGTTGCTAATGCTAACGGTTAGCTAGCTGAGATGTTCTCTGCTGTTTCTTGGACGCTAAACCAACAACAGCCTTCCCCGTCATGAGTCCAGATGGGTGAGTTAGGAGACAGTGTGACGTAGATCTGTCAGGCTCTTCTAATCCTAGAGTTTCACCGTCTATTTTCTATCAGCAGCGAATGCAGGAGATAGGTGTAGGAGACTATTTTCATGTTCAGCCTGCATGTAAAACTCAAGAGCGGCTGATTAAACTCAGAAACAATCATTAGAAAAATTGTTTTTCAGTGAACCGCACCTTTAAGTACCTCTATCTGCTCATGTCCCAAGTCTAAATCGTCCAAAGTTGATGCCAAAGTCATTTCAAACGAGCGCCGATCCTGAGCTAACACCATCTTTGAAGTTTTTTTCTCCATCACAGCTCTGGTGATAAGCCCAACCAACAAATGTAGAGCGCTCTGATTGGCTAGACATAAAACTGCTAAGGCTCATTGTAGGGCTGGGCGATATGGCCTCAAATCTATATTGAGATATAATCTGAAGCATGTGCGGTAACGATATATATTGCGATATATTTTTTCCTCTGTTTATATATGTCAAAATGACATGCTTTTAAATATCCTCATGTGGCAAATATATGCCACTTGAGGCATATAGGCCCTCCTCCACCCACACCATGCTTGCAGTCACCGCCATTCTGTTGTCCCAATGTCAGCAGGGTGCACATCTTAGGGACGTCATGTGTTATCGCGATATTGCGGTATCAAATCAAATCAAATCACTTTTATTGTCACGTCACATGTGCAAGTACACTGGTACAGTACATGCGAGTGAAATTCTTGTGTGCAAGCTTCACAGCAACAGAGCTGTGAAAAATACAGTAACGTAAAAACAAGCAAAATATAAAATAAAAAAATGGCTAATCTAAGTAATAATATGTATGTATGTACCTTGTTTTCTACGTGTGTGCGTGTGAGTGTGTATATTCATGTTTTACAAACGAATAAAGTAAACAATAAGATAAGAGATGTAAAATACACAGAGGCTGGTATGTGCAAAACTGTGGCATTAATGTACAGTATGGAGTGTGTAATGTTGGAGTTTCAGTAGTGAGGGTGAGGTGTCTGTGAAGTGTTCAGCAGTCTGATGGCCTGATGGAAAAAGCTGTCTCTCAGTCTGCTGGTTCTGGACCGGATGCTGCAGAACCTCCTTCCTGATGGAAGTAGTCTGTAGTCTGAACAGTTTATGGCTGGGGTGACTGTATTGCGATATAGCCAAAAACTCTACCATTACCCACTTTTATATCGTTTCTACCTTATATCGTTTATATTGCCCACCCCTAGCTCATTGTAGACCTGCTGAGGCTACAGTGGAGCGTGGCTAGACCAACCTGCTACTACTACGGTTAGTCTAGATTTCTAGGTTCAGTTGCACATATTTCAACTCGTTTCTTTCCAAAAGTTTTCCACTTTTTTCAAAAACACGTTGGCAAATCCTTAAAAAGCACAAAACTGCAGAGATTCGTCCAGCAATCCGTCTTCTTCCAAAAAGATAAGATGCAGCTAAAGAGGCATATCACTTGGCTTTATTAACGTCATTTATTATCATTATATATTTATTAATATATTATTAATTTTCACCCACCATGCAGGGCAGCTTTGTTGCAATAACCAAACACAAAAAAAAACAACTTACAAGCACGAGTGTTTGAGCATGAGGGAGCTTGTTGTGAATGACTTGGACGATAGCCATGATGCCACCGCAGATCTGTTCAGCTGTGTGACCGTGATTGTTCGTGCCAACCCACAGCACTACGACCTGCAGCAACAGAAAGAGACAGGAAACAAAACCCGAGATGGCCTGGCGTCAGTGTACCTGAAACTTAGATTTTAGCTTTAAGGTGAACAGAATGAGTCCTTTTGTGTGCACAAACAAGCGTGCTCATGTTCTGGAAATATTGCCGATTGACTCTATTTTTTTACCTTTGGGCTGATGTTATCCAGTTCACCGTTGCTCAGTCTCCACAGCACGTGTTGTGTTGCATCCCCGCCCACCCCAAAGTTAAGGCAATGGAGAGGAGAGAACAGCTGCCTCCATATCTGCAGGTAAAACAAGGAGCACAAATTCACACATAAAATCTGAACATCCAAATCAGACATTAAGGTCCATTTACAGCTAAATAATAATCCTACTGGATATTTCAGTATTTTCATAAAACATATGAAAGGAGCTACTTGAACAAATCTATCGAAATTTAGAAAACATTTTTAAATACAGCCTTTTCTTTAACCTTTTCTGAGAGCTATGTGTAGATAGGAAATAAAAACATTTCATTTTTTATTAGTAATGAAGGTTTAAGAACAAAGATAGCATGAAGTCTGGAACCAACATTGTGGTGTTTTCACCGGCCGTGTGCGTGTCTGTTTGTTGCTTTTTCTATCTTTAGTTTGTCTTCAGTAACAGAAGAGGAGCTATGTCTGGTAGAGGTCAGGTGACTGGTTCAGCCACTGTGGAAAATAGCACGTCTGCATAAAACATTTCTCTTCCTTTGCTTTAATCACAACTCATCTGCCCTCTGATGTTTTATCATTTGACTTTATTGACATTTTTTGAATAAAGAGACTTATTTCTCTACTTAACTTTATCAAATCAATAAATATTTGTGATCCTGTGCTGCAGGAAGGACATTAATGCTCCTGAGCTTACTTGCAATTTTTAAAAATGTTCTCACAAGGTGTTTAGGCCAGTCCTAATGGCCTTTTGTTTTGCTTTTCGACAAGAAAACATGACCCTATTTACTTGCATAAACAGCTTAGATGTCTAACAGGATGTCAGTCCCTAAAAATAAAGTATTATTTCTATTTAAACATAAATAGCTTTAAATTGATGCTGAACACTACTTTAGCCTACAGTATGCATTAGCCCATGTTAAAAATGTGTGCAAATAACAAAATAAAAAATATATAATTATATATATATGTGTGTGTGTGTGTGTGTGTGTGTGTGTGTGTGTGTGTGTGTGTGTGTGTGTGTGTGTGTGTGTGTGTAGTATTTTACCCCAAACTGATGCATGAGCTGAACAAGAGAGTCCCCCACAAACAGAACATCAGGTTCTTTGTCCTTGCTGTATGATACAAAGCCATTGTGCTACAAGGAGATAAAAAGATACAAAAATGATCAGATTAGACCACAAACAACTGTTTTACACGCAAACATTTCAAATAAAAGCATGGTTTCTTAATAGTAATAAGGTAGTGAAGTGTGAAATCAGAACACATTAATTACTCTCATTTCCTAAATATTAGGTTCCTGTTTCATCGTGAAAAATCAAAGCGTACAGCCAACAGAAAACCCACTACCCAAGGCTGGGGCATTGTGAAGCCCTGAGAACATGTAACACAACACTCGGGATGGGTTTAATTTCACATACCAGAGACATCCATCGTCCATCTCCCTGGGTGTCTTCACAGGGAGTGGGTGTGGCGGCTGGATTTGAGCTTTCTGCACTCATTGTTTAGCTTTTCCGAGTCTTAGAAAGCGTTCGCCTACACCCTTTTCTTTAAAGGAATATAATAATTCTTGTCGGACAAAAATAAACCAATCCAATTACTCCACTGCCTAACGCCCTAGCTGTTAGCAAGACCTGGGGGGTTGACAGAGTTAGCCACACAAGCTAGCCTGTTTGGTGGTACAGAGAATATATGCAGCTTAGACGATAAAAGGCCAGGCACACAATAGTTTAAAAGGCATGTATGTGGGAAAATAATGAAGCAAAAGCTTTAAAATGTTGCTACAAAAAGATATTTAAATATATAAAGCCTCTCATTGGATCAAAACACCCGTTTTCCACCATTCCGTTGCAGGAAGTTGATTTTTACAGTAAGCGACTGAACCATTTCTCTAAATGTACCACGATAAAAACATTTTCGCAACTATTTTAATATCAATTAATAAAACTGCTTCTTTTTGTTCCAATAATAATTTCATACATAACTGTTTAATTGTATACAAAACAAACGCTTAATACACTATATTAAATATGAAGAAATAGACTATGCTTCCCCCGGTCTGTCTAAGAATGGTTTAGCCCTGCTCCTACCGTTCAGGAGAGTCAACACGGCGCTACAGAACGCAGCTGCAGTTTGTTGTCTAGCAACGATCTCACCTGCGACGAAATCATCCATCACTGAGATTCATTTACCGTAAGCGTCTTGAAATGTCCAATTTTTTATTTATGTGTAAAGTGTGTCACGATTTACATGTGCAATAACTTAGTTTAAATACATCGGTACATACAGTCATAACCTAGAACACAACGTGTGCAAGGTTGCTGCTTACACCTGATTAACGTTACCTGGATGCTAAACAGCTAGCTAAGTGAGATAATGTAAAGTGTGACATTTCTGTCACCGCAAGGGGGCGCACGTGTGCCGTGTCATTCCTATTAGTGACATGAAAAGTCACTGGATATTACTCAGTTCTAAAAGTGTGTTGGGGAGCTCCCTACTTTATTAGGGTTCCAAGCCCAAAGGGCAGGGAACCCTATTGTTTTTCTACGGATTTTTCATTATTATTTATTATTTATTATTTATTATTATTTATTATTCTTCTCCGCTAAAACTATATGGGCGCAAGAGCCTGAAATTGCCAGGGAAAATCTGACATGGCAGTCTGATAGAAAATCCTGACCGCTACTCAGATTCGAAAATTTGGACCCCGTGTCACCTAGGTGGCGCTATAGCGGACGTCAACACGTTTCAGCTACTAGCTCCCAAACCGCAGGTCCTACAGTCAAAAACTTTATATGTACATGATCCTTGGATGATTCTCCATCTTTTTTGTATTGGCCACGCCCATTTCCGCCTAACTAGATTTTTTGCTAGATCGCAAAAAACGCAAAACTTACTTTTAATCACCTATTCGTCATTTTTCGTCGAATCAACTTCAAACTTCGTACATGTGATCTATGGACTAAGGTAAGTTGTTGTGATGAAGAAAAATGCAGAAATATTGAAAATTGGGCTAATGACACCATGTCAAAATCAGTGTGCTAGCTAGCACATGTGGTAATTGATGATTTCTTCACCATTTCTCAACATAAATTGATGAGACTCTAGACCCTTATGAAGTGTGAGCGGTAAGCCCTATCTACCCCATTTTGTGTGGATTCACCAATAGGGGGCGCTAAAGAGTCAAAAAGTTTGTTTCAGCTAAACGGCTTGATGGATTTCCACAGAACTTGGCACATATGTTAATCATCGGACCCTTAAGCTATATTTTGAAAATGATTAAAAAGTGGGCGTGGCTTATAGGCTATAAATAGGCTTTAAAAGCTTTCGCCCATTTACTCATGAAAAATACATAATCTATACAGAAAATTACAATTCATATCAGTCATAGTGACATCTACAATCATAGAAATTTTTTTGAATTTTGTCCAATAGGTGGCGCTGTGGTACCCCAAAAATATTTTTGGCATGTTTCTCCCCATTTCTTTCGTAAAAAAACAAATGATCTCATCCAGTATGTTCATTGAGTCAGTCAAATTTAGATGAGTATTTTAAAAAATGTTTTAAACTTTTGCAAATTAGTAGAAATTTGCATAGTATGTCCAACGTACTTTCGTTAACTCCTCCCGGCCGTCAAACTCAATCACATCACAACTTTCCCTGACAAGAGAGGAGGAGCGGCTGACCAAAAGATGTGAAGGGATTTTGGATAATTTGCTTATTTTTTTTAATATGATTTTTTAAAATAATTTTTTGGGAATGAAAAAGTTTTTTTAGGGTAACTTCAAAAGATTTTGACATTTTTCAAAGCTGTTCATAACAGTCATAGCTAAGGTCAATACAAGTGGATGTCCTGGTTTTCATCTTGATTAAACAATAGGGGGCGCTATAACTGGGAAGAAATTATACTGCTGAACCGGCTAAATGGATCTGCACGAAACTTAGTGGTTGTCATCACTATAGAGTCTTAAGACTACAATATCAATATGGTAATGATTGATCAAAGTGGGCGTGGTTTATGATCATTTAAAATTTCTAATTTGAAAAATTTCCTAAAAATCATTATTTGCATTTAAGAGGCTAAGATTTCCAGATTGAGTTATCTGGATAGGCTAGATCTTATGTCACGAAACCCGCAGCTCCACGAAGAGGATTGCGCTTTATATTTATGAAAATACATTTTTAGGCTAGCAATTGTAGCGCAAATTCTGTTTTCACAATCTTCTTGTAATTTGGCACAAAGTTCACTCTTAGGTGGGTTATGAAATAAAAAAAATGTCGTCTTGATTTGAGCTCCCCCTTGTGTTTAATTATAGGACTAATTTTTGTCTACAGCCACTAATGCAAATATTATTTTATTGTAAGTACAGTTTTACATTTATGACCCCAACAAAAATATAAGAAGAATTCTCACATCACAGAGGCAACCTGGGAATATTTTGAGATTTCTGTACAAAAGCATAGATTTTTAATGAATTTTTAACTTTTTACCAGTTTTTCTGTATAGTTGGACAACAACGTAATTAATTTTTGTTAGAAAACTTTTTAGGTATACAGTAAATATAAGCCATTTACAACATTCCACACGTACCTATGGTGATCTGAGATTTTTCTCCTAATTATAGAAAGTAGCACTATTTTTTTATGAATATTTAAATTTTTGTTGTGACCTTTATAGTTATATTTCCTAATTTTTCTTCAAAAAAGCTTTGAGTCAACTGATTTAAAAACAACATCATATTATTCCGCATGTTAACACTGCCATGTGAGAATATTTTGGTAATTTTATGATGATTTATGTATTTTTCATGATTTTTTAAAACAATTGATCAGTAAGTCACAAAATGAAACTCATTGTTTTTGTTGAAAATCTATTAAATCTAAAGACATTATCAAGTCTTTATGTTATTTGTAATATTCTGTTGATGTATAGATGATTGTTTGATAATCTCACTCATTAAATCTTCACGTTCTTTAATAAGGAAACAGTGGAATTCCATTGTAATCACGATTGAGAAGTCAGCCATGCCTCTGAAAGATATGTGTATAGGCTTTGCAGGTTTAATGACGTATCCTGAGTGTTACTTTCATTGCGCCGGTTGAAGTGAGCTGACGGGACGCCGGCGGGAGAATGTGTTTTTGGGGCGGGACCGCGTGAGGACTGGCGAAGTTGAGGGCGGGGCGGGTGGGCGACTGGCGCTGGGGGCTTGGAACCCGTTGATAACTGCTTGCAGTTCTAGTTTAATTTTGGATCTTTAAATTTCCTCGTGTGCCATAAGTCATACTATGATTCATTTCAGTTGACGCCTTGCTTCTGGTTTTGTTAGGAACTTATTTGTCTGCCACAAATATTGACTATTTAAAGTAATTACTTTTTACAGTGACTGTAACATTCTGGACTTAGATTCAACCCATTTTGCATTCATACCTTTCTTCGTGACAGGTCCAACAAAGTGTTGAAAACATTCCTGAGATTTTCGGTCCATTTTAACATTGCATCATCACACAATTTCATCAAATGTGTTGGCTGCACATCCATAATTGGAATTTCTTGTTCCAGGTTGCACAGTGGTACAGTTGTTTGCACCATTGCCTTGCAGTAAGAAGGTCTGAATCCCAGCCTGGGCTTTTTCTGCATGGAGTTGGCATGTACTCCCTATGCATGCTTGGGTTCTCTCCCAGTACTCTTATTAATGTCGATGGCGTGGACAAGCGGGTTCAGGAAATGGATGGATGGACGGTATTGGTCCGATAAATAAAATCGGGCCGATATTAACAACCGATATTTTTTCCATCTTGTCTCCATTTGTTTCAGAGGGTGAGGGGGGTGATGTGTAATTGTTTAGTCATGTGATTGTGATTGTAATCATCTCAGAAGTGTAAATGTGTGTGTTGTGTGTACATAATAACGTCAATTCAGCTTTAATAATTTTCATTCTATACAAAATCTGCTGATGTTAGAAGCATTAATGTCAGTATATCGGTTATCGGCCATAACAGTGATCTTAATATCAGATATCGGTATCGGCCCAAAGATGTCATATCGGTGCATCACTACCCTTCACTATTCTTTAGTTAGAGAAAATTTGATCACTTGCATTTAGAGTCCAGCTGACCAGATCCGTGGTTGAAAAACAAGAAAAATCCAGTGAGAAAATCAGAGATGCTCCAGGTAGACTGACAGGACCCAGAGCAGGCAAAGACGGGGTAAGGAGGAGGGACAGAACAAGCGACCGTCCTAACAGCCTGGCCTCGGTCAGTATGCCCAGGACACATCACCAGCGTATGAATGAGTGAACGACTTTGTCAGCTGTAAAGTGCCTTGAGGGATTTGCAGAACCCTTGAAGGCACTAAATAAAAACAGTCCCTTTACCATCCACAAAAACAGAGCGCTGTGATGAACTTGTTCAGTTCAATGGTCGACCTGCTGAGGCTACAATGGAGCGTGGCTTGACCGACCTGCAGAGCTAAATCTACTGCTATTGCTACAGTTTCTCTGATGCTTATGAAAACATTATTCTGTTTCTCACAGTATCTGTTTTTTTTATTTAATCTAGTTTTTTTTTATTTTTGCTCTTGTGAAGCACCTTGTGATTTTTATCTTGAGAGGCGCTGTATAAAATATTGTTTCTTCTTCTTCTAAAAACAATCAGATTTATCTTAAAATCTGTTAATTTAGTGTTCTATACTCTACCTGAAACGATATTTTTCTATAAACCTTTTGAAATGATTCTGTTGGGAAATCTGTTATAAAAACCGTCTAGAAACAGAAGGATTAGCACCACATCTGAGCCCTCTTCAGTCAACGCTACGTTTCCTGTGAAAACACCTCTGCATAAATGCACAGGGCTGTTATTCTGAATGTGTCGTCATGTGGTTTATGTGTTGGTATCTGAGTGTTTTGGTAGGTATTATGACAGCTTTAAAACAGAAGGTTTTGTGCATTTGCACAAAACTGCTGCCAACTTAAACGTCGCTTGTTTACCGAAACAATGTGCGGTAGAAAACTGTTAGTTGAGCGTCTTATTGCCTCTTCTTTATGATTTAATCATCTGAAGGTTTCCCTGGTTAAAGCAATGTCCTTTAGAGGTTATAAATAACTCCATATCTGTATTCACGGGTTTGCTGTTATCTTTCTACAGAACCCACGCCAGCATGAGCCATGTATGTGGCAAGGCCTCATCTGAGAAGACATTCTGTATTTTCAGCAAGCAGCCAAAACCCACCGATAAAAGGTGTTGCTCCGTGACCACACTGGTGGCGCCGGCTAAATATTTCAACCACTGTAAAAACGCCAATGAGCAGCTGAAAGTGAAACGTTTAAAGACTCGCAAGGAGCGGAGCCAGATGAGAGGCGACTGGAAAGAGACCTCAAGGACCAAATCTCATCATCACTGCCACTGCAAAAGCTGGAAAGAAAATGCATTTTTACAGAATTTCTGTCACAATGGAGTTCATCAGACTTCCAGGAGAAGTACAACAATTTCAAGTGTTGTTCCTGCTGCACAGGAGCCCAGTGTCATCACAGAGAGTCGCCTGACCGGGCCCCACCGCCTGTTCAACCACGAAGTGAAGTCCATTGATATTGAACGCTTACTAAGCGAGCGAAGCAAACATGAGAAAAAGGAAGAACAGGTGACAGAAGAGAGCAACAACTCCTCAGCTTCTCACATCCCAGTTCTGCTCTCCGGTGACGCCGTGGCAGCTCGCGAAAAAGCCGAATCTGAGGCAAATACTCGAGATAATCCCCAAGAAACAGAAGACAGAAACCCCCAGCAGTCAGACATCACCCCAGGACAAAGACTGCAGCAGCAAGCTGTTTCATCCGGAAGTTGTAAAAGCATCAGCTCGTCTAAACTCTGCCCTGCAAGTGCAGAAACAAAAACGAAGAGGAGAAAAACGTGTGTCAGTCCTCCGGCTGACGGAGAACACGTGAAGACATCAAACAATAGCGTAACTAGACGTGTGCTTTCTGATGTTGAGGAGCCTCGTGAGAAAAAGAGCCACCAGAATCAAGCAGATGGTCTCAAATCAAGCCCACCTCTCCCCTCCAGCTCGCCCACTTCTGGGAGTGCTGACACAAAGCCCAAAGAGCACGATCCTAAATATGTAGACAAGCTCGTCACTGCAGTGGCGGCACGTTTGTGTGGGTCTCTGTGTCTTTTTAGAGACGAGAGACACGATCTGTTGTCAAAAAGGAGGAGCGAGTTGCAGAAAGCCCTCCTGAGCCGGCATGGACCCAGGCTTCAGGCAAACCTCCTGGAGATTCAGAAATGTGATACCAATCCCTCACAGACTGCTTTGGACCCTGTGATGAAACAAGACGAACGTCTGCCTACAGGTAAATAAGATTTATTTTAGGTAATTGTTGTTTAAAGGATTGAATGTTTTATTTTTTAGGTATAGAAGTGTTTTCGTTTAGATTTTTACCACAGGATTGTCGGTGCCTGTCGTGGTGGCAACCCCCGAACCCGCTGGTGGACACCGGCGGTTAGGGATGCTGTCAAGCTGAAGAAAGAGTCCTATCAGGTCTTCTTGGCCTGTGGGACTCCAGAGGCAGCTGACGGGTACTGGCAGTCCAAGCGGAACGCGGCTCGGGTGGTCGCCGTGGCAAAAACCCGGGCGTGGGAGGAGTTTGGTGAGACCATGGAGCAAAACTTCTGTACGGCTTTGAGGAGATTCTGGTCCACCATCCGGCGCCTCATGGGGAGAAAGCAGTGCACTACCAACACTATCTATAGTGGGGACGGTGTGCTGCTGACCTCTACTCAGGACGTTGTAGATCGGTGGGCAGAATACTTTGAAGACCTCCTCAATCCCACCGACACGTCTTCCAGTGAGGAAGCAGAGTCTGGGGACTTTGGGTTGGCCTCTCAAATCTCTGGTGCTGAGGTCACTGAGGTGGTTAAAAAGCTCCTCTGTGGCAAGGCTCCGGGGGCGCCCGGAGTTCCTTAAGGATCTGGATGTTGTGGGGCTGTGTTGGCTGATGCGGCTCTGCAATATCGCGTGGACATCGGGGGCAGTCCCACTGGCCTGGCAGACCGGGGTGGTGGTCCCTTTATTTAAAAAGGGGGACCGCAGGGTGTGTTCCAACTACAGGGGGATCACACTCCTGAGCCTTCCTGGTAAGGTCTATTCAGGGTTTCTGGAGAGGAGGGTCCGTCGGATTGTTGAACCTCAGATTCAGGAGGAGCAATGTGGTTTTCATCCTGGCCGTGGAACACTGGACCATCTCTATACCCTTAGGGGGATCCTGGAGGGTGCGTGGGAATTTGCCCAACCAGTCTAGACATGTTTTGTGGATTTGGAGAAGGCGTTTGACCGCGTCCCTTGGGGGGCCCTGTGGGGGGTACTCGGGGAGTATGGGGTACCAGGCCCTCTGATACAGGCTGTCCCTGTATGACCGGTGTCAGAGCTTGGTCCGCATTTCTGGCAGTAAGTCGGGCTCGTTCCCAGTGAGAGTTGGACTCCGCCAAGGCTGCCCTTTGTCACCGATTCTGTTCATAACCTTTATGGACAGGATTTCTAGGCGCAGCCAAGGTGTGGAGGGCATCCGTTTTGGTGGCCTGAGGATCAGGTCTCTGCTTTTTGCAGATGAAGTGGTCCTGTTGGCTTCATCAGAACGTGATCTTCAGCTTTCGCTGGAGCGGTTTGCATCCGAGTGTGAAGCAGCTGGGATGAGAATCAGCTCCTCTAAATCTGAGACCATTGTCTTGATTCAGAAAAGGGTAGAATGCCTTCTCCGGGTCAGGGATGAGGTCCTGCTCCAAGTGGAGGAGTTTAAGTATCTCGGGGTCTTGTTCACGAGTGAGGGAAAACTGGAGAGTGAGATCGATAGGCGGATTGGTGCTGCATCTGCAGTGATGCAGGCGTTGTACCGGTCTGTTGTGGTGAAGAGAGAGCTGAGTCAGAAGGCGAAGCTCTCGATTTACCGGTCGATCTACGTTCCTACCCACACCTATGGTCCTGAGCTTTGGGTAGTGACCGAAAGAACAAGATCGCTGATACAAGCGGCCGAAATGAGTTTTCTCCTCAGAGTGGCTGGGCTTTCCCTTAGAGATAAGGTGAGAAGCTCAGTCATCCGGGAGGGTCTTGGAGTAGACCCGCTGCTCCTCCACATCGAGAGGAGCCACTTGAGGTGACTCAGGCATTTGGTCAGGATGCCTCCTGGACGCCTCCCTGGTGAGGTTTTCCGGGCACGTCCGACCGGGAGGAGGCCTAAAGGTAGACCCAGGACACTTTGGAGGGACTAGGGAACACCTTGGGATTCCCCCGGAGGAGCTGGCCCAAGTGGCCGGGGAGAGGGAAGTCTGGGCTTCTCGACTTGGGCTACTGCTCCCGCAACCCGACTCCGGATAAGTGGATGAAAATGGATGGATTTTACCACCAAAGTTGTGTAACAGAATCACAGAATATTTGTGAAATAAAACTTTGTGTGATATTTAACTCTTAAATATTCAGTCAGATACCTTTTAATGTGAATATTACACCATATTTGGCTGCTTGATTAGAATATTTGAAGAACAAGTTCACTGAGAAACCATTTTTCACTTCTATTTTCTGAAATATGATCTTTCATTCTGAGTTTCACATTCAGGTTAAACATGAAAATAGTATTCTAGCCCTATTTCCTGCATTAGCTGCGAGTAGAAAATAGGCAGAAAACCCCTCGAGTCAGAAAAAGCCACATAAATTTACGTCACAGTGGAAATTAGCATTCATGGACTCACAAATATTGGCTCACAACAGGGAAGGCGGTTGTTGATTTAGCGACCAGGAGAGAGCAGAGCACATCTGTGCTAGTAGAAGCTAACTATTAGCATTAGCAACTCCACCTAGGGCTGGGCGACATGGACCAAAACTCTCACACACACACACACACACACACACACACACACACACACAGTTGAGAGCTAGAGGTGTTTCAAATGTCCCACAGGCACTGTTTAATTATATATTTATAATTAATGTAAAGTTAATATAGAGGTGGCCCATATTGTATATTTCTTGTCCAGAGAAAAAACATCTATCATGTTAAGCTAAATGTATGATGATGTAATTGCATCTACTGAAGGTCACATGGGTCATGCACCGTGGAGTTATTAGTTATCAAGGCAAACATGGCTGGAATCTAACAGTATTGGCTCATATCAGCGATTATACTGTAATGACTCAGAGTCTCTGGTTGCCCTTTTATGAGGATTATTTTCGGGCTACTGTCGCCGTAACTCACGCCTTACAAACTTAACTTTTTCAACAGAATCGCTCTTAACGGATTATTTACTAGCATAGCAAACCACAGCGGGAAAAAAAAACGGAACAACATTTCTCACCCGTTGAGCTCTTCAAAATCAAACGTTAACCCTATAGTTTACTATTCAAATCCATACAATACGTTTGAGGTAATTTGGCCACTCCGGCTATCTGTAGATGTTTCCCGATTACACAGGGGAGGGAGGGGTTTGGCTCGTCTCTTCGGCTCCACACAGGCAGGATGGAAAAGTCCGTTGTCCCCAAATAATTAAAAACCAGGACAAATGCAAAGTTTAGAGCAGCACATTTACCCAGAGGCTCTCAGATTGAGCTAACTTGTGAGAATACATGTAATACGCTTAGAGACGGAGCAACATGTTGCTTGCATAGCGGCTAATTGCTAGCATTGCAGTTTGACCAGTTACATCTATATAAAGATAGAAAGTCATCTTGTATCTTGTTTAAAATTATACCGATATTTTACAAATATCTATATATCACCCAGCCCTAACTCCACCACACAGCAGAACTCCTTCAGGCTTTTGTTATTTGGGTACATAAAATATCAACGTTGCAAAGCAAACTGAGTCAGTGGTAGGGTCTGCCCCCTTCCTTCCAGCTAACTTCTACTTCCTGAAACAGGAGCGTCAGAGCCTTCTATTCCACAGATAAGGACTCGCAAGTCATTCATGTATACTAGAGACCACTGGAAATATATTAAAAAATGAGAGAACTGTGTCTTTAAAAGTATTAATTGGTGTTGGGAAGGAATATTCAGAGCAGTGATGCTTGGAAATAGAAGTATTTGACTAAAATAGCTCTGTGTGCCACAACCATCATACTTAAACATAAGGACTTTTGACTCTACCCTTGTGTTTTGCCATCATTCTGCCATCTTGTATTAACATTTTAAAGCACCATTGCATGTGACTTTAGGAAGTCCACATCATACAAAAACTTGACAAAAAGAGCACACTTGCAAGCAGAAATTTAACTAAATGGTGTTACTTGTTTTGTGCCGATTCCAGTGCTTTAGGGATTCAGAGCTAAAGTTTAAATTAAATCACATATTTGATTTATTGCACATCCCCACTATCTTGTGTTTCTTACGAAGCCATTATAGGCTAAACAAAGCCCAACTTTTAAAAACGTCCTAGCGTTAAGCAAAGAGAGAGACTTTTGTCTTTCCTGTTATCTGATTGGTCCAATTACAGCTGCAAATGCAAGGCCTTCGTTCTCTTGATCAGATCAAGTTTTATATGTTTTTCTGAATAAAAACAAAAAAAAACATTCTCAATGGAAAATAATTTATTATTGTGTTAAAATGTGCTAAAACATATTATTTATATTTTGGTAAAATATTTTTCATACTGGTTTCTAATGCAGTTATAAGCAGATATACAACTAAATGGTGTGTCTTTATGATATTTTATTTAACAAACATTTTCTTTCATTTCTGTTGACTTTTATCTTTTAGAGGAAAGAACAGGAAGTGGACCTTTTAGCTGGGACGCCAGTCCACAGCTACATATGCAGCAGGTACGTTAGTGCATGGCATTTTCTCATCTGGTTAAAAATATAAATACCGGTATATATTAGCCATTAGGACTATTTGAATTCCACTTTCCTTCAGTAATAAATATGCTGCCATGATTAAGGAGCCATGAAACTAATTATTACTCACCAGTTTTAAATAATAAAGGGCTAATTCAGCGTCTTCTTCCAGTTTCTTCCTCTTTTGGTGTCTCTTGTTTTCATGGATTTCCCATTTTTAGCCTTTTCCCTGAAATTAATTTAAACCTTAATCAAACATTTTATTTCTCTGACAGATAAATAATAATTCCCCTGTGTTAAAAATGTGGTTTCTTGTGTTAAAGACTGCCGAGGAGTCAAACCCAGAGGACACATCACTTAATTTCTTGGATAAAATCATCAGACCTTGCTCCTCTCATCCCTTCAACTTGAACTGTGAGCCATCTTGGACTACAGCAAATGACGTTTTTGTGAGTTCTTCCAACTTATTTCAAGAAGATAAATCCTTCTGGAAGTCCTGGGAAGAGTTCGGGCCTGAAGAAGAACAATCGGCTCCATTTGAATCATTTTCAAGCAGCTTTATGACCCAGGATGCTACAGACATAAGCTGCAGACAGCAGCAGCATCGTACCAACAATCAGCCATTTTTTCTTCAACAAGACAGACATCCTGAAGATCTCATACAATCCCCGCAGGAAGAAGACCCATTTGAGCCTCGCCAGTTCTCATTTCCTCACTCCTTCTCCAACCAAATTCAGCACCACCCTCAGCCGTTTGACCGACTTTCAACTCACCCAGCATCTTACATGATGCGTTACCCCCCATCCCACATGCTTGAGCTGAGTCCAGCACCTGCCCCCTCTGTTTTACCAAGCCCGGAGCACTGGTCCTTCCCTCCCATGCGGCTGTACTAACACGAGGCCTATGAACACCTTTTCTTTTCCTGATTTTGTCCTTCAAGACTTGATGTTCCTGTGCCAGGTCCTGTTTTGTTTTAGTAGGAACATCGGTGAAAAACAAAAGAAAGCCTTCACTTTGTTGTTTCATTTGAGATGAAGGAAAAAAACACCCAATTATGCGCTGTTTGCATCTTTAAAGGATGTTTATTCTGCAGAACTCCACATTAGACTCACATGTTAGAATTAAAACGGAATCTGTAAAGCAGGAGTTTTAGTTGAAGTGGTGCTAGTTAGAAAATGATTTCATTCTTATTCTGCATACTAAGTTTTTTTAAAAAGCACACTTATGAATTGTGTTAAAGTGTCTTAAAACATGTGATTAAAACTAAGGATTTCAAAATAAAAGTATCACAAAACAACAAACAGAAACCGTATTTTTTTAAGGTTACAAATAACAGTTTATTTCTAAATGTTCACGTTTTTGCTTACTGGAGCAAAGTCCTCACTTCTGTTGTCTTCCGTTTCCACTTTGCTCCCTGCTTTAATCGCCCTGCGTAGCTGATTCCAGAACAGCTCCTGGGCCTGCGGGGGACTCGTGCCGTCTGAGCCGGGCCACTGCAGGTACGTCTTTTTCAGCATCACCTTCCTCATGCGGTGATAGGACGACAGCTGCCTCTCAGAGACGGGCTCCAGAAACACGAGCAGAAGAACGTCTCTGTGCTCATCAAAGAGTCGGTAACTGGCGAGCTGAATTTCCAGAGAGCACCACTCACTCTGTAGGAAGCTCCGGCTCACCACACAGACGGTTTTGCGGCTGCTGTACACCGCCGCGACAATGTTGTCTACGATGTTGCGGCCCAACTCGAAGTCCCGGTGATGCAGGCAGAGTTTCAATCCGGAGCCATTTCCCTCCAGGTTGGGCAGCAACTGACGCATCACCCACTCTTCATCGGAAAAGTTGTAGGAGATAAACGCGTCGTATTTGCAGTTTTCCTCATTTTCTCTGAGCCTATTCCAGCGCTCTCCGAACCAGGATCGGAAGACGTAGTAGCTGTATTTGATTTTCCAGTAGAGTTTGACGTAAAATAAAGGAGTGACAGTAAACAGGAAGATGGCGGCAGCAGTGCTTAAGAACAAGTACTTTCCCAGATCGATATAACACACTTTGGTGTCAAAGTTGTAAAAATGGATCATTTTATTCTGTTGGCATTTCAGCGCGTAGAGATGAACAACCTGAACGTCCGGGTTGTTGACAGTGTAATCCTGCAGAAGGCTGTTCCTGCAGGTGCAGCTTAGAGGGATGTCCCGAATGTCCAGGTACTGGAGGCTAGGTAAACTCTCCAACGCATCAGTGGGAATGTTCTGCATCACATTATGATTGAGCTGAAGTACACGCAGCTGGGTGAGATTCCCAAACACCCCCTTGGAAATGTTCTGGATTCCCATATTTTCTAGAACTAATCTGGTCAAGTTTCTTAGATTTTTGAAGACTCCTGGTTGTAACTGGGTCACCCCGACGCAGCAGTTATCCAGGGTCATGAAGCGCAAGGCTGTCAGATCATCAAAGGCATCAGGAAAAAGATGAGAGATTTGGTTGTCGGTGAGATACAAAGACTCCAGCGAGCGGAGGCCTCGGAATAACGTGCGAGGTAAAATAGTGAGGCCATAATTCCTCTGCCCGGAAAGTTTCAGATCTCTGAGCCGGCTGAGATTCGCAAATGGTGAAATGGTTTCATCTTTTAAGAAGCGAATGTTGTTGGAGCTTAAATCCAGCACCGTGAGCGTATGTTTGAACACTTGGTGTGATAAGTCGATCTTTTTGAGGTTGTTTAGATCCAGGTAGAGGTTAGACAGGCGTGTGAGCCCGTCAAAGCCAGAGGGCTGAAAATAGCTGATCTTATTGCCCCCAAGGTCCAATGTAGTTAAGTTCCTGAGGTTAAAAAAAGTTCCATTAAATATAACAGAAATGCGATTGTTGCGCAGATTCAGGACTTGCAGGCTGACGTTATCTTCAAATGTCACATTAAATAGATCGGTCAGAAGGTTGTTGTCCAGTCGGAGGGTCTGAAGTTGTCTGAGACCTTTAAGAGCTTGTTGATGAAGGAAAGCTAAATTATTGATGTTGAGTTTCAGGCTTTTAAGATTTGGCATCTGTTGGAACGCACCGCGGTCGACTGAGAGGATGCGATTGTAACGATAGCTGAGCTCTTCCAAACTTTCGAATTGAACAGCGTCCTTCTTAGAGTCTGGAAGAGAGGACAGGTGGTTGTGCTCAGCAATGAACGTAGTAATGTGTGTTTGATTACCGAGAAAGCTCAGGTCTTTTATGGTTTTCAGGTCGTTGTGGGATAAATCCAGAACTCCGGTCATTTCAGGACAGTGGGACAGATTAAGATGTCTTACCGTCTTGATTCCGTTATAAGACAACAGAAATTTTTTGATCGTATTTAGTTTTCTTTGTAGCTTTTCGCACAGCTGCGTGATGCGACTGTTTTTGTTTAGACGAGTACCAGAAAAGTCAACGTGACCTGCATAGATGTTGCTTGCATTTAAAAACTCCACTATTTTGACGCGTGTTGAGTTCAAACGCAGACTATTTACGTGGCTCAAATTCAGTCCCTGAAAAGCTTCCGTAGGAAGCAAATTGTTGTTTGACAAATCAAGGACCTCGATAAACTTGAAAAAGGATGACTTGCACCCTAAAGTACGCAGATTATTGTTGCACAGATACAACACGTTGAGGGATCGGGGCAGAGACGCATTAGAGTGGCTGAGAGAAGTCAGCTGGTTGGAGCAAAGGTCCAGCGTCGTCAGATTCTTTAGATGAGCTACGGATTTCACAATGTCTGAGAAACCTTTCAGAGAGTTTTCCCTCAGATGTAAAGCGCTTAGATTGGGAACGCCGGAGAAAATACCGTCAGGGAACTCTTTTAGCTTGTTGTACGACAGGGAGAGGAAGGTCAGGTTATGTAGGTTCTCAAACACAAGAGGACTGAGCTTCGATAAGTTGTTACGGGACAAATTCAGAGACTTAAGCTGATGCAAATTCTGGAAAGCCAAAGGATCAATCCGTGACAGTTTATTTTCATCTAATCTGAGGTTTTGCAGGTTTGGTAGATGAGCCAAGCTGTTGTTTAACATCCATGACATGTTTCTGAAATTGACTAGGAGGCTGATGGCAGATTTCGGCAGGTCACTTGTCAGTGTCACAGACAAGTTTTTGACTATTCGGTTCTCGCAGCATCTGAAACCTGTCCAGTTCGAGGAGGGATCTGCAACACAGTACTGAAAGCTGTATCCGCTGATGAGGTTAACCCCAGCCAGAACAAACGTCAGCAGCCACATCTGACGGGTTGCAAACTCCATTTTGTTGTTGAAGTCCGGGAAAACAGACTTTAGTCACCTTTCATCAGTTTGGTTGTGGATGTTCAGTATGGAGGTTCAGTTTAGCCTCTGATAACGCCTCAGGTTGTAGATCAGATGAACTTGGTGCAAATATCTGAGGATAGAACAGTTTTCTAATCAAATTGAAGGAAATGTCTCACACTTCCTCTTAAAAAAGCCTGTTTATCTCAGCCGAACGGTTACATCTCAAATATGTTAATATTTAAATACTTACCTTCAGGAGAATGTTTCAACTCGGACTCATTCAGACTGAGAAGACTCAGTTGGGTCGACACCTGCAGTAACTGGAAAACTTAGCAAAGAATTTAAAAAGATGTCGGTTTGTCAGACTTTAGCAACAGCGTTAGTCCTGAGGGGAACTATAGATGATCGTGTATTTATATTTTACAGACACTAGTTTTCTTTGTCACATGTCCACTTTCCTCTTTTTTTTTTTGCTGAAAATGCACAACATGCTGCCATGATTAGATACAAGCAACTGAACAGAAGACAATGTAAGAAAAGCAGATAAAATCTGAAGAAAAACTATGAAAGACATCCAGAAAGACTTGAAAATCTTTCGACGGAGACCTCTTTACTAGATTACTATAAAATCTGCCTCCTTGGAGAAGTGAGCAAAGTTTTAAAACTGTTGAAAATGCTGTCAATTTAAAAAAATAAAAATAAAAGACGAGAGTCTAAACCAAACAGGATAAACCTTATGGGATCTCCACACATGAGTTGGCATTTAATTGAGAAACTGGAACATTGTTAAAAAAAACATGTCTCCTCTTTTGTAATTTTTTTGTATCCGCATATATGCGTGGATGCCCCATTGGCAGAGTGTAACAGCATTGCCACCATATTGGATGGGTCTCCTCACTCTCCAAACCCAACTGGAGTCAACGCAGGGTGAGCAGCTGCCCGTTTTTTTGTGCAGCCTATGGCTGAAAACAGGTCTGTTAGCTTGGCCGACCAGTCCTTGGAAGCAATCCGTTTAGCAGAGTAACATCACAAACCAGAGGACAGGAAAATGGTGTTCTTTTCTTATTTTTGCTGCACAGATTTCTACATCCCACACACCTCTCTTTTTCACAGTGAAAACAGCTTTTATTCATCTCCCTAATTGGATTAAACCATCACCTAAAACCTCAACACTAAATAAAAAAAGCTAATAAATATATACATTCATGGTTACTTTAAAATATTTCAATCAAATCAAAGATACTTTATTAATCCCAGAGGGAAATTAGAGTTTCAGTACACACAATTAAGAGATCAGACATACATGGGCAAGACATATGACAAGAATTGGTGACTGTGGTCATTCGCAACCCTGAGTCGTGCTACCTTAATAGAGATAAAAGGGGTTACATGAGGATTGGTTCAGGTGGAGGGAAAAAAGGCACTTTAAAGTTACCCTCCCACCAGGAGGGCAGCTTTGCTCTGCACAAAAACACCTCAGACAGAGATATGCTACAGACTTCAGACAACACAACATAAGTGTCCACTAGGTGGGGTGGTGGGTTGGGACTATCCCAACTTCAGTTCCTGCAGCCACGATGAAACAGTGCATGTCACCTCAGTGTGGATAGGGGGGGGGGGGGGGGGGGCATTGAGGGTTGGAGGGTTGCAGTGACCCTGGACGCTTCAGCGGCCTTCCCGCAGTCCCGCCCAGGCTGGGAAAGGACACAGAGTTGAGTTGCCTTAGCGACGGCACATTCCACATATCTTCTGAGGGGGGAGTTTTCGTTAAAGCCTTACAGGCTCAAGGACGCCAGATTCTGATTACACTCCACATTCATCTCTATAAATAAGCAGTGCTTAACATACATCAATACTTCCCACCATATTAAAATAAACCAATCAATCTTCCAATCCTCCTCTTGGTATATCCCACTGGAACCTATGAAAGATCCACATGCCAGATCCACAGGAAAGGTAAGTACACGCCCACAATACAAATACAAATGTTTGTTCCACAGCCAATTCCTTGTTCAGTTCTTCAGATCAATAAATACCTTACTTTCCACTTAACAGGGCCATCTGCTAATCAATATACAAATAAATTCACTTCAATACCTCATGAATGTGTCTCATTCCAATTATAAGTACAAGATCAGCAGATCTGTCAAGTATTTAGGTGTGGCAGTGATCCACAGTCACAAGGTCAGGTGACGTTGCAGTTGACTTTTATAGCCTAACTGTTGGGATTTCATATTTAAATGCATTTTATGATATTATAGTTTAGCTATACCATATGTCTGACAATAGAATGTGTTTTTAGTTGAGTTAGCACATTCCTTTGTAGAAATAAATGTACTGGGGGCGAATGGAGACCCATCCAAGATGGTGGCCCGCTGCTACATCAGCTCTGGTAGACAACGCCAGTCCGTGGGGCATCTATGTGATGTCTGTGCAGCCACCTCATGCCCCGCCCTTTTATTTGAACAATTTTGTCATGTGACTCACAAACGAGATGAACAATAACAGCAGCTTTAAGCAATCCTTTTCTCCTTTTGTAAACTTAAACCAACTCTAACATTATTCTCTTGACCTGCTCAAAAGGGCAGCCCTTGGCTCTTCGTGTCTTCTCGTGTCTAACCTTTGTGGTTGTGATTGATAGAGGAAGATGGGTCCAACCCACTGTTTTCATTCTTGGGTGAGTTGCAGTAAGTGGCTTTAAAAAAATAACCCAACAATATTCCACATCTTTTGTTTTATTTAAAACTGTTTTTAAAGGAAAAGTACAAATACAGTATTGGACACATATAGAATAGAAAATGTGCTTTATGCACGTTTAAACATTGTTCATTTGTTCTGCATATACTTGGCAGTTTTCCTTATATTTTTCCAACATCGCTAAATAAAGATTTAAATTTTCGTTCTGTCAAAAAAAAGAACATTTATTTTGGGAATTATTTTCAGTATTGTACAAATCAGTTCCTCCTAATTTATTTTAACACTTTATTTGATGTGGATATTTGTCAAAGTTGAGGAAAGTTAAATTAACAATAAAAACAATAAAACCTCATTGGTCAGGTTAGTTTGTTTAGATTTCACAAAGACAAGTAAGTTCAGTTCCGCCCAGGTAATAACCAAATGTCCCCACAGCTTTGTTTGCCTAAACAAAGTCATTCCAGTAAATGTCAAACTCAGACCACAGAACATGAATGTTTTATTTATTTTTTGTTAAAGAGCAAGTCATCCCCAAATCCACTTTTTTCTGCTAATAAACTAAAGTGTCTAATCGTGTTGAACTCATGTGTACACAATAATTTGGCACTTTAATGCATCTTAGTTAATATTTAAATATTCTGCCTAAAACTGTCAGTGTTCAGGTAAAAACTCTGCACTACATTTGAAATTTAAATCTGCCATCGCTATTGGCTATAAGGTACACTGTGATGTTAGCTGGTACATTATGACGTCACAGTGTCATTGTGAGCCTGTGTTTGTGTGTATTTGTTAGCAGCTCAACATCATTTGTTGCATTTTTCAAACAGGAAGTGGTAGTGGAGTAAGACTCGGGTAGGGGGGTGACTTGCTGTTTAACTATTTTCTCATCTTTTGCTCTCGAGCCAACTGACACAGTCCACATAAAGGCAGGCAGGCCATGATAACCCAGTCGTCACACACTGATCCCTGCAAGAAAACAGAAAAACACACTAAACCATCTTCAACACAAGATAGAACATATCTTTACTTATTAGTTTCAGTAATAAACAGTGGAGCCCCCAAGGGGTGGCCACGGGGTGCCATGACCACCCCTGGAAAATTGCTGACCATCCCTCTATCCATACCCAGGGAAGACCAGTGTTTTTCAAGAAGTCATATTAACTCATTCGCTGCCAGCCGTTTCCTGATGGGTAAAGCCCTTCGCTGCCAGCGTTTCTAACCGTTTTTTTAAGAGTCACAGAACGTTGCACGCTAGGATGATGTCAACGCCAAAACAACCAAACAAAGAGGAGCCTCACCTCTTACATCAGGAAGAATTTGGCGTTTCGAGCGTTATCCGTTCTTTCATAATCCGTTGTTGAATTGTGATCGGCAGACACTTTTCCGGTTCGCGCCGCACTTTTTTTACAGCAGCGGCCCAAAACGATCTCCTAACACATAGATGTTCTGCTTCCTGATCACGTGACGTGTGACGCAGGCGGATGAAGATCGGCTTTCGAGCTGAGATGTTTGTTCTCACGGTGCGGGGGCTCATTCCAATGCCCACACAGTAAAAATATGCAAATGACAACTTTAGTCGTCATTGGCAGTGAATGAATTAATGTTGGGTTTTTTTTTATAAAAATGAATAAAGGAGCATTTATTGCATCACTACAGGCTAAACTTTCCCAGATTTACCACGAGAATCAATTTGGTGTGCCACCCCAAAGTTTTATCTAGCCCCATTGCCACCCCTATGACTTTTCTGGGGCACCCCTGGTAATAAAATTACATCACATTTAGAGATAGTTTGTTTTGGTTCAAAAAAGATTTTAGCTCACTTACTTCAATATTGTATTTGCCTCGAATGCTTGTCCTCAAAGCGATCATGGCGCCTGGGAGGAAAGGTATACAGCAGCTGTCTCCGTTGTCTTGAGCCACCTTACAGCCCAGGATACAAGGAATAAATGTTGCACAAAGACCTGTAGGAGTGAGATGTTTGGGTTAAACAAAATCCCTTTTGTTGTCGGTTAAAACGAAATAAAACACGTACAAATGCCACAGTCGTCGCAGCAGTCGCATACGTTTGTGCTCCAGTCCGACAGTCCGGGGGACACGCTGAACTGTGTTACGGTGACGGGCTGCGAACTGACCACGTTTGAATGGAACTCCATGGCTGCAAACAGAAGTTAGCTTTTTCTTTCTGTTTAACACTAAACTCCATCTGGAATGAATGCCTCATTAGAGTTTGTGCACATCATTAAAACAAAAAAAAAATACTTTATTCAGCGAGAGGGCACCAGCATGACAAAAGAAAAAAGTAAATACGTGGTTTACCTTCTGGTGATGCTGGGGATGATCCTGGTCTAACTCAGTTCTGAAGGAAAAAGGCATACCCACAGCTCTTATACCTAGGGTGACTACATCAAGAGGCCAAAGCCCAGTTTTCATAGTAACCTATTTGACCCTTGAGCCAAGTGCAAACATCACGTAAAGAAAATGTATTTAGTTTTGGGGCGTATTGCGCCTGTCGAGAGGATGCACCTAGCACAAGACGGTCTTTATCAGCAGTGAGTAACTTCAGAACAAAGCAGGACTATAGTGCATATTTATATTTTAGCCACTTTGCTAAGGAGTGCTGTGTGTACACACCCAGGTGGGTGCGTTAAAAAGAAGCGTGATAAAAATGAGCCGATGCTCAATCACTGACGCGTAAAAAGGGTTTTGCAACAATCCATCTCTTTACATGAGGGCGTGAATATTGTATTATATTATGCAGGCAGAACTTAAAGTCCCTGAAAAGACATGGGTATATATGGGATATATATATATATATATATATATATATATATATATATATATATATATATATATATATATATATATATATACATATATGTATGTATGGATGTATATATATATATATATATGTATATATATATATATATATATATATATATATATATATACATATATATATATATATATATATATATATACATATATGTATGTATGGATGTATATATATATATATATGTATATATATATATATATATATATATATATATATATATATACATATATATATGTGTATATATATATGTATATATATATATGTATGTACATACATTACTCGAGTTTACTTTTTTTTATACCTTTAAAGTGTCTCAATCCAATCTAAATCGATTTAATTTAAATCAGTGTACTGATTTTAAGGCCCTGTAGACACCATAAGTTTTAGTGCACACAGATAAAAACATCGAAAAATGGATCAGAACCAAAGACCGGACTGTGGTGAACCGGTGAACATCTGGAAACAAGAGTTCAGTAACATTGGAGCACCACAGGGGACTGTACTCTCACCATTCTTTTTCACCCTGTACACCTCAGCCTTCCAGTACAAACCAGAGACCTGTCATCTACAGAAATACTCAGATGACTCTGCAGTTGTCGGGTGTATCAGAGATGGACAGGAAGCTGAGTACAGAGCTGGTGGAGCGCTTTGTGGCATGGTGTGGAAACAATCATCTGACCTTGAATGTGAACAAAACAAAGGAGATGATTTTAGACTTCAGAAGAAACAGGGTGGAGTCAAACACTGTTTCCATCATGGGAGAAGAAGTGGAGGTGGTTGAGGAATACAAATACCTTGGAATTCACCTGGAAAACAGACTAGACTGGAGAAAGAACAGCGAAGCCGTTTACAAGAAGGGACACAGCAGACTGCACTTCTTGAGGACGCTTAGGTCCTTCAATGTGTGTAGCAAGATGCTGCAGATCTTCTACAAGTCTGTTGTTGAGAGTGTAATCTCTTCAGCCATCGTCTGTTGGGGTAGTAGCATCAGAAGCAGGGACCTGAAAAGGCTCAACAGCCTAATAAAAAAGGCTGGTTCTGTTCTGGGGACGACTGTGGAACCAATGGAGGAGATAATGCAAAGAAGGATTCTCCAGAGAATCAAGAAAATGTTGGACAACCCTGAGTATTGTCTTCATTAGACTGTCCGACAAAGGAAGAGTGTCTTCAGTCAGAGGCTTCTTCAGTTTGGCTGCAACACCGACCGCTACTGGAGATCCTTCCTGCCAACAGCCGTTGTAATATACAATAACTCTTTGATGACTTGATTATTATTATTATTATTATTATTCTGAGCTACTACAGCAATCAATTTCCCTCTGGGATTAATAAAGTAATTTTGAATTGAATTGAATTGAATTGAATTCAAAAGAAGCTGAAACATTAGACTTCAGACAGCTGGAGCAGTTTGATCATGAGAAAAAAATCTGGTTATTTCAGTCTCCAGGTTTTGTTTTAATGTTGTTGTTGTTGTTGTCTTCTTTAGTCATTACAAAAAGGCTGCCAACAATTTCATCTACATCTCTATGAATGCTTTCTAAACTCCATGAGTTAGAGTTAACATCTGTAGGACCCAGTCTAATGTCTTCAAATATTTACCTGTGATTACTCAAGCATAAATCAGAGATTTCATATTGCAACACAAATGAGTTTTCTTTGATACACACATCCACCAAAGACCAGCAGCATGTCTTTTACTCAACTGTTAATTGTTTTCCTCTGATTTGTTTTTGTTTTCTTTCTTCTTTTTAATCAAATCAGTGATTCATATATAACATTTTTGCTGTGTGTGTGTGTGTGTGTGTGTGTGTGTGTGTGTGTGTGTGTGTGTGTGTGTGTGTGTGTGTGTGTGTGTGTGTGTGTGTTTCCACAATAACAAAATAAGTCAGTAGTGGGTGTGCATTTATAACTGACTAACTTTCAGAGTTAATCCAGATGGTTACCATAGATGACTGACATTAAAGGTACAATATGTAGGAATTCTACATTGAAATAACCATAAAATAGTCTAATGTCTCAATCGTGTGTAAAGGAAGGTTACATTAAAGCAGATTTCCTTCTCAGCCGGCTGGAGGGTTTTCAGTTTTTCTTCTTTAAATGTGGCCAAAGAGGGATGTAGTCTTTGTTTACAATCTGTGAGCCCTCGAGGTTGTAGCGTCAGCGCTGGAGCGCTGGCATTTTAATTGAACACCAACCAGCAACACCAGGCGGTGTTTTGTAAAGATCCTAAGCCAATAACAGGAGTGACCCAGAAGTTATTTCTTAATCCCCTAATAATCCATATCTTCTTGTTTCACTCTAATATCGAGTGGAGAAGGCTAGAGGCTAACATTGAGCTAAGAATGCTAATGGTGAATTGGAAAAAATTGTAACTAAAACACATCACAAGCTACTTTTTCAATCACCAAACCTCGATATTATGCTGAAAAGTATTCATCTACTGATCAACTTAATGTGAGAGATGCGTCTTTGCTCATCATCTAGAATCTCATGGCACGGATTTGTAACTGGCAGCAGCCATGAAACTCCAGGAACAGGAGTGAGAAAGTGAGTGGTGTGTTTTGAAAATGGGCTGCAGTACCTACATTTGACCACAGGATTTCAATACGTCATTCTTATATAACGCACCTTTAAAGAGCAAGTCACCCTCAAATCTACTTTTTTTTCTGATAAACTATATTAATATGTGTCTAATCGTGCTGCAGACACGTGTAGTCAATAGTTTTGCACTTTAGTGCATTTTAGTTAAAATTTAAATTTTCTGCCTAAAACTGTCAGCGTTGTGTTGTTGTCGGGTAAAAACTCTGCACTGCATTTGAATTTAAATCTGCCATTGCTACTGGCTAAGAGGTACCCTAGAGCGTTAGCTGGTACCATATGATGTCACAATGTCATTGTGAGCCTGTGTGTGTGTATTTGTTAGTGGCTCCGCCCTCTCGAGCTGCTAGGCAACAGCATTTGTTGCATTTTTCAAACAGAAAATGGGAGTTGAGTAAGAATCTGGTAGGGGGTGACTTGCTCTTTAAGAATAAAAGCACCATAATTAAAACATCATCAAATTTAAAGTGATTAAGCTAAAATGTGATGTGGCTGAGCGTCATTCCCAACCCAAATTTAAGTGCTGAAACAAGTCACACAAAACAACAATGTTGCATGAGATCGAGCGTAACTCCATCACAAATCAACGTCCTGTGATCTTAATCTAAAACTCGAGGAGGAAAGGTGCAAGCTGCATTCCTTCATAGATGGAAAAAATGAAAGGACGCGCTTGAGTGCACTACACCGTTTTTTACGCTGATCTCGGTTTTCGTCCTTCATGGTAAGAAGGGATAATAAACTAGAGTGGGTCAATGTCAGAAGACGTCACACACATGGATCAGCACCTCCAAATCTGAGACCACAGTTCTCGACCGGGAAAGGGTGGCTTGCCAACTCCAGGTCGGGAAAGAGGTCCTACCTCAAGTGGAGGAGTTTAAGTATCTCGGGGTCTTGTTCACGAGTGAGGGTAGGAGGGATCGGGAGATCGACAGGCGGATTGGTTCGGCATCTGCAGTGATGCGGACGCTGAGCCGATCTGTCGTGGTGAAGAGGGAGCTGAGCCAGAAAGCCAGGCTCTCGATTTACCGGTCCATCTACGTCCCAATCCTCACCTATGGTCATGAGCTTTGGGTAATGACCGAAAGAACGAGATCGCGGATACAAGCGGCCGAAATGAGTTTCCTCCGTAGGGTGGCCGGGCTCAGCCTTAGAGATAGGGTGAGGAGCTCGGACATTCGGGAGGGACTCGGAGTAGAACCGCTGCTCTTCCAGATTGAAAGGAGTCCGTTGAGGTAGTTTGGGCATCTGATCAGGATGCCTCCTGGACGCCTCCCTGGGGAGGTGTTTCGGGCATGTCCTGCCGGCAGGAGGCCCCCGGGTCGACCCAGGACACGTTGGAGAGGTTACATCTCCAATCTGGTCCGGGAACGCCTTGGGGTCCTGCCGGAGGAGCTGGTGGAGGTGGCCGGGGAGAGGACGGTCTGGAGCTCCCTAGTTGGGATGCTGCCCCCGGCGACCCGGACCCGGATAAGCGGAGGAAGACGACGACGAGTTTCCTGTTTTTATGAAAAATACTTCTCAAGGAAGAAAACCACATTTTAGGTGTTACACAACTCGCTACCAGAAGACCCTTCCAGCCCGTGTCTAAAATCCGGACAAACATGACCACGAGAGTCGTCAGTTCCTCAGATATTCAGAGGATTCGTTATTTTAAAAGATCACATGCTTAAACAGAAATAAATGTGTTAGATTTTTTTTGTCCATCAGTCACCGTCTGTGGTCTGGTTGGTGACTCATTCCTGAACTTGTTCTCTAAACCTTCTGGTAAATGCTCCTGAACTAAGCCTGCGTGCACCAGCGTGCTCTTCAACCCCTTTTTGCCTCCAGCTGAAATGAAAGTTTAGCTCCTGTTTTATTTACATTTTTCATTCAAACGCAAAACCAGCTCCAGTGCTGAATTTGCTGAATTTGCTGAATTCACGGTGAAACTAAAGATTTTAGCCTGAATTCTTGTCTTTAACAGACATTTTTTGTTTTTTGAGAATATCTGTAAAACTGTATAAATGATTACTTCGTCAGGTTTGTCCCTGTGTGTTCATATTTACCCTTCGTGGCACATTTCTTTAACCCCACACTTCACTTCCTGTTGTGCTCGCCTCTAGCCTTTCTAATGAACTGTTGAGCTGAGTTTGTCCCGCATCAGCAGCTCATTTATCTACATCCTGTCTTCTTTGCAAGGTCGCAGAGGGTAAGTCTTATGTTTTAAAGTTTCACTTTCATCCCTTTTTAAAAAGCTTTTAAAAACAAATAAGATGAAGTCGGCTGATTTTACTGACGGACGTTAAAAACGTGCTGAACGTGAAAAACTAAGTGGACGGGGAATTTATGCCCAGTAAGCACTTTCATTTCTCTAGGAACAATATTCTCGTCTCTGGTTGGATTTCCACCTTTGGTTTAGTGAATCGTTGAATAAACGTGACAGAAACAGATTTTTGGTGCAACATCTTGATAGGAGAGTATTCTTCCATGCACGGCACGGCTCTCAGCGTATTCTGCAGAAGTTTCTTTCTGGCGGCAGACTGATAAAAAATACACGTCAAAATTTCCTTCACACAGTCACCAATCCCATAGGTTTTTTTTTTTTTTGCACATCTGTCTAAAGTGTGCAAAGATTCGGTTCCCTAAATTCTAACTTCTTCTTTCTGATCCTTCATCATCTGGACGTGTGTGAACAACAACGTTCAGTAGGTGTGTCTCTCGGCTTTCTTCTCTCCTGGAGAGTTTCGGTGGTTCTGCCTCCTTGTTTTTCGTTTAGCAGAAATGGAATCAGCCACGCCAACGGAAGACTACTGGGTAAGTGGATCCTGCAAAACGTTATTTCTCCACACTTAAAATTAAGGAGCACTTTAAATGATGTGCAGAAACAATCGGTTTTGTGAATTGTCTGTGTTTGTGTCTCCTGTCAGACGTACGAAGAGAGCTCTGCTTCTGTGGCGGGTGTCGTTGCACGCCCGTGTCTGCAGGATGACGTCTACAGCTTTGCAAAGATGTACCCCCCTGTTGTGTACAGCCTGATTTTCATCTTGGCTGTCCTGGGCAACGTGCTGGTATTGTGTGTGATCACGCGCTACAAAATCTCTCAGAGGGGTGGAATCTGTGCCTTCTCCCTGACGGACACCTTCCTCCTTCACCTGGCCGTATCAGACCTCCTGCTGGCCTTCACCCTCCCCCTCTTTGCCGTGCAGTGGACTCACGAGTGGGTGTTTGGCACGGCCCTTTGCAAGATCTCCGGTGCCCTCTTCTCCCTGAACCGCTACAGCGGCATCCTCTTCCTGGCCTGCATCAGCTTTGACCGTTACCTGGCCATCGTCCACGCCGTCGGCTCCGGCTGGAAACGCAACACCTGCCACGCTCAGGTCGCATGCGCCGTCATCTGGGTGGTGTGCCTCGGCCTGAGCGGCGTGGACATTGCTTTCAAACAGGTCTCTGAGGTCGGAACTGGTGAGGGCCAGAAGATGAGCTTGTGCCAGACGTGGTTCGTTAGGAACCCCGATCAGTGGCAGGTGGGGCTGCAGCTCATCAGTCTGATTTTAGGGTTTGGTGTGCCTCTGCTGATCATGCTCTACTGCTACATCCATATCTTCAAGTCTCTGTGCAACGCCTCCCGTCGCCAAAAGCGCAAGTCTCTCCGCCTCATCATCTCCTTGGTGTCTGTGTTTGTCATCTGCTGGGCGCCGTATAACTGCTTCCGGCTGGCGGACAGTCTGGAGAAGCTGGGTGTGGTGGCAGGAGGTTGCCAGTTTGGCCGTGTGCTGGACTTGGGGACCTTGATCACTGAAAGCGTGGGGCTGTCGCACTGCGCCCTGAACCCTCTGCTGTACGGCTTTGTTGGGGTGAGGTTCAGGAAGGAACTGCTGAAGATGTTTACGGAAGCTCCGGGGAGGAGAGGCCTCCTCAGAATGAACGACTGGAAGGAGAAGAAGCCAAAGAAACTAACATCGTGCAGCTCTGAAAGTGAAATCACCTCGTACTCGGTCATGGTGTGACACCTGGGTAGAGCTTAGAAAGAACACGTGGTTTTGTGTGCGAGAGCAAGTTTTCTAATTACACATCTTTGGAGAAGAAAGGACAAATGTTCTCTGAGTTGCGTGCGTGCGTGCGTGCGTGCACGTCCTGCAAAGGTGCTTTTATTCAGTGCAGCTTATTTGGTATTGCTTTGTGCGTTGCACAATCATGCGATGGGGGTGGAGTGTGAAACTAAAGTATTTCACGAAGACATTTTATTTCTCCATTGGTCCAATCTTGCAAAACGTCTCGATTTCTTCATACCTGCTTAAAAGCCTGTTCAGCAGTTTAAAGACCAACTCTGGGCTCGGCTCGTTGTCTCTATTGCCATCAGAAAGTAATGAAAGTTTCTTTTAACAGATGTGTGTATTAAAACGTACGCCTCGTGGCTCACTTACCCATTTTTTATACCAGACAGTCATTTTCTGTTAACTCTGTTGAAATCAAATACTGCTGTGTAAAAATTAAAATGATATAAAAAAAATGCTATCCTCGTTTTGATGTAAAAACGTGTTTCACAATAAACAATTTGTATAAAAAGCATTAACGTCTGTTCTGCATCAGATTCACACCGAACCCATTTTCCTTATTCTGGAGAACTTGAGTTTAACACACAGATCCCAACAACACAGAATGTTGTGCATGAGCAGGATGTGTGATGTGGTTCCTCTCACTCTGTTCCAGCGCAACATCAGATACCAACGGGACAAAAACTGGTTAAAAAGTACAGACTTGATAGATTTGTATTAACTAAACATCTTCTTTAAGTCTGGCTGTGCTTTGTGCTTTTGGTCAGACAATTTCAATAGAAAAGAGTATATTTAATAATAACAACAAAGCACTGGCACATTTTCCTTCAAGTCTTTTTTTATTCTAGACATTTTGATGGCATCACCTACAGATTAGTGAGTACTTAGTAGTGTAGATCTGCTATATGTGCTATCACCATACTATTACTACTACTGTTTCAACACTTCAGGAGATCTGCCACTTGATAGAACTCATTTTACTTTCTATTTCTTATTAAGGCATGCGCACGATAAAATCTGGGGGGGGGGGGGGGGGGCAGTGACTAAAAGGAAATTCTTGAATTGAAAGTCCATCCATCCATTTTCGTCCGCTTATCCGGAGTCGAGTCGCAGTGGCCTAAGGCGAGAGGCCCAGACTTCCCTCTCCCCAGCCACTTGGGCCAGCTCCTCCGGGGGAATCCCAAGGTGTTCCCTGGCCAGGTGAGAGACATAGTCCCTCCACCGTGTCCTGGGTCTACCTTTAGGTCTCCTCCCGGTAGGACGTGCCCGGAAAACCTCACCAGGGAGGCGTCCAGGAGGCATCCTGACCAGATGCCCGAGCCACCTCAACTGGCTCCTCTCGATGTGGAGGAGCAGCTGGTCTACTTCGAGCCCCTCCCGAATGGCCGAGCTACCGAGCTTCTCACCCTATCTCTAAGGGAGAGCCCAGCCACTCTTCGGAGAAAACTCATTTCGGCCGCTTGTATCCGCGATCTCGTTCTTTCGGTCACTACCCAAAGCTCGTGACCATAGGTGAGGGTAGGAACGTAGATCGACCGGTAAATCGAGAGCTTCGCCTTCTGACTCAGCTCTCTCTTCACCACGACAGATCGGTACAACGCCCGCATCACTGCAGATGCAGCACCAATCCGCCTATCGATCTCACGCTCCAGTTTTCCCTCACTCGTGAACAAGACCCCGAGATACTTAAACTCCTCCACTTGGGGCAGGACCTCATCCCTGACCCGGAGAAGGCATTCTACCCTTTTCTGAATCAAGACCATGGTCCCAGATTTCAGAGGAGCTGATTCTCATCCCAGCTGCTTCACACTCGGCTCCTTCTGACAGGAGACTCTGCCAGACGTTCCCAGCAGACCCTTGTGATACGTTTGGCTCTGCCTGGTCTGACCAGCATCCTCCCCCACCATCTGAGCCAACTCACCACCAGGTAGTGGTCAGTTGACAGCTCCGCCCTCTCTTCACCTGAGTGTCCAAGACATGCGGCCGCAGGTCAGATGAAACAACATCAAAGTCGATTATCGAGCTGCGGCCTAAGGTATCCTGGTGCCAAGAGCACATATGGACACCTTTATGTCTGAACATGGTGTTCATTATGGACAATCCATGACTGGCACAGAAGTCCAATAATAAAACATCACACGAATTCAGATCCTGTGGGCCGTTCCTCCCAACCACACCTCTCCAGGTCTCACTGTGGTTGCCCACGTGAGCGTTAAAGTCCCCCAGCAGAACGAGGGAGTCACCGGAAGGAGCGCTCTCCAGCACCCCCTCCAAGGTCTCCAAAAAGGGTGGGTAGTCTGAACTGTAGTTTGGTGCATAAGCACAGACCACAGTCAGAACCCGTCCCCCAACACGTAGGCGGAGGGAGGCTACCCTCTCATCCACTGGGGTAAACCCCAACGTACAGGCACCAAGATGGGGGGGCAACTAGTATGCCCACCCCTGCTCGGTGCCTCTCAGTGGGAGCAACTCCAGAGTGGTAGAAAGTCCAACCCCTCTCAAGGAAACTGGTTCCAGAGCCAGAGCCATGCATTGAGGTGAGTCCGACTACATCTAGTCGGAACCTCTCAACCTCACACACCAACTCAGGCTCCTTCCCTCCAGAGAGGTGACATTCCATGTGCCAAGAGCCAGCTTCTGTAGCCGAGGATCAGACCGCCAAGGTCCCCGCCCTCGACTACCACCCGTCACACACTGCACCCGACCCCTTTGGCCCCTCCCATATTTATATATATATATATATATATATATATATATATATATATATATATATAATAAACTGGAAAATATTTTTATATTGTTTTATTTGGCAAAAGAAAATGAGAACGTTCTGCGTGCAGTACCTAGATTGTCCACTAGAGGGCAACATAGTTTTCTAACCGCTTTTAGGAGAAAAAATACAACCCAAAAGCTCGGTTATTCATTTTAAATATAAAATGTTTTATTTCCCAATTCATTTTCTAGTATCATGCAAGTAAAAAATGAAAGCTAATTTATATTTTTATTTTCAAAACGTTTGATGTCTATAGAAATAACAAATGTGTTCAGATGGCTCCTCTGATGGCGTTTCCTTGCCTTACATTACTTGGCTCGTCTGGACTCCGCCGAATATAAATGTTTACTGAGAGAGAGGGGGGGGGGGGGGGGGGAGTGTGTGTGTGTGTGTGTGTGTGTGTGTGTGTGTGTGTGTGTGTGTGTGTGTTAATGTTTTTAAACTGCTATGGGAATTTGGGGTCATTTTGTAAAGCACTTTGAGTAGCACTTTGCTTGGAAAGCACTTTATAAATACAATGTGATTGATTGATTGATTGATTGATTGATTGATTGATTGATTGATTGATTGATTGATTGATTGATTGATTGATTGATTTTAAGCTAACTACTTCAATCATTAGAAATTATACTGGGAGGTGTGTCTTTCAAACTGGCTGTCTGGGGAAAATGCTTCCAATGAAACTCGAAGGCTTTAAATTCGATTAATAAAACAAAATGTCTTCAAAACGTTGGCCTCGGTTTTCATTTTAAAATGAAATGTCTCCCTCTGGTGGACAGCAGCGGTTTGTGCAGCAAGGCGGTCTGTGAGATAAAGTGTTTCACATAAATACAGCCAGCATGGATGCAACAGAATGCTCACATGAAACCAATAAATAATGTTTGTTATTTTAAAAACCTGAAACTGATTTAAAACACAAAACCTCAAAATAAACCAAACGACCTCTAAAACTAACTTCTGTAGTAGAGTTACTGTCATGGCATTTAAAAGTAGATATTTTTGACTCCCTTAAGTTTGGAAATGTGTTCAAATCGTATTTCACCGTGGCTGCTGAATGGGGTGTAGATGTCCAGCCACTGAAGATGAGTGATTTAATCCAGCAGGCATCAGAAGGGCTGGCTGAACCCTGGACGCTTCTCCCTGAGCGCTGAACGCATCTCACCGCTCCTCTGGGGTGGGTGACTGGGTCAGATTCAGGGCGGCTGGGGTCGTGTCAGGGCTGGCCCTGGCCCTTTTATGACCCGGGAAACTTCACCCCTCGGTCAAGCTTCAGTAACGATGAAACTATTTTACCTGTCTCTGCTACGCAGCCGTCTGTGCGTCAAGTTTACGTTCACGTAAAACAGATCGAAAACACCTATCTTCAAAACAAAAGTCTTGTACTTGAAAATATTAGCTTCAGTCAATAAGATTGATCGATTTCATTAAAAATATTGTATTTTATTTTAGAATTTGTAGTCACAAATTAATATTTTAAAACTGTACACAACGATAAAAGCCTATTTCCCCCCTATCATTTCAACAAAGAGGTTTATTTTGAAAACCTAAAAACGGAAATGACCACATTTCGTTGTAAATAACACATTTGGCAACAAAAGGCACGTTCGCTTCGCGTAAAATTCTCTTGTCAATAACAACAAACCGAGAAAGCTGTAAAACTCTACGTGATTCAGTCCCTGTCGCGACGGTTGCATTTCGTTCGAGACGTGGAACTTTCTGCCGGTGAGCGCGCGCTAGTTTACCGTCCAGAAACATTTTTATTACCATCGATGTGTTTTTATGTAGCGTCACCCTCTTAACAAAGCCGCCAGCCGTGTTCGAAACGACCTTACTTGTTAAACTCTAAGCGGCAGCACCGAGATAGCGCGCGCTACGGTGTTAGGCCGTGACGTGACGTGACGAGCGCTGACAGCTGTCAGAAGTCAAGCCAGCACGATGACGGTGATCGTTTCATCTCCTGACTGAAGAGCCGAGTTGTGTTACTTTCTGTTCACAAGCGAAGATGGAAGATTCAGCGTCTGGGAGCCTTTACAGGAAACCGGTGAGCTATAATGGGTCTCAGACTATTAAAAAGGTCTGTGTTGATTATTTTTGTTGATCTTTCAGCTTCCTGATGCACATACTTTAATGCAAATGAGCAAAAGTCAGCCACCTTCGTCTGTACGCCTTCTCTGCTGTTTTACTATTTATTATAGTAACGGATTACCTTTTTATACACGAACCTTACTTGAAAAGGTATTTGTGAGCATGACTAAGGGGGAATTTGCTTTTCTTTTTGCCCTCTCCACTCTTGCATCACCTTACTGACAAAGCATCATGTGAGTTCACTGAACTTGTTTTAAAAAGCAGCTGGAGTTCCCAAAAGGAGAGATTTTACTGTCATGATGTCACCATCACAGAGGCTGTTGGACTCCCAGGGGAGGAGCGTGTGTGTATAAAGGCTTTTGGGTTACAGTATCTCCAAACACTTTTTGATTTCTCTGTTTTTGTGCATCTGCTCCAGCGGGACATGAACGTGATCGGAGGTGGATTGCTGAATGAGTCTGACTACTATGATTATACAGACTATGAGACTGTGGATCTAAGAGAAGAAACACCAAGCGAGGCGGTGTGGATCCCTCTCGTCTACTCTGTGGTGGTGATTGTCGGTCTGCTGGGGAACGGTCTCCTGCTGCTGGTTCTGATTAGGAGGAGGCGATTCTGGCGCCCGTCGGACACCTTCGTGCTGCAGCTGGGGGTCGTGGACATCCTGCTGCTGGTGACGCTGATCATCTGGACCATACGAGCTAATCAGAAATGTGTCCACTGCTCCGTGACCCTCTTCAAGATATGCAGAGCAGTTTGGAATGTGAGTGTGTTGAAATCAAAATGAAAGTGAAAAGTGGAGCTTTCTCAGCAGAAGCGTTTGGCTGTAAATGACTTCCTGTTTACTTTGATCTCTTCTTTAAAGAGCAAGTCACCCCCAAATCAACTTTATTTTCCGAAAGTGAACCTTCCTCAGGATCCACTGATTTCCCTCGTTCCTACTCACTCTCTCTCTCTTTCTTAACATTTTGCTCATTTTAAATATATTTTTAACCATTTTCCAAATTCTTTTTTATATCTTTACATTTTTGTTTTTGTGAAGCGCCTCGTGATTTTTATCTTGAGAGACGCTATAGAAATGATATCTTCTTCTTCCATATGATGTCACAATGTCGTTGTGAGCCTGTGTGTGTGTGTATTTGTTGGCAGCTCCGCCCTCTCGGTCTGGTAGGCAACAGTATTTGTTGCATTTTTCAAACAGGAAGTGGGAGTTGAGTAAGAATCTGGTAGGGGGTGACTTGCTCTTTAACGTTGCTCTGAGACGTTTGGTATTTGTGGGATCGGAATGAATTGACACAAAAATCTAAAATGGCTGGATCTTCTTTGCTTTTTTCTTCCAGATCAACTTCTATGTCGGGATGTTTCTGCTGGTTTGCATCTGTTTGGAGAACCTACTGGTCAAAGTCCGTTCTGATTGGTTTTCCCAGCACGGGGCCGGTTTTTCAGTGACATGCTACTCTTTGACGTGGCTCCTCTCTGCTATTTTAGCAGTTCTCGACTGGTGTTTGTTTCCTTCCAACTCCTCTAAAGAGATGTCCATCTACGTCCACGAGCACTCTGGGGTTGGATTTGACAAGCTGCTCGCTTTACGTCTCATCCACCTCCTAATTGGATTTTTGGTGCCTCTGCTCATCCTGATCATCTGGTGCACCCACACTTTTCTACAACGCCGTCAGAACAAAACGTCCGCCATCTTGGCTCTGGTGACGGTTTTCCTGGTCTGCTGGATACCGTACAACATCACCCTCATTCTGGACACCATCTATTATGGATCATCGCATTTTCTTAAGAAAGTCCCCATTGATCCAGAGGCTTCTCTGAAAACAGCGCTTACGGTCACCTCAGCCATGGGCAGTGTTCACGCCTGCCTCAGGCCTCTGTTGTATTTTCTTTTTCGCCCAAACTTCAGAAAAAGTGTGTTGAGCGTGCTCAGGTGCAGTTCGCCTCAACGCATGAACTCTCTGTGGGAGCTGGGCGTGAGCCAGAACGACGAGGAACATTCAGAGGAGCGACAGAAGCAGCTGGAGATGCTTCAGCAACGGCAGGAGGCAGCTTAGATGTACTGACGCGGTGACTTAACCCTGGGGGGAGCTTTAGTGGACTTACGCCGGGTCCACGCTGGAGGTGTGGATCGGCAGCAGAACGGTTTACTCGCGTGCATCACGGTGCGGCGGTCCACACCGGCGGAGTCTCGGCCGCTCTTCCGCCGTCGTCCTCGCCAGACTTGTGAGATCACAAAATCTCACGGGACTTCAAAGGTCAGGGTTTGTTTGTGTCATCCACCATTGAACCAAAAAGAAGACGGAGATCTTGTTTGATGTTCTGTATGATGTTGTCCCTCTCCACTGCCAGGACTGAAGCCGTGAAAAACACCGCTGCACTCCTTGAAGGATGCTGGGTGGAATTAAAGGGACTTTACGGAGTTTCTAAATTTTATGTTCATGATCGCCCCCTCAGGCCAAAAGCTTAACGGCAGCTTCAATAGCAGGCTCGTGCACGAGGCGCGCATGCTGTACGTGCACACTCCTTAACGAAAATAACAACTGAGGCAGTCCCTTCTGTGTGTGTGTGTGTGTGTGTGTGTGTGTGTGTGTGTGTGTGTGTGTGTGTGTGTGTGTGTGTGTGTGGCCCGGAGGACAGAGGACAGGAGAACGTGCAGCTAATTAATTAAATAATTTGGTTCTGTACCTTTCTCTTCAGCACAGCCGACAAAGGTTTATGATGGGTCAGTCCTCCTGCATGCTCAGATCATTCCCTTCCCTTGCTTGAAAAATTGTTCCAAAATGAAAGTTGAACCCACATCTTTTTTATCTGTGAATTCAATGCCGTTCGGCGAGTCTCAAATAAAAATTTGGGCATTTTACTGTAAAAAATATACCATTAATGTAAAAAAGAAACTCTAAATGAACTATGTTCACATCCAGAATCAAACCCAGGTCTTCAGCACAGGAGTCCGACGTCTTACTAGGTGAGCTAAAGCACCAGTGACGTTCTTTGTATCTGTAACATTTATATCCTTGATGACAGCTGAAAGAACGGTTCGGAGAGAAAATGGCTATTTTGTTGCTAATTTGCAGGAAATATCTAGAAGAAAGTTCTACAGAAAGTAGCTAAGGGTCCTCAGAAATGTAGCTAGCTTCATCACTAGGCGTTAGGAACAGCGACAAAGTGGCACTGCCTCTCTCTCTGCTGCTAAAGCTACGGATAGCAAATGCTACGGGCTATGCCTGAGCGTGAACCCGCATGAAGCAGCCTGCTCGACCCGAGCAGCTCTCTTTTTCTGTGATTTTACAGAAAAACAGGCAATCACAGTAAAAATGCCAGGGCTCATTCTACAGGACCAGGGCATTGCAGGAGAATGTATGAAGAAGACATTTATTATTTCTACACATGTTTTGGCTGTCAAACTTCCATAATGCCCCTTTAAGCTGTTAGGTCACGTGTGTTGACGTAATCCACACGGATAAGAAATGGCGTCGCTGCAGCAAAACTAGAACCTAATCCTATCTTTAGCAGCTGAAATGTGCCGCGCTGCGGCCATTTCGGATCAACCCCATAGATTATCATGGATTGTAGTTGAAGCAGCGATGTTGCGCCGCCGAGGTCTCCAGTCTGGACCCGGCTTCACGGCGTTCAGAAAAGACGTGTAGGATGAAGACAACCGATGTGACTCAGATTCTCTAGAAGCACGTGAAGTACACAGAACTTGATATTTTTTGTGTTGTGTTGCTTATTTTTTATGAAATTAAACTGTTTTTCTATTGTTTTAAATACTTACCAGTTGTTTTAAAGCTATCGTGTCATACATTTCTGATATAAGCTGTTTTCTTGCTTGCATTAGTTTAATTCTTGTTTAACCTTTCACAACATAAGGACAGACGATGACAATTAACTTGTAATAAAGTATTTCACAAGAACTTTTACTGGATTCCCTCTGTTTCCTCTCTGAAAACCAATTACAGAAAGTGGGATTTCCAAGAATGCGTGGGAGGAACTGCTCCGTGCTCAAACACGAGCGTTAGATGTGGAGGAACTTTTCTCCGGGCACTTCCTGGGGTCTTTTTGCGTTCAGTGTTGCAACACCGGGGTGTGTACGGTGACACAGGAGAATGCACACACTCATGTATATGCCAGGTGAGAGAGAGAAACCAAAAACAAGCTGCAGCCGTGTCACAATGGAGCTTTTGAAACTGGTGGGTTTTATAGGAGGGATCCACCGGGGAGTTGGCAGACACCAGAAAGGAGACAGAATCGGTTAGACGGGTCAAAAGTACACATGCTGAATAAGAAAATCTTTTTTTTTTCTGTCCTCACATTCCTCACAAGGCAACACCCGCCTGATAATGGCCAGACATGTGGCTTCAGAGAAAGGCCCAAAAAAAAGTCCAGTCATTTGATTAAGCTTCCTTTTTTTTTGTGACTTCACTTTAGTGGTTAGGTCTGATGATTTCACCTGCTGGTTACCAGACCGACGTCATGTTCAGGTGATTATTAGTCAGCAGAATCACAGCGTGAACAAATCGAAGCTCATCTGGGAAGGAAAGCGAAAACTTAAGTCACAAATCTTTAAAAATGGATCCAGAAATGAATGTAGCCACACATAAACCTTCAAATTAAAAGCGTCCAACCTGTGATGACATGTTTGAACCTGAGCCTGAGAGCATAAAGCTAACCGTGATGAGATTTGTGGTCTCGCGTTTGAATCTTTTAAGACCCGAAGCCTTTTGTTGTTGAGGTCTCGGACACGACAACATCCTGAGTTTCATTTTACAACTCCACAAACCGAAGGTCACGCGCAGCAAGCTGAGCTCTGTTTGGATGACAAACACTGAAACTACCATCATCGTGTGACGTCAGTCACATAAACGTGCACTGAAACTGTAAAATTGGGAAGTAAATGTTGGTATAGGACTTTTTCTAAACTTTTTCTGATTCACGTAAATTTAAATGAAAACAAAAAGGGAAACTTTGGCAACAAATGGAGAATAATATCAGTTGCCTTGTTTACCAAAGCACTTTCTGCTCCATCCTGTAAACCAAATTCTTTCGTTTATAGTACATCAGGCAGGTACCAGGGAGACGTGCTGTGGGTTTTGGTGTTAACAGTGTGATGCATGTTGCTCTGAACTTTTCATGTCTCATAGCACCTTCCAGCTGCAAATGCCGCTCTGCTTGTTGTCACTTTTTTTCTGTTTCCTGTAACCGTGTACATGATTTCCACAGAAACAGCAGCAAGTTGGTTTGCATGTCACGACACATCTTTTTAAAGAGCAAGTCACCCCCTACCAGATTCTTACTCAACTCCCACTTCCTGTTTGAAAAATGCAACAAATGCTGTTGCCTAGCAGACCGAGAGGGCGGAGCCGCTAACAAATACACGCACGCAGGCTCACAACAACATTGTGACATCATATGGTACCAGCTAACGTTCTAGGGTACCTCTTAGCCAATAGCGATGGCAGATTTAAATTCAAATGCAGTGCAGAGTTTTTACCTGACAACGGCACAACGCTGACAGTTTTAGGCAGAAAATAAAAATTTTAACCAAAATGCACTAAAGTGCAAAGCATGATTAGACACACATTTATATAGTTTATCAGAAAAAGACAAGTTCATTTGGGAGTGACTTGCTCTTTAAGTAACTTTCAAGTCAGAATGTAAAAGAGCCGTCTCCACGAAGACTAAACTAAAGCTGTTTGATAATAAATGCTTGTCTAAAGCAGATTTTACTTGTTTTGCCACAGATTCTCCAGAAGTTTCTTGAGAAATGTTAATAGGTCTGTGATTGTTTAGGAGTGAAGTGTCTAGGTTGGACTTTAGCAGCACGGGATTAACAACAGTATTCTTCAAGTAATGTGGACATTGGCCTGTAGCTGGTGAGGTAGTTATTATAGTGAATGCATGGGCTAATGGTCATAAAAGCATCTTGCAAAGGGGTTGCTGGGAAAATATCTAAAATGCAGAGTAAGTGCGAGCATAAGAGAGAGTGCAGTAGGGTAGGAGACCTGGGACATACTATTTGAGAACCAAAATGTATTTTACTCTGGTATTTTAATGTAATATGGTGGAAATATTAGAGTAAAGTACGCTCACAACAGTTGATTCTTCCATGTGGGTCCAAATGATATTTTAATTTGCTGCTTTCTTTCCCTCAGATGGTCCAGCTAATGTAGAGCTGAAGGCGTCTCCATCAAAAACACACTATGTGAAAGGATCAGACCCCACCCTTACTCTTCCCAGTAAGTATACAACTACAGCATAAAACTACAACTTAGAGGCTCTTTTATGCAATGTCAGGAATGCAGAACTGTCAAGTACACAGGAGGTAGGAACAGCCAATCACAAGTTAGCAAGTATCAGCAGAGCCAATAGATGAGCCAATGGGCGGTACTAATGGGGAAAGGGCTTCAATGCAAGTGGTTGTTTTCCGCTTGGTCCCGGTGCTCGACCAGTGTCTATTTAATATAGTGTAATGTTGTTTTTGAACGGTAAAAAGTGCAGGGGACAAAAATTGACTTTGAAAAAAGTCAGGGGGACATGTCGTCCCCCCCCCCCCCCCCCCCCCCCCCCCCCCCCCCATCTAAAACTACATCCGTGGGTCTGGTCCCTGCTGGTGGGGGGCAGTTGGATGGTGGAGTTTCAGTCTGCTTCCAGCACATTTCCTGCATGTTTTAGATCATGAACACAGCTGATTTGTTTGCTTTAGTGATGAATCCCTCCTGTAGACGCTAACGAAGGCTGAGGAGACATTTCAGCTGTTAGATGAAGGTGTTAAAAAGACAAACACACAGTGAAGAGAAAAGTTTCGCATGTGCTTTCACGTCACGGACACTAGGGGGTGCTAAAATGAATCAAAACAGCCTAGTATCCCTTTAAGGCTATTTTGATTAGTTCTTAAAAATCTTTTCATAAACTTTTACTGATCTTTTGCTTGCCAGAGAATGACTGACTGTTTTGTGCATATATATACCTTTGAGCAGCCTTCATGTCCACAAGGCCTGTCTATTCACAACAGGAGCCGTCATTCTGGCCCGGACTGGTTTTGTTGACCCACAGTGGAATCTAAAGTCTGAGTCCTGAGGCCACTAACACCACAAGCACAACCAAACTTGTGTAACTGCTTCAGCTTTCATTGTGCATGATGATTTTCAGCCTGTGCAGAAAAAACTGCAAACCCTACTACCTATTAGTTGCGATGACATTTTTTCTCTTAATGAAAAATGTTCAAGAATCTTTATGAAACAACAACTTACCCAGGTTAAGCTGCTCTGAGCCGAGTAGAGAGGAGTTTTCTGCTGCAGTAATGCTGACACCAGTCTGCAGGAAGACCACAGCCGACCAGAAAACATGATCACATGCAACCATCAAATAAGAAATGTTCACTTCTGTTTTTAACACGTTTTATAGCTGAAACTGAACCCAGCTTTCTGTATTTTATCAGTATTGTAACAATTTTTGAGTTTGCAGTCCAGCCGTCAGGATCTGGGTACGCCCTGGGCCGTCAGCTGTATTAATACGAGTGGATTCTTTTTATTTATTTTTTTTAATAGACTTTATTTAACAAACAATGAGTATACAACATAGAAACGAATGAAGTATACAAAACAACATAATATGAACACACAAAGCCAGGGGTAAAAGCAAAAAGTAACAATTATAAGAATACACGCAAAAATTCACATATATATATTGTTTTGAGAGCCTTTTTGTTGGTGGATTCTGATATTGATTTTATGTACAATTCCACATCCTTAAAAAAATGACAGAAATATGGTGTTTTGTTGGTAAACTTACATTTGTGAATAAAGAATTTAGCTAAGAGTATTAACAGATTTATCATAAAAAAACATTTATCATTCGTCTTGGGAAACTTAAAGAAACAGAATAAAACATTTTCCCATCGTAAAGAAAACTCCCTTAAAATATGGAACGAGTGGATTCTCTCGACTTATTCCAGAATTCTGATCGGCTGTCAACGTTGTTTCCATTAAGTCCTGATTAGGAGTCCTGAAAGTCACATGGTGTAACATCACAAAGGAAAAAGCATTTTCTTTTGCTGTATCTGTATAATGCAGGGGTAGGCAACGCGGTTCCTTGAGTGCCGCTATCCAGCATGTTTTAGTTTTTTCCCTGCTCCAACACACCTGATTTTAGTCAGTAGTTGAATAACAGGCTTCTGCAGAGATTGATAACATAGTTAACAGGTGAGTTAACCCTTCAGCTAGGTGTGTTGGAGCTAAAACATGCAGCCATAGGGATTGCCTACCCCGGATGTAATGAATCACTGACTGAGCCACGGATGATGCTCCCTACAGAAAGTCAAGAAAAACTGCAGGAAGCATGAAGAAATCATGATAAAGAAATAAAGATTGCGTGATTTTACGTAATCTAAAATTCACAAGATAAATATGTTCTTCCTTCTGTGGCAAGATGGAGAAACAAGGGCCTGGGCAGGATTTGATCCTCAGACTCCCGGTGAAGATCGCACATGCTAACCAGTCAGCCAAGAGGACGTCCCCTTGGCCAAGTAGCCAGGGTGCATGATGTCACACTTCAAATAATAGAAATTTTCCAAGTCTCTTGGAAATTCTGTTTATTTTTCCTGATTCTATCGGCTATAACAGCTTACTGTATCAGTTATTACAAACAGCTATTTCCTGCCTCTGCTGGAGCTCTCAGAGACGAACGAAGAAGAAAAACTTTTCTCTACATACTTGTCAGGGAAGGGAATAGATGTAATTAAAAAAATAAAGTTATTAAAACGCTTAAATAAATGTCTCAAAAGTAAAAGCTGGATCAGAATAATTGCTGGATTGTTTTGATGTGACTGAATTTGTTATTTTGCAACAGAAGGGAAACAAGATGACTTTTTTCATTGCTGTCCAAGAAGTTTGTGCATCCCATCTAAAATGATGACGATTAC